AAGAAAACCGAAATTCGTGGAAAAAGGACAAGGAATATTGGGTTAGGGCACATTTCAGTTTGAAAAATGTTGTGCACAAGTCTTTGCGATGTCTTCCAAAATGTCCAATCCAGGGTAATACTTATTATTATTATTTTTTTATTTATATATTTTTACTATTTGTGACTACATTTTAAAACTGATATATATATATATTTTTTTCATAGAATGTTAGAGATTTCTTTTCCCCAGCCTTATTGTTACATGCCTTGTTTTGCAGCGGTACCTTATTGAAAATAAATATCATCGAATGTCATAGCAAGACTCAATTAGAAATATGAGTCCTGAAGGACAAGAGTTCGAAGAAAAACATGTTCTTGCATCGTAAAACCCTGTGTCGGCCGGCCGCCGGCCATTATCATGAATGCCTTTACATCGATCATTTAATAAAAAAACCCGACCTTGCTTGTAAAGCAGGCAACGTGCTCATTCAGTGTGACTAATGTTCTCTTTCTCCTTTTTGGGCACAATAACAGAACTAACTGCAGTCCATTTATATTGCCGGGGGAACGATTTAACACGTGGCTAATATGCAATAACACTGACCATGAGGGTTTCGCAGACGACGCAATTTGACGTTTACGAAACATTCGCGGCGACGATGGTTGATTCGCGGTTTTTTTGCGAATAGTATAGCCGTTTGCAAGAACCACAAGGTAGAGGCTTGGATTAGACCTGCCTGAGATGACCTGATTCTGGCTGGAAATAATGTTTTCAAATGAGTGGCGTATCTGGTTTTATATTTGCACGGGGCACTTTATAGGGGGAACCTGCACTAAATGAGTTTTAACAATAAGATTACATTCTTGTGTCAAAGTAAACTAATTTATTATGAATACGAGTTAAAATTGTTAAAATATTATTAACTAAAAATGTATATAAAGTTAAAATTGTGGGTGTAATTTGGTAGAATTCTGGGCCCAATATGGACGAGATAAGCATAGGCAAATATTATTTACTAAATACACTGTCAAAACTATTCGGGCCGCAAAAAAAGATGGAAAATAATGTAGAAGATGGTAGCACATGCCTGTTAACCCCCCCTCCCTCCCCCTTGAGAGCTAACCCCCTTCTTGAGCTGGATGTGCCCCAGATTTCTACATATCACGTTACTAGATAAAAACACAGAAAGGCTTGAGTGCCCAAGAAGCCTCTTTGTCGGGATGTTGATAGTGAAAGGCATTCCGCATAACCGATTCATCTGAACCATGTATTGGATAACCCAATGCCGACGACTCACTCGCTGCGGATGTTGAATAATGTTCTCACACCTCTGAACAGACTGCTAAAATGCGTTCCATCCTATTTGTTGTGGGTCATGGTAATGTGTTCACATCTGGAGCACGTATGGCACTGAGACATAACTGATGGTGCCCTGCAGTAGCTATACGGGGGGGGGGGGGGGGGGGGGGGGGGGGGGGTATAGGGAACGTCCCCTTTCTCCCTCCCCTCCTTTGCCCCAATCAGATTTTTGTGGAAAGGCAAAAATGGGTTATTTTGTATTGTTAAAACACATTGAGTGCCTTCTCAATAATTTAACCCCAAAGTCCCCCGCTTGCAAGTGGCATCCTCGAGGGTGCATCGTCCAGGTCGTCATTGCAATGTTACCTTAACAGCACATTACTGCCTGGGCTGCGTTCAAATTTGCAGGGCTCTGTGTTGGAACTGGCGTCGAATTCATGATCCTACATTTTTGGCCTTTAATTATTGAATTCTAAGTGAGAACTTCATAACTGTATGCTAACAACGAGCATCATATCTTTATCTTTAAAATGAACTATGAAATGTCACATTTGATTTTTGGTTCGGGACCACATCTTCCGAAAACTTTTTGATGAAAGCCAAACGAGATTTTGGTACACGGTCTCCTCAATATGAATCTAATCAATAATAAATGAGGAATAAAATATTAATTCAAACATATAAATAGCCATATAAAAAGAAATCAAAAATTGAATTCCAACGAACAGTTGTTTTCTTACACTGACACAATCTAAAAAAATATAATTCCACCAGCTGGAAAATAACGGCATTTTGTTTCAATAAAGACAAATAAAATATGAAGAGAGAAATGTTGTATACTTGAGTATTTGTGTGTTTTTTATATCTGAAAGTATATCTTTCCTAAGGAATGGTTTTGCTGAAAGTTTGATAAATATTTCCTGTTTCAGATGTCATGCCAAAAACAAATGAAATGGCACACGTTGAACATTTGCGATGTCCGAGTGTCGAAATAAACGTTTTCCAAATGATGAAATATATTATCCGACCCTGAATAATCACTTATGTTCATCTTCATCGAACAAAATGCACTAATTACAAATGATGGACTATATCTTTAAAGCTATAGTCCATCATTTGTAATTAGTGCATTTTGTTCGTTTGAAGCAACAAAAGTGTTCAAAATCTAATGAAGGATACTGAACAACTTACTTGATGAAGTTTCAGCTCAGCTTCAGCTTCAAATTCCGAGAAAAACAGCATTCTAGGATCTCAATTTAAAATCAAAAGTTGCTAAATCATGTTTCGAATTGTTTTGAATTGCAGCTTTACGCGATGTTGCGCACTGATCCAACGAATTATAGCAACCGCGCGCGCAGCAACTAATTTGGCGTCGTTCCAATGCTGCAGGCGCGGATCCAGGATTTCTTTAGACGGGGGGCACACCTTTAGAGCATTTGCTCCGAGAACTAATGCGAGCGCGGAGCGCGAAGCCCTTACGGCGTGGGGTCCGGGGCCCGCTTAAGGGCCCCAGGAAATTTTGGATTCTAGATGCTCTGTGGTGCAATCTGAGGCGATTCCTGGCCCCTTTCCCCCTGAATTATTTGAGCAAAAGTTGTTAAGCTTATAAGGATTAAAAAAATATATATATACTCTTGTTTTTACAAATTGTAAGCTACTGTGTACTTCAAAGTTGCAAACCATGTATTTTCGTCTGCATAATTTCAAGCATCGTATAAAAAAAAAGGAATTGTATTGACTTAGAAACTGTTGCAATGGGCGATGCGCTGGGGCATTTGCTCCAATGACTAATGCGAACGCGGAGCAGTGTCTTACGGCGTGGGGTTCGGGGCCCACTGAAGGGCCCCGGGAAATTTTTCATTCTATAGATGCTCTGTGGTGCAATCTGAGGCGATTCCTGGCCCCATTTCAGCAAAATATTGTGAAGATTATTAGAATTTTTTTTTTCATCATGGCTTCGGTTTGCGGTAACACCATGTTTTTTTTTTATATTTTTTTGTTTCTTCTGTTCTTCACTTGATAACCAAGTATTTTGGACTGCATAATCAGTTTCTTGCATTTTATTTTGGAAAAGGAATTGGATAGGCTTAGTTTGTAAACTGTTTGAAGGATGCCTAGGGCTAGGGAGATCTGCCCCGAGGACTAATAATAATGCGGAGCGCGAATGTCTTTCGGCGTGGGGTCCGGGGCCCGCCTAAGGGCCCCGGGAATTTTTTTGATAATTAGATGCTCTGTGGTGCAATCTGAGGCGATTCCTTGCCCCTCTTTCCCTGAGTTATTTGAGCAAAATGTTTTAAGTTAAATAAGGATTTTTTTCATTGGTTTAATATATACTCTTGCTTTAACAAGCCTTTTAAGTTTGTTCTGTTTTTCACTTGATAACCATTTTCGTCTGCATAATTGTTTTCTTGCATTTTATTTTTGAAAGGGAATTGTATAGACTTAGTTTGTAAACTTTTGCAAGGATGCTTTCTAATGTTTTGTATCAAGTTTAAATTTTCAGTTTATCAATAAGATAAGATTTTCTATGGAAATTTTCTACGGAAACGGACATGTTTTGGACTCCTTAAAAGCGCAGAAGAAATGCTGGCAAAGTGTTCGTACGAAAACCGTACCCTTGACCAATAGTGTGGTACACAAAGAGCAGCGTACAACGTGTATGTCGCGCTCATCGCGCTAAACACAGCACATCGGCTGTCACACGTGCGTGTTTTTCGTACCGGTACGTACGCTCATATGAATCGCATACACCGATATACTATGCAGAGTTACGTATGGAGTACGTACGGTGGCCGGGATCGCGGTTTATTTCGAAGCTTCTAGAGTTCCCTGTGTCATACGGCCAGTACACAATGTTTGCAGGCCGCTGATGTTAAATATCGGCACCGGTATTTTTGTTAGGTTGCCCTCTCCTTCCCTCCATTTCTCTCACCTCCCCCTCCTTTTCCCCCCTGTTTTATTCATTTTATTTTTTTGTGGACTTAATTTGACGGGGGGCACGTGCCCCCGCGGCCCACCCCTGGATCCGCGCCTGATGCTTGTGCGCGCTGCGCCGAATAACAAAACGAACAACTAATTTAAATTTTCATACGGTGCTTCTTAAGAAGCACCGTTGGAAATGCCTTCTTTCGTTGATTTCTTCAAAATGAGAGCTTGCCAGAAAGGATAATTTCACAGGGAGTTTAGTCCCCTTACTATCTTTCAACCAGTATGTTTTTCAACAATAATTACGCTGGTTACTTTTCGGATAGCTGCAAATGATGGACTATAGCTTTAATATAGCTCTATGGGTGTGACACACAACGTGTACATTTCATTGGATAAAAACAACTTGAAATGCGAAAGCTTATGCTACAAAATGTTCGCCGCGTTCAATGTAAATAACCTTTTTTTTCGATTTAAATCTCGGGAACGGTAAGAAATTATAGTTTCCTTTCAGCCATACCTTTGAAATAGGATAAGTAAACAATCCAAAACAAACTATAAATTACCACGCTCCTTCGTGACGCAAATGATATACCGGTTGGCATTTGACGCAAATGTTGTCTAATTGTTACACAATTTGCACGTGACCATTGTAGACTAGTAAAACCAAAGGCCGATATATACATTTTTTTATAAATCCGTATCATTTACGCACTGTGGTTTAGCAGTGTTTGCAATCCGATAGAATCTGACAGTCCCTCACATTTTCTGTCCCCTCTCAACAGCACAGTTATCTCCAAGGTGTGAATGCGGAAACTGGTGGATCATAAAATCTGCATGAGTTGTACTCTCTTCAAAAATGAATTGGGAAGTTACAGTTGGGTACAACTCGAGTGAAGTGATGGCACTTATGAACGATACCACCGTGGCCACGGAGGGCAGGTCGCCTGAGGACTTCGTCTTCAGCAGGGCGGCTATGATCGCCCTGACCGTAGTCATCTCCGTGGTGTCAGCCGTGGGAATACTGGGCAACGCCATGGTCATATTCATCGTGTTCCGCTACAGGGACATGCACACTGTCATCAACTACTCGTTCGCTAATCTAGCCCTGACTGACCTGACCTTGTTGCTATTGGATGGCGTGCCCACCGCGGCAGATACCATGGAAACCAACCTTTCAGCTAAACTTGGATGCAACGTTCCTATCTATCTACAATACGTAAGTATTGTTGTGTTGGCATAAAAGTGCTTGCATTTTATGTTCGGCATGTTTAGTTTTCTTTAAAGTCGCTTTCCCGTGCCCTTTCCGACTTTCATCCCGCAAAAATTTCCTTTTCTAAATTGCCATTTTAGCAATACCAAAGTTATTTACTTTTGATTGAGACTTTAACCTAAAACAGACGGCCATCAATGATTAGCAATTATTACTTTACAATTCTGAACTATTGGCTGCCAGACGATAATTCCGTTCTCGCAGGGTAGGCTAGCTCCCGCCCCACAATCGGTATTGCTAATGTACAGACCTGGATCCAGTCTGCTCGCAAAGCGGATGTGCCCCCCCCCCCCCAAAAAAAAGCCTTTTTTTTTTTAGAAGGTTGAAGACCTTAAAAAAAAACCCAGGGAAATAAAACATTTTCTTGTTGGAATAAAACATGCTAGTCGGAACGCAACTTTACGGTAAAGTTTGCATTGTATTTTCTTAGCAATGTGCATTTTAAAGGCATCATGGTATTTGGCCAATTTAAACCACAGAACTAATAAACCACGCATAGACACAAACTAATATTCATTCGCTGAGCAAAAAACAACCACAATAGCATGTAATACACAACTGCTTAGGACTGGTATTCGCTGAATACGCTTAGCTTAAAAAATATTCAGCCATATTTCTGCTTAGTGGTTTAATGAACCGATCGCGGTAGAATGGCGTTAGAATCGCGTCAACGCAGCTTGTGAAATTAATTATTGTCCAACTAGATAATATACAAATGGACGCGGAACGCGCAAAATCGGAGACAAAACTTTGTGTACAAAACTCCATAGGGTTGTCTATTAGGAGCGTGGCTTACTCGCAAAAGGCGATAGGTCAATTCGGCCCAGGTCGGAGTCAACTCATTTCAGGCCAAGTACATCAACCACCAATAATTTTGTTTTAAGCTGGCAATCAATCTCGATCAGATTTATTCAGCCTTACAAGCGGGCCTTTTTCGATCAATCATCGTACTTTTCGTTGCAATGACTTTTTACCAAGTTGCCTCCATTCAACTACTTCCCTTTAAATTCCCAGAACTCCACTTTGGTTTTACATACCCACTGGAAGTCACTATGGCCTTACTGTCCCCTCCGTACTGATAGCCAAATGAAGAGGCGATGTGAAAAAAGTGGAAAGCCGTATTCAATCATAGTTCCTTGGGCACATACTCCACATGAGCCTGCAACAGTGTATGCCCTTTATACACCACCCCAGGAGAGAAAGAGACCAAGAAGACAACGCACATCATACTAACTTACATTCAACGCTTGCTTGGAGATAGTGATGGCATGCTGCGACCAGACCAAATCGCTACACTTGCCCAAGATCGCAGTAAATGGAAGAAGCTTGTTGTTGACTGCTCCGGTGCCGAAGAATGATGATTCAATGATTTCAATCATAGGCTTACTTTTTGGGGAAAAATACAAGTATTTGTTGCCTCCCTCGTTTGAAGTGTCTCACGACGCACGTGTGACAAACGCAGCTTGTCAAAAGGGTGCATGATAGTGCATAACAGTGCATCACGGTGAATGCGGGCGAAAATATATAAATTGACAACACCAATTGATTCCCAGAATGGGACACGTGGCGTCAAAGTTAAGTAGCGAGATATTTAAATTAGCACTTTGACATTGAAATTGACTCGTCATCGGTCTACAGGTTTATTCTTTATATGTAAATTGTGAATTGTGATTTTGAACGGTTGAGGTTACTGGGCTTTATAGGCCTATGTCCTCTTCGCACAAAATGACATTTGCAACCATTCCATAATAGTTGCAAGATATCCAAGGGCACAGTGTACTCATCTGGTACCATGTTTTTAAGTCCTTCCGGCTCCCCCAATCACAATCAAACACTTGGTTATTCTTCAAATCGACATCTTCATTTTAAAATGCCCTTAATTTGTACATACGCATGGATTTCAAGAAATATCCCCTTCTCTTGATTACTAGCTCGTAGACATTGACACACACGATACACACATTCAGCGCTATCAATCATGTGAAATTAATGGTGTTTGGCAAGGACCCAGGACCTACAGTCTGTTGGTATAGCTGTTCATTCAATTGCTGTTCCAAATGCATGACGACCTTAGGACAAAAATACTTTGGCAGGTTCAAACTTGGCTCGTTGCAAATTTTGAATTGGTATGAGAGCAATACATCACGTTGCAGTTATAAATGAACACGGACATATGGCTGTCAAATTCATTAAGAAAACAGGTGTTGTGACAGGACAGTCAGCCTTTTTTGCATTAACAGAAATAACACAGGGGGAGTCAAGGAAGAAAGTGAACCGGATGAACGATTTTCCTCCTTTAAAAAGCAATTACATTTGACACACCAACGGAGCCTGTTCTTCCTGTTCTTCATGTTAAACGAGCATGTTCTTCCATCCACTCATTTGAAAAGAAGAATTAATGATATTGATCCATGCCATCAGAAGTGATGCATATTTCAGTAAAGGACAGCTGTCTTTGGAATACACCATTTGAAGCTTTTGAGCTGAGTGAGAAACACAGATTACAAACAGGTATTCAGATACAAATACTACGCATACGTGATATTTTCACAGTTACTAACAATAATATGTACTTTATCCCTATTTTAGTTTTATTAAATGGAACGAGCCACATATTATATTTGTTCTCATTAGGTAACTGTCTTTGTGACAGTAAGCATCGTTTTTGATAATCGTAGAAGTTTGAAGAGTTGAGATTATTGTCAGGTTTGTACCAGTATACGTATATTTTTAAACAAAGAAGTTGATGACAGCTTGACTAAGGAATTCACTGCATTTTTAAACCATAGACAACAAATATTTAACAGGGTATAACACCAAAAAGGTAATCCAAACATAATGGGTTAATATATAAATATTATGAACGTGAGCAATGTCAAAGTGGCTCCATCTGAAAAGTTCAATAATTATCTCTTTATTGTTTTGGATGATTGAGCAACATTGGTTTCAAAACAAAAGCCAATAAACCCCCTGTTTTCAAGTTTGCTGAATAAGCGGTGAGTTATTAAGCTGTCGGATGAATGCACTGTCGCTGTGGACAGTTATTGAAAGGAGTATATTATACAGATGTTGATGCATTAAAAAGGTACATAACAATGTTGTCCATGAATGAGTGATCATTCCAAATATTTTATTAATCATCACAAGGCCAAACACCTACTTATTCTAACTTTACCTGATTCAGTGGTGAACTGACCTATCCAAAAAAAGTGCGCAGTCGCAGTGGATTATGTCACGTGTTCAATGGGAGGAGAAAGACATGTTGAAAGTGTTTGAGCATAAATGTAATATCAAGTTTCATGATTACATCAATCATTTCAAAGATGTTTTCTTGACTAATTGAAACGATTCCTAGCTAATACTTAAAACTTAGCTTGGGCGTTGGCCAACTTGGCATGGCTATGGCTATGCCCATTGCAAGCTATGTTTGAAAGAGTTTTGAAATTTCATTGCTAGTTTGTGATGAAACAGAAAAAAACCTTTGGATTGGTTAATTACTTATGGACAACACGATGTACCATTTAAGCAACTCTAATATTCCCCTTTTAACGCACTGCCCACAGCTGTGACAACGCATTCTCCCGACAGCTTTTAGTCACCACTTATTGAGCAAATTTGGAAAATGAGGGGTTTTTGCCTTTGTTTTGCAATCAATGGTGGTCAGTCATCTGTGGCTGAAGAGATGTAATTAAGGTATCAATAAGCTAATGAACTTCCCTTTAGGATAAAGCCAATTTGATGTTGTACAACAATTCCTAACTTCTACACATGAGCCCTTTTATTCGAATTACTTTTAATTTATGTGAATACATGTACACCGTGTAGAGTGTAGCGAGAACATTGTACTTTGTTCATAGTGCAGCTACACTTTCTCGTCCTGCTTAGAAAATAGCAGCCTGTGGCTACTGGCGTTTAGGTAAAAGGACACTATTTTATGATCATCTGTAAATAAATGATCATCTGCAAATTTTCTTCCTTGACGTATTAATATGCTAATGTCTCTCATGTTACAACATGTCACTTCACCATGTCATGTTTGCTCTACAGTGCAAATCTGTATTAAAAAAGAAAATTGCCTTGATCACGCTTGAAACAGATGTTTTATTCAGCTTTTAGGCAAGTACACCCTCATGTCAAACCAAGTCACGTAACGTGCTATGTTTGCTTTACGGTGAAGAACCACTTTTTCTCCTTGAGTGCACTTAGGTAGGCCTAAATAGCACGATTTCAAGTACATGTATGAGGCGCAGAAAGAACCTGGAAACGTTCCCGCTACTCCCGTCCGCGGACAAAACTAGGGAAAGAATCTTTGCCCGAACACATAAATCCGTGACAAGAGTAAAGTATGGGGAAACGTTTACCAAGCTATGCATACGTTTCTACAGACTATGATAAATACAAGATGAGGATTGATAACGACTAGTTACATTGCGGCTAGGTCACTCGGTCTTGCTGTCTTCATCAATTTAAAAAAATCCATTACATCTTAGTGATAACTCACCGTAGTGGCGGGTGATCGAATGGTACGTGGGTTTTAAGGTAAGAGTCATTTACAGGGATGGAGTGCCGCGATCCGGCGCTGCTCGCGCGAATGCCTTGCCGGTTGTGTATCGCGCGGTAAATAAGGAAAAACAGTGTGCGTGACGTGTATGGATGCGGGTGTGGTGCGGTGTCATCAATCTATCAAAGGTCCAACAGAGTATTACTGTTTTCTTCCCACGTAGATGGAATTGACAGGGTGACAATTCACATAAAATATGTCGGTGATTGAGTTCATGGTAAAAAATACCCGGCAGGTTTGTTACACTATTCCTATCCATTGGTCATTCGGAATAGTCTGGTAGTCTGGCTTCCCAGTATACAATGACATAGCATGGCATGGAAATCAACAACTGTCAAGGACAGTTATAGGCGAACATTATATTAATTTAAGCTAGACCTTTTGATTTTGCTCTTTTGTTTTGTTTTTAAAAGAGAAAATTAACTTTGGTACAGTGGTAGCGCGATTAAAGTCCATTGGTTTCTGATGCATTATACGTATACTATGGGCAGCCCTTTTATGGTCAGCCGTTCGAACAGCCAGTTTTTTCTCAACGAAATTCAGATCACGTCTGGAATAAAAACACCGCTCTCAAACCTTCCGGAACGCCATTAACCCAATTCGTAATGGTGAACACATCGTGTAATTTGACTCAATTTGTTTTTCGCAGCAAGCTTGGTTCCTTGCTGGAGTTTCTTGAAAGTCGGTATTACAATGTATTCAAGAAAAGTTCTCGTTTTGCACTAAGTACAAATAAGTTGGATTACCGTATTGCCTTTTTATTAATGCAAATTGTAGTTTCGATCTATACAAAACTTTACAGCCTGGTCTTCCAAAGATATTTTGTTTTCATTATGTGCCACATATGAAGATTGATATGCATTTATTTTGCTTGTATATGGTCACAATTGCATTGAGTCTGCTACTTACATCACAAGGGCGGATTCATGGACGTGGGGATACTGGTTGGGATCGATAACCACCTTCACCCCCACTTCCACGTGACCACTGTTAACGTTTGGCACACATTTGCTGGAAACAATTTTCAAGCATTGTTTCTTAAAAAACATTTTAAGACTATATTGCAAATCTTATTTCAATGCTTTTGTCACCACGTCTTGACTTCAAAACCTCAGCAACCCTCTTGAAAACTCCCGGAGAAACTTATGTACCCCGTGCTTTTTGGCGATAGACCAAACCTTTTTCTCTCAAAAATCCAAAGTTGCGCATCTTTTCAAGTATTGACTTTTGCTAGAAGACAAACTCAGCCTAGTCGATTCAGTGTAAAATTGATCTTACCATCAACGAACCACGACAGTGTTTTTTCCTTTTTCATTCAATTATCTTAAAACGAAATAAACGATGCAAATGAAACTGTATTTCGAATCTCATCTCGAAAACATCTCATCTCGAAACATCCCCTACCCAAACTGCCAAAAAAAAAAAAATTAAAAAAATACAGACTGTTAATTTTGAAAGGGTTCAAGCAGAAAGACATAGATTGCGAAGATATCCTCAGGACCGTTAAATTGACATTTTTTTTTTATTCATTCATATGCCATTTACATGTTGTGACGCACGTAACAGGCGTGATATCTTGGAAAACATGTCTGAATATATATTCGCTTTTGAAATTGGACGGGATGAGATGCGTGGCCTGAGGTGATAACATCTGATAATACTGGGGGAGTGTATCGACGAAATCTGATACACCGAAGCATTAACTCTAGGTACGATTATATCTGTCTTATCTGCAGGTTTCTGCCGAGGTGTCATCTCTAACCCTGGCTTTTCTCTCTTACGACCGCTACCGACTCATAGTGCATCCGATCAAGACGCTCCAGCGGCGGTCTACCAGGGCCCTGATGAAAATGTTCCTCTGCGTGTGGCTAGGTAAAGAATAAAACACGAGCCGTGTACCCAGTTGTGAGGCAACGATTATTAGCGGAGTAGTTATGGTGGAAAAGAGGTAATTGCTGTTGAAAGTATCTACACATTTCGTGTAAGGTATCGTCGAAGTCATCTGTAATTCTGTACCAATGCACACAATGTTATCATCATGATTGCCCGCTGATATTGTCTTACTGGCACCAAATCGAAGTTATTTTTGAACGGGGAGGTTTCGAACACGTTGATCAAGTCAAGTTTTATCATAAAGGCCATATCACGTATTCGCACTGTTGAATGACAACGTTTGCAACATATAACGATATTTCTATCAAGTCTTGCAAGAAATTATAATAATTGCACTGGAAACAATGCTGACATAACCGAGTCACATAATATCAGGTTGGACTTAGTTGAAATCAGGCTTTAAAAAAATCAAACCATTTCCCCGTAAAAGATTCAACAAACCTGTACCTAGAATATGCCGGAAATACTTCTTTCACGACTCTTTCGAACCGACTAGTGAATAAGCAATTCTCTCAACTCTCACAGAACCACGAAAGATCCTAATTACTGATTAGAGGCAATGTTACGGGTTCAAATCGATCCTAAACTGACCGTTCCCAAAAAGAAACGAAACGTGAGGAAAGACTGCAATGTTAGGAAATCGACCTCCTGACAAAAAAATGGACTTCGAAACCAATTACTGTTATTAGTATTCAGTAGTTTTTTTGAAATGATGGTTAACATTGTTTACTGTTTTTCTTTTCTAATACAGTGTCCTTCATAACGCAGATCCCCACTGCACTACCTGCAGGTCTGACACCAGAGGGCGCATGCTCTGAATACATAGCTACCTGGGGCCAGGAGTACTTCTTTAGCTACACTCTAGTCTCCCTGTTCGTCATCCCTTCTGGCATCATCGTCATCTGCTACGTCAAGATAGGCCGCAAAATGCTGGAAGCCGGACCGCCGAGCAGCATGAAAGCCCATCGGCGCAGGCGAAGTGTCAACATCATCCTTGGTGTCATCGTGCTGTACGCCCTCTGTTGGATACCAGTCCACGTCGTTCACATGTGGGGGGCCTTTGACCCGGAGGTCACTGCCAGGAGTCCGCTGTACGTAGTGCTGCATACTGCCGCCAACGTCTTGATGTTCGTCAACAGTAGCGTCAACCCGTTTGTGTACGCCCTTACCGGCCCATCGTTTCGCAGCCACATCAGGTCGATTGTGGTCTCCATGGCTAAATGTCGAGCTAAAGATGCTTTTGCCGACCAGAGACATGAAAGTAATCAGAACCTGTACGAGGCCAAAAAGGCAGCCTTATCCCCGGGAGTTTCAGATCCCAAGACACCGGAAGATTTGCCCTCCGGTAGATCCGACGATGCATGCGAAGGTGTATACGAATCAACTTGGCTTTGAGGTTATTGTCACAGCTCAACGTAATTCTTCATGAAATGGCATTCAAGTGTGAACTGCCTTAACACTTTGCACTATCATCACTGACCTCGTTAAAAAACATTCCCAGGGGTGTGCGACCGATACTCAGACACTGACAAAATTTTTGACCTGACTTAAGTTTACTTTGCTACTGTCTAAAGTTAGCAGCTTTGGTGCACTTTTAGGCGTTGCGGCATATACGTTTGGTGAAGCTTAACTGTGTGATCGCACTCGATCGTTTGGTATAGATGAAAAAATCGACTTGGTCTGGCACTAAATGACTGTGCACGAAGTGTTCGTGACGTTAGGTAAACATTCGTTAATAGACGAACTTTAATCGCAGTCGAACGATCCTTTGCCAAACATGACTGCTGCAATGAACATGCAGCTTCGAAGTTGTCAGGCGGGAAACCATTTTGCAGCACATGAATGTGAACACAGCACACCGTAACGATATGAGAAGAATTAAGAGCGTTCACCGTCATTTATCGCTCGCACAAATTGCGACATTAAATTGAGTGCCCGTAAATAGGTTCATTCTCGACGCACAAGCGAAGGCCAACAGGAATTTGAGACGTCACGGACATTTTCGCTCTGCACATTCGCAAAAGTTGAATTCATTTCAACTCTGGCGGCAATCATGGCGAGAGTTTCATGGCTCCACATTTGCTTGAATGTCAAACTTGAGTGTAAAACTCCGGTTCAGCCAATCGGGCGAGATCGAATGACGGATGAGTAACAACACTGTGACGCCTGAAGAATGTAGCAATGGCTTAATGCGCCTATCAATAATTGTTTCCTCCACCCCCTCCCCTCGCGGGCTGCCCCACCCAAGACCTGGGGATTGTCACTTTTGAAGTAACAAAATCCCCAGCCCTCGGGAAAAATTTAAGGGACAATCCCCGACCATGCCCTGACATACATACATGGGGTGCACTAGTGATTGTTCAGTGTATAGTATACGCCAATGTTAACAATGTAATTTGAGAGACCAAAATCCCCACCCTGGGGCATGAAAAACGTGACCAAATCCCGACATCGGACCTGGGGCAGCGCGGGGGCGGGGAAGGCGTGGGGAAACATTCGATAGGCGCATAACCGTCACATAAAATTTTGTCAGCAATGAGATTAAAAAAAAAATAGTTTGTAGTTTCGCCATGTGACAAGAAAACTTTCGTGAGTTCTTTTCTGCATTCCATGGGGGACGTTGAACAATAGAGGACAATAGGATCCCCATTTCCCGAGATATTCCTAAAAAGTTAGTACAAACAAATGAGGGAAAATAGGGGGTCCCCGATTGCAGGCAAACACACAAATCGTAAGATTTACTCAATTTTTGTTAGAACCACACAAACTCATTTTTGTGTGTGTGTCACACGGAGCGACAGCAAATTTGCACTGTTATGCAAGTGAATACGTTAACGAACCTGAGCATTGGCGTAGCCGAGGGCGCCCTTTTCTATTTGTATTCGCCAGCGTTTACTCCCCCCGAAATATTTGTAGAGAGTGCCATTTTTTGTAAACAGTTTTTGTTAAACAAGTGCCATGTTTTTGTACCAGCGGCCTTGTACGAGGTCCTTTTTGGAATTTCTCGCGACCGTCAGCAATTGTGCCGCCCTGAAAAGCTCCACCTATTGTCCGATAGTGCTTAATACCCGTTAACAAACGTTTTACTCCCCAATAAAAATGACCTCGCTACGCCTCTGCTGATTGTCTCAGTTCTGAATCCGTGAGATCAAATGGATTCGTATGCAAAATGGCTGAAGCACGGGCTTGAAAAGAAAACCCAATGCTGTTTTTACGACATTTTCCACATATTTTTTTTCAATGAGGTTAGTCTCGAATTTGAAGTAGTACGTGCCCGAAGAAGTTTGTTTTTAACAAACACGCGGGGCGTCCTATGTCAAAATTTAATGGGGATGCGGTTTTTTTGACGAACCGAATTATTTCGCCAGCTTTGTCACGTTGTACTTCACTCTCTTTGTGGACATGCTATTCGTGTGAAGGTCACAACATTAAATGTGAAAAAAAAATGATTATGAAATGGCGGTTAAGCCATTAATGGGTTACGTATTATGGAAAAGGAAAAAAAAAGTGTGTTATAAAATTCCAGGGTGCTTTATAAGTCGGGTGATTTGGTAATTGCCATGGTACTTAAGGGGGTAGCCAAAGAGTCTTCAATGTGGCCAAGGGGCTAGTATTGTGTTGTGAAAAGGCATCGAAAACGCGGGTCGAAAAGGTACACAATTATTAAAAGTGAATGCGTTTATTCTGGATCACTACACTGCTGGCAATAATATACTTTATGCGTAGCAGCCATCTTAGAGGGCAAGTCCTTTGTTTTGCTAGGAAATGCATTCATGAGTGAACAATAACGCGCAGTCATTGCTACTACATTGAAAAAACAATATAAAAAGATGCTACGCATTAGGTCTATAAGAAAAACTCTATTATATGGGTCTGAAATGACAGGTTTAGCTCTAAAGTTTGAAACACAAGATTAAAACAATCGGAACATATTTGCATCAATATTTCCTTTTTTATGTTACCCAGATGAAGAGTCTCTATCCAAATCCTATCTCGACATAGATCTCTTGCATCCGACTTCATAACTGAGAAGTTGTCATTCCTCTGGCTTAGGCACAAATAGATTTTATATACAATCATTGTCACTGAAATTGAAAAACAAGAAAAACTTTTTCCCTCAGTGACGGTGTAGCGTGAATATCCGACTCAAAGAAATATTGACTTGTTGGTAGTATTGCGCATTCGTAAGTATGATAATTTGGAGAGTGACTGGTCACGTGCGAGCTATTAACCAATAATAGGTACAAGGAGTCCGATTTTCACAGGAGTCAGATTTTCATATGACAACGGCGCACCGTGCACGAGGTATATTTTTTAACCATGGTGTATGCCTGCTCACTTGTTGTCTAAACAGTTTTAAGTACCAGAGTATGTAAAAACTGTAAAATATATGTACAAACAGAGTATGTAAAAACAGTAGAATACGCATCTATATCCATACACCATATACACACACTGGGACCCAATTTATGGACCTGCTATAAAGCCAAAGATATTGCTTAGCCAATAGAACTATATGCTGGGACCAGACCCACAAGCAATACTCATGTCATCGAGTTCGGGCTGGTGACCTGTTGTTTCCAAAAGCTGATAATATCCTGTGCTTATAGCAAATTCCTCTGCTTAGCAGCTCCGTAAAAAGTGACCCAGAGGTCATAAGGGCAACCATGCACTGGCCGTCCTCAGACACCATATATCAGTATATGCCTGCTGGAAATGGTCCAATTAAATAATAAGCTCGGAGGTCACAGAAATAAAACATCCTTTTACGACCAAACCAAATTTCCGAATTTCTGCTAGCAGAAAAGCGGAAATTGCGTTTACGTCAAAACCAAATTTCTAAATTTCTACTAGCAGAAAATCGGAAATTGCTTTTACGACCAAAGCAAATTTCCGAATTTCCACTAGCAGAAAATCGGAAAATGCGTTTAAGACCAGAGCAAATTTCCGAATTTCTTTTAGTAGAAAAATGAACGTTTGATACCATTAACCAAATTTCTTTTGTTTGACTCCATAGGTCGTATGGGGTAAGAAACCCTCATCTGAGTCGAGCAGGTCGACTGGTTGTGTATGTACCAAAAAGTAATTGTGTTTGATGATCTAGCCAACAAAAGTCGGAATGACATAAAAGCAATTTTTTTTAAAGACAACACTAAGGGCGGATCCAGAACACCTTTTTTGGGGGGGAGGGGGGAAAGAAAAAATGTGGACCCCAAAAAGTGGGTCCCATTACAAATTAATAAGGGCTTGGGGTTCGGGGCCCGCTTAACGGCCCCGAAACATTGTTTTGGATTGTAGTTGCTCTGTGGTGCGATCTGATCACTTTAACAAAATCTTTTTGAGGAAAAGATAGTGGTGTGCGCAATGACTGCCTGTACTGCAACGTCATTTAAAACAAAATTAAAATTGGGCTCCTTTGGTTTTTGGGTGGGGTGGGGGGGGGGGGTCGGGGGTCATGGCCCCCGTTGTCCCCCCTGCATCCGCCCTTGGCAGCGCCAACTTGTTCTTTTATTAGAATTGTAGCCTATATTTGGCGACTAACCAAACTTCAGCCGCGTTCACTCTGGACTTCATTTTTAAGGAGACTGAAAACAACCCCCTAGTTTGCTCAAGGTTTATACAAAATCATTAGTCAAGTTCCTCCCCTATCGTTTTTAAATATTAATTTTCTTTAAGGCCTATCATTAAAATTCTGCTGATGAGGGTTTCTTTAATACCCCAAACGACTTATGGAGTAGCCCAAAAAAATCTCCACCTTGATTTTCTACTAGTACAAACAATTGAAATCTGGATCATTTTTCTGCTAGTGAAAATTCTGAAATTTGGTTTGGTCGTAAAAGCAATTTCCGATTTTCTGCCAGCAGAAATTTGGAAATTTGGTTTGGTCGTAAACGCAATTTCCGATTTTCTGCTAGCAGAAATTCGGAAATTTGGTTTGGACGTAATCGCAATTTCCGATTTTCTGCTAGTAGAAATTCGGAAATTTGGTTTATTCGTAAACTCTCTTTCCGATTTTTTTCCAGTAGAAATTCACAAATTTGGTTTGTTCACTTTTGGACCACTTATGTACAAGAAAATAAATAATCCAAATTTTTGATAATAGAAAAATGAAAATTCAGAAAGAGGACTTCATTTCAACCATAATTCTGTTTTTGTCCTTGAGAAAACGGGTTCTCCACTTGTGGTCTTCCATAGTCGCCGGTCGATCGCCCGGCCAGTGTCCTGGTACGTAGGCATAGTCGAAACGTTGGGGTGGGCCGTCCGGTGGAGATGGGGTAGGCGTCAGTGGAACCTTAATTAACCACCTTTCCGGCGCACACTAATTGGCATATACGGCTGCATCAGCTCCGCCGATATTAATATCGTACACCGCTTCTGGGACTGCATAGATGTGTGTATCAGTGAGGGCAGAAGGTATATCCGGGGCCCGAACTGTTCTCTGACTGTTACTTTTCCTGCACCTAGAGCAAATAAATAGAAGATTGTTCGGTTCTTGAAAAGAACAGACTTCAAGGGCAACATAATTGCCCTAAATAACACCAGTTCTTCGTAAAGTTGAATCAGAGCAATCATGCAAAGTTCAATGGTAAAAGTCCTTTCTGGCTGAACACGCCTGAAATGCCATGTTTGTTTCACATTTGGAAGATTGACTGTTTGCTTTGTAAACCTGAAACCGATATCACTGAGCTAAGGAGAGCTTTGCTTAGCAAAAACAGGTTACCAGCCAACATTTCGTGTCATGTTATTGCTGTTGACTGGTACTCTGGCATTGCAGTTAAGCCTTCATTGCTGAAGCAGCCTCAAGCGTTAAATGCAAACCTATAATCTGATTGATGCCTCCTCTGGCATCTTTAGCCTTGCGGTTGGCGAATAAAGAAAATGAGCTCACCTTCTGATGAGAAAAATAAGAAGCAGGATCACCACGAGGAGAACTCCTCCAGCCGCTGCTCCTCCTGCCACCTTCCCCACTAGCGTGTCAATAGCTTGAGATAAAATAAAAAATATTATAGTTTCCCTCACTCGGCATTTAGAACCTCAGTGGGCCACTATTAAAAGTAAAATAAAGAACAATTAGGGTTCTTCATATTGCTATATCACTTCAACGAACTTTGAACGAACGAGACAAATTGGGTCACATTTTCAAAAAAATTAGCCTCCCCCAACCCAAAAGTTGTACACGCTCCTACACGCAACTGATCATGAAAACTGTTTTATTTTTTAATGAAGTTGATGTGGAAGTAATACATGTATTTCAGTAACTGGTATGACTGGTACGAACATAAATTAATAAACCACAGAACACCAAGTCCTTATGGTTGAATTTAAATAAATTAGTAGTTTTCGCCCGGCCTTTCTGGCTATGGGCTCCGTGCGCACACGAAAGAGGATGCGTTTTTACCTCTATGCTTTGAAGAGCTCCGTGGACAGCGTGCACTGGTTCGCGCGCGAAGTACGCATGACTTCCTGAATGTGCCAAAGCTATAGCTATGGGCGTCGCCAGGATTTTTTCTAGAGGGGGGCAAAAAAAAATTTTGCCAAAAAATGCTTGTATTTCTCAACACATTCTCGAATTATCAGTTTTAGAGGGGGGCAGGGACATTCCCCCCCCCCAACTCATTAAATTTACACCACTTTGTCTTCGCGCCTCTTTTTTCTTTTTTCTTTTTTTCTTCTTTTTTCTTGCTTTTTTTTTTTTTTTTTGCTCTTCCGGTGGGGGGGGGGGGGGGGGGGGGGGCAAGTGCCCCCCTTGCCCCCCTCCCCCCTCGCGACGCCCATGGCTATAGCCATCGCGTCTCCGCGTGCACGTCAGGCGTCGTCGGCGCGCGAATACGTTCGAATTCAACTTGCGATGGTCTCCGAGACTAATCTCCGCCTCCAATAACTTTGGAAACATTCGAAATACGCAGTGGATGGATCGGGAACCAGTCTAGGTCACCCCAAACTCTCCTTTTCTGGCCGTTGACGGGGTACGTGTGCACGGAACCCATAGATCGCAAGCTGCATACTTTCGTATCCTTGAGATGCAACTGTAGGCCGACAAATAATGACTATCGTCTTTGGTGGCAAACGAATAAGTCAAAATGGCTACAATAGCTTGTTTAAGCAATAACTAGACTAATTGCCCTTTCGACTAACCCGTTAGTCACATCGACAAATACTTGCTATCAAAAATTACCTTCCAATGAATGACTAAGAATATTATTCGTCACATTTTCGAAAAATGTGGCCGTCTCAAGAACCTGGATTTTTTAAAGCTCGCCCAAGGAGTGTCATTATGAAAAATAGCGCCGCCACCAGTCTGTGCCTTGAAAATGGACGCCACTGTGTATTTTGAAACGCTATAGGTTCCAGACCAATAAATACACAGCACTAGACCTGCATTGATAATCAAGACGTTAGTGCACTCCCAAAAATGAGGACAAAATTCTGCAAGGTGTTTGATACAACCAAGCCTCAAAATTAAAGCTTACTTCACCATAGCTTGGTAAAGCACTTTTAGGGCCCAATTTCATCCAACTTTCACTGAGATGGAAGCTTGCAGTCATAACTGCAAGCGTGCATTTCTGTGAAAGTTAGATAGCATTGGGCAAATTGGCAAGATGGATCCATTCTGATCTACCACTGTACCAGTTACTACACGGCTTTAGCACAGCCTCCAGTCTATGCCAGTTCTACTACCCAGTCCCAGTTCTACTACCCACGGCTCACGGCACACTGAGTTAATCATTGTCATCATTGTAACCTGTGAACAATCATCTGTAAACCTGTCACCAGCCTCCTGACGTACCCTAACTTCCACAGTCATTTCATAATTCAACGATGGACCAGGTATTCAAACAGGAATGTGCCAATTTTGTAGACAACTTACCTTTAGTCGTTGCAGCTAGAGTGGGAATCGTTACAGTGGAAGCTGCAGAAAGGGTGGTTGTCGTTACAGCGGGGTTGGTAGTCGTTGTGGCGGGGGTAGTAGTTGTTGCAGCAGGGGTGGTTGTCGTTACAGCGGGGTTGGTAGTCGTTGTAGCGGGGATAGTAGTTGTTGCAGCAGGGCTGGTTGTCGTTGCAGCTGGGTTAGTAGTCTTTGTGGCGGGGGTGGTAGTCGTTGCGGTGGGGGTGGTTACAGTAGCTTTAATAAGAACAAAAATATATTTGCTAATTCGAGAGGTGATACGTGATGAGCTCACAGGAGGCACCGAACGTCAGATTAACGTTGGATTATGGTCGTATCGTGGTCGCAACGTCGGATCAACCATTTCTAACCAGAAATCAACTTTGTTTGTGTCCACCTAAAGACAACGTTGTAATTTAAACGTCTGACGGACGTTGTTTTTAGTACCAGCACGGCTATGCATGGTAGTCCTCATGCACAACCCTGCGGTATGACCTAGCATTCCGAGCAAACCTCGATACTGCATGAGTCTCTGGCAAGCCTGAATATCCGTTAGCAATTGAACAACTTGTGCAACTTTCAACAATTATATCGTCCTGCATCATGTATGCCGTGAATTGTCAAGATGATGATCTGCGATGGAACGTTATTAACATTGGAGATGTTCTCACTTGATCTGTAACCTCAAGATACCACAACAAGATCTGGACAAGAACAAGTTTTGGATTGATCCGATAATATCATGATTGTTCATAAGGCATGATAATGTGTCGGCTTTTGCAACGTACCAATGTACGAAAGACCAGTACATTCAGTAGTAACAACTCAGAATCCGACTTCTCACTGAGTTTCACTACACTACATAAGCCCTACTATTTGGCAACTTGCACCACCAGACGGCTTGATGTTGTTTACATGCACTCATCTTCAAAAGAGGATTAAAGCTTATATATCAGTGCTGGCTGTGATTTGGCGTATGGCTCATAAATTATAGACGTCAGATTTTATTTCCCAATGACCTCTGATGTAAAAAAAAAATTGATCAGCTCATCAATCTTGAAAATTTCCAACCAATAACATAATTGATTGGGACTAACCAGTCAGATTAACACCACTATTTTCAATTTTGACCATTAACTAACGTAAGAATATTATTACACCCTCAAAACATTGTGTGGTAAATTTTTGTTGAGTAATTGGTTAGGTAAAATTATTGAACAATTATTGATTTAAACTCCAAAACATTGCTACGCATCACTTGTGTAATACCAAATACCTGTGATACCCATCCACAAGGTAGAATTTGCTGAACAACGCCAAGCCTGCGAATCTTACTTCGAAAAGGTGACCTCGCGTTTTAGTTGGACAGAAGTTTTCGCTGTACGAGGTACATGGCATTTTATGCGCACGCACGTTGTGGGAGTTGCTCAAGATGGAGGATGTTCGCGTGACTTTGTAGGCTTGTGGATTGGCAGAACTCATCCCCGTTTTTGAAGGAAAGTTTGAACTTCGAGAGTTTTCGCTCACGACATGTAGCCTTTTACGTATCGTAGACTATGTTGGTGTGTATAAACGTTCGATCATCATGTATGGTCCACGTTCATTGCTCTTATCAGCGCATGCTTTCACAGTGTAAGTTACTGTGTGCAGCTGCAGCACCGACCGGCACCGGAGGCTGTACGTCTTGCATGCAACATGCAACTTGTCGATTCGCGCTGTTATGTGCTTGTAAACAATACATCCATCAAATTGTTTGTACAAATAAAATCGTTTAAACAACAAACTGGCTATTCTTTGCAAATGAAATGATATGTCGATTGCTGTAATTTTTGTCCTTAAGCAAAAATAGAAATAGCAGCGAAAAAAACATAATCAATAAGGGTAAAAATAAATGGTTTTGCATATTTTGAGAAACACTTTAGTAAAAGGTAACACAACCTATGTCTAAATGTTTCACCCCACAAGGGCTAGGCAAGAATTAATCAACATGATGAGTAAACGCAAATGTTACTCCTTTTGGAGTACTTCCTAAAACAAGTAAGAAAGGAGAAGATTAAGTAATTTCCTGCGTAAATTAGTTACACAGTTCAGGAGTAAAATTTGACACAACAGAAGCTGCGTCAAGTTCACCCCCATAACGACCATGTTCCCTTCTTACTGCCATAAAGAGGGCAATTTTACCCAATATTGCCTATTATCGTTAATGTCTCCAAATAATTTCCTCAGCTATGCACATTTATATATAGCAATACAAATGAAATTTGAAATACACTTAGGTCAATTTTCTGAATTATATTTGCACCAGTCTACTTTAACAACATACTGTTTATTGTATAGACTGCATCTCAATAGGTGACCTTCCAACTTTTGACTGGTTTTGCACTGGGGGTCACATGTGGTTATAAATGTTTAACTTCATTCAACGCGCTCTTACCAAGTGATACAATGCTTCGAGCTGATAGAGAAAACCCTTTGTATCTGCTACTACTATCAGATATGAACCTCAGCCACATTGCATTGCCGGTTGAGAGCGTATCAGGCGGGAGACTGCTCCCACTCCAACGGAACACCCTAGTGGAGGAGTCAGTAGAGTCGCGGCCATTGCCAACCTCCAGATAATCAAAGTCTATCTCCGTGTTGAAAGCGTGGAAACTGAGGACGATTCTAAAGTCCTCCGCTGTTTGGATAACCCACTGGATGTCCAGATTGCTCTGGTAGTTGCTGGGATAGGATGGCGAGGTAATGTTGATTGACTGGTTTGCCGCAAGATTGTTCAGCTCTGTGGAGGAACATTACAGAAGATTAATTGAGTGAGAAATGGCGGCTTTATACTGGTAAGCCAATCAATTGATTTTAAAATGCTTTTGAAATTCTGAATATCGAGTTTCAATCCTTACTTATTTCACACCTCGTGCCTATAAACCCGTTGAGACATTCACAGGTAAAGCCAGACCATCCCATAGGTTGACACGTCCCGCTGTTCAGACAAGAGTTCAATACGCAGCCTAGTTGCAACGAGAGAAAAATAAAACCAAGCGACTGTTAATGTGTTTTCAAGTATTTAAGACACCATCAGTAACATCAAAAAAACACATTTCGTGTTGTGTAGAAATGTTTGATGCATATGCGTAAATGTATATGTCACCCACTTTTTGGAAACAGGATTTTGGGGTCATCGGAAAAGACATTGAGTAAGTTTCCATTGATATAGAATATGGAAATGGGGTGCATACCTATGTTCTCCAGTACCTATGTTCCCCGAAATCCTTACTCTATATAACCTAAGCTATAACCCTAACCCTAACCCTAACCTAATCCTAAGGATTTCGGGAACATCGGTATTGGGGAACATCGGGTAGACCCCATGGAAATAGAACAGTTATAAATATGTTCAGTTCCCAAATATCAGGCTCCGAAAAGGTTTGTTCAAAATCTACAAATTCGTTGTTTCCAAAATAAGCTCCTTAGCTACATACATTAACTACAAAGCAATTGAACTGAAATTTGGAATGAACGTTAATCGATTTTCTTAATTTTGATGTACACTATTCCATCAAAATCTATTTATCATAGACTACGCCTCAATGTGTAGTCTTGCAAATTTCAAATGGTTTTGCACCGAAAGGTCTCATATGGTTATAAATGTTTTACTTGATCCAACGCTTTGAGCTGATAGAGAAAAGCCACTCCTGGTGCCAAAACCATCAGATGTGAACCTTATCCACATGGCATTGCCGGTTGAGCGCGTATCAGGGGGGACACTGTTCCCACTCCAAAGGAGCAACCTTGTGGAGGAGTTTGCAGAATCGATACCATCTCCAGCACTCAGATGGTCGTTTCTCTCCGTGATAAAAGCGTAGAAACTGAGGAGGATTCTAAAGTCCTGCACTGTTTGGATGATCCACTGGATGTCCAGATTGTTCTGGTAGCTGCCTGGATAGGATGGCGAGGATATGAAGTCAGTACCGTTTGCTGCAAGATTGATGTGGTTCGGCTCTGTGGTAGAATACACAAAAGTATTTACTTGACGGTGTGAAATGGCGGCAGTATATTGAAAAAGTAATGCCAATCAATTATTCCAATGATGTTGCATTCAAAATTATATGATCGAGTTAATTGATGCAATGTTGGTGGTATGATGAAGTTTCAACCATTAATTTGGGTTCATGTTATTTTATCTATTCTTTCTTCTTGATCGTTTAGCTTTGTCATGAAAAAGATTAAAACTGCTGCAAACTGCTCACTGACTGGATTAACCTGGAATATACAAATCAAAAAATTAGAGCGGCCTAATATTGCATCCTTAGTAAGGCCTTTTTCAGAGGCACATGACAGAAACAAACATGTTAGGGGACACACAAGCATGCACGGTTGGAGGGAGAAATACGAATGAGGATAGGAGGGGGAGGCAGGCCAGTGTGGTTGGAGATCAAAGGGGATACGGGAACACAGGAGTGGTGTGAAAGGAACAGAAGGGAGAGTAAAGAAGAGTGGCTAGAAAAGGAGTCAGACTTGTATTCAATTCATAATTTGCTACACAGCATCACATGGACGAAATAAGCAGCTCACACAAAAATCATATTGTGGAAAAGCACTATGTTCTATTCTTGAAACAGACATAGCTCTAGCTCTAGTTATGTTTTGCAAGTGACTGAAAAGCACTAAATCCCAAAATCCGAAACGGCGTTTTGTCAGTGGCAACGGCTGCGGCTAGCTATGGACATCACGTGAGGATCGTGATGGCTAGAGGTTGATTGAGCGTTCGATTTGCCTGGCTATGTCGTCGCCAACCCGTCTGCCTTTACCCGAGTCGCTCCGGGTGAGTTACTCGAACGTTATGCACCCAATGGTCAATCCTAATTGGCGACGCTGACTTTCTGGGATACCCGGATGGAGCCCGGGTCACGTGATTAGTGATTGAGCCTGTATATAATTATTGTCTGAGCTGCATGAAGCCCGGTTCATACTTCATGCGAAAGCGAATGCGAAGCGAAGATGATGTCATGAAACACTCGCTGCGAAATTCGTCCGAGTTGAATTCACTTTCGCAGCGCGAATACTTGCCATGTCGTCACAAATTCGCGTTCGCTTTCGCTTTTGCGCCGAGTATGAACCGGGCTTAACAAATTGGGGCCATAGAAATAAAATCCGGAACAAAAGCAAACTCACCGGTCTGTGCCATTATTAATGACGGAAGAAGCAGAAGTCCAGTAAGAACACCAAACGCCTTGCTTGGGAAACGTAGCATTGTGGATGAGGTTTCCAGTATCTAATGGAATGAACCAAAAGCCTACCTGTAACACTTATTAGTGGACGCGATGAAATAACAGGAAGAACAAAAAAGGAATCGCAAGATTTTATTGAGAAGTAATTTCCAGTTCCATTGTATAAATCCAGGTTAATTTAATACTCGTTATTTTTTGACAAAGAGCAAACAAAACTACGATTCGCTGTTCCCGTAAAATTGACTTTTACAAAGTCGGAGTCCCGGCCACAATCATTTTTTCCCCTGCAATCCAGTATAGAAACTGACCATAATGCGCATGCGTCAGTTGTGAACGCACTGGTTTTTATTACTTTACTGTACGCACAGTCCCCCTAAAGCAGTTGTCGTAACCCAGGCGCCCCCTCCACTGGAATACCCTGCTTTGGGGTAGCTGCTGTTTATTTGAAAGTACCGTGTATGCGAATACATGTAGTCTGAAATTATCATGATGTGAGTTTTGAACAGCGTCCCATTAGAAAATTGTGTCCAGCCCCATGGGCGTCGCAAGGGGGGGGGGGGGACACTTGGCCCCCCCTGGAAAAAAAAAAGAAAAACAAAAGGAAGAACAAAAAAAGAAAAAATTGAAAAGAAAAAGAGGCGCGAAGACAAAGTGGTGTAAATTTAATGAGTTGGGGGGGGGGGGGCAAAATGTCCCTGCCCCCCTCTAAAACTGATAAATCGTGAATGTGTTGAGAATTACAAGCATTTTTTGGCAGAATTTTTTTTTGCCCTCCTCTAGAAAAAAAATCCTGGCGACGCCCATGTCCAGCCCCTCCCACTGTAGCATCCATCCCCCTCTCACTCGCCCCATAGGATGACAACCCTGGCTACGCCGCTGCTAGGCACATAGGCCTCTCTTCTAGAATCTAGTAGATTCCTAGCACCATTTAGTTCCCACCCCGACATTGATTGGCGCGATAATTACTCGAAACCGTCGATATTCAGGGCATTAAGAGTACGTTTATATTCTTCTTTTAATCACCTCAAGCCCCCCAGCCCCCCCCCCCCCTTGGTTGCGCCACTGTTTATGCAATGTTCCCTTAAATGTTACCAGATGTTTCACGATTAAATATCGATTAATATGGGCGGATCAAGAAATTTTCGCGGGGGGGGGGGCATGATCAGAATTTTCTTTTGAATACTATATTACAAAATAGTTTACAAATACCCCCTAAACAAGTTGGCTCTGTCAGTATTTTGTGCACAGACGGACATTATTACCAGTATAATTGTTTTTGGTGTCACTGTCAGAGCATGGTGGGGGGGGGGGGGGTCGGATTATTGTTAAGGAATTTCTATGCAAAAAATTGTGACAGAGCTGGTTTTTTTTTTTACCCCCTCCCCCGGATCCGCGCCTGTATAGGGCCTATTAAAAGCATTTAAATTATTGGATTACATCGTTAACGTTTTTTTAACAAAATGAGTGAATGTATTGGTATGCAGCCCTATGTTGGGCTCCGTACCAACTACTGACAAACTTGGGCGAATTCTTCCCAATGTAGTTGGCTAATTTGTTACCCGAATTCACGAAAAGTATGAGGTTACGTCAAGCAGTGTGTCATCAAAACTGTGTTTACGGTGCATTGGCGACCCTACCCAACAAATATTTGGAGGACATTATCCTACACTCCTTCCCGCGGGATCGATTCCAACGGGAAAATATGGAAATCGGTTATCACATACCTTGTGTATTACACGGAAGATAGGCTACTCTTGATACAAGTAGATTACTCTGATCTGTTGTCCGAACATGACCATAATCCAGCACATACTAAAGTCGTCGCACGACATGTATGATGTACTTCAGTATCCCTACCTCCTGTCGTGTTCATCCATAAAGCTATATATCCGCGTGTGAAGACTACGTCATTGTTATGACGAAATTCAAGCTTTTGCAAGGGGAAAACCAGTACATGTTTGGTTTCATTTAGATGTTAAAAGAGATTATGAATTGACCTACCTTTCTTTACATTGCCAATTTCGAGAATGGCTGAGTGATCACACGAACAGTGGCGGACCTATTGGATATGAAGTCTACCGGTGCATAGTTAATAAGAAAGTGGCAAACTTGCGTGCGTCACGGGAGAACCAGACATGAACTCTATTGTTAGTGGTGAACTTTATTTCGTGGGGCGCTTTAAAATGAGTTTATTTCACCTGTTATACAGGTGGAACGGATGTATGGGAGAAACATTGGGATCGATTTAAGTGCATCACATGTAGGTACTCAAGGTATTTTTCTCTATTATGCTAATGCCTGTCTACCAAAGACAGTTGGACAAAAACATAAATTTGGAATTGTTTATTTTGAAAATATTTGCTGATAATTTGTCTCAATAATATAAGCCTCTCCCGTGCCATGGTACAGGAACAACTTTTACGAAGGGTGGTCGATCCTCTCGCCGGGCCGGGCTTTCAAACAAATACTTTTCCAAGTGAAACTGAGACACTTTGGAAATATCCAATCAGTTAGGATATTACACCTCATGAATGTCTTAATAAACGAGCACTTCAGTTTTTTTTTATTGCATGCAGGCTTCGCCATTACGCTTGCTCTATGGTCCGCCGTGGCCATCTTGTGCGCACATGAGTGACTGAAAAATATGGGATTGGAGCAATTCGGGATCCAGTGTAAATGTGACGCAGCTTATTTGCGGTTAACCTGCCTGTTGACCGCATAAATTGATAATCGGTGGATTGGCTGCAAATGTGTTGACATATCGAATCAATATTGATTGTATAGCAGTCTGCGCGAGCACGCTTTACTGTTCAATCTTTAAGGACCTCAGGCAACACATATAGCGTTAAAACGCATTTTCAGTTCATTAAAAGTTTCAAGTTCTGAATGAAAAATCGAGAGAAAAAAAAATCTCTTGGATGATGTAAGATCCGACAATAATGCGGACTGCAGTAGGATCGTGTTGTTTGTAGTGGTCAAAGCAATGAAGCGGGGAAAAAGTTAAAAACAAATCTTTGTATAACTGCTTTGTAGTTTATGCTACCTCGTCCACTACGAGCATTCGGTAACGAAGTACCCAAAACTCAGAACATGGGGGATTATCATATCATGCATAGTCAGCTTTAAAAGTGAAGTTCAATTGATTAAAAAAAGCGTCGTGAATAAAACTACTGCAACCTGCTCCCTGACTGCACACATCAATACAATACATACTAGTTGGATACCATTTGTAAAAAATAAAAAAACCCAATCTGTCAAAACATCATATGACAGAGCGGGGGGGGGGGGGGAGAGTCGGATTATTGTTAAGGAATTTCTATGCAAAAAAAATTGTGACAGAGCTGGGTTTTGTTGACCCCCTTCCCCATATCCGCGCCTGTATAGGGCCTATTAAACACTAAAATTATTGGATTACATCGTTAACGTTTTTTTTTTAACAAAATGAGTGACAAACTTGGGCGAATTCTTCCCAATTCACGAACAGTATTATGTAACGTCTAGCAGTGTTTCACCAACATTGTGTTTACAGTGCATTGGCGACCCTACCCAACAAATATTACTTGGGGAAATTATCCCAACGGGAAAGTATGGAATTCGGTTGTCACATACCTTGTGTATTACACGGAAGATAGGCTACTCTTGATACAAGTAGATTACTCTGATCTGTTGTCTGAACATGACCATAATCCAGCACATACTTAAGTCGTCGCACAACATGTATGATGTACTTCAGTATCCCTACTTCCTGTCGTGTTAATCCATAAAGCTATATATCCGCGTGTGAAGATTACGTCATCGTTATGACGAAATTCAAGCCTTTGCAAGGGGAAAACCCGTAAATTTTTGGTTTCATTTGGATGTTAAAAGAGATTATGAATTGACCTACCTTTCTTTACATTGCAAATTTCGAGTACGGCTGAGTGATCACACGAACAGTGGCAGACCTATTGGATATGAAGTCTACCGGTGCATATTCTTTAGAAAGTGGCAAACGTAGTTGCGTCACGGGAAAACCAGACATCTATTTATAGTCAGGTGGCTTAGTGAAATTACCGTTATTTGGCGGATAAAAACACTAAATTTGGCATGAGGCTCCCTTAGGGCCTATTCATTAATGTTAGCCTAGGAGCCCTCCGTAGGTGTTTAAAAAAATCATGTAAAAACACCTAATTTCAAAATGGCCAACATCTATGGAAAAATGACGATTTTCTCGAGTCCTGTGATTCATAAATAGTACAAGGTGGCTTCCAAATTTCTGATTTTTTAGGTAGTTGAAGTTTACTTTGGACAAGTATATTTTTAAAATGTTATAAATATCATCAATACTCCAATAAACAATAAAAGACAAATTTCCAATAAACATCCACCCTCATCTGGTTGGAAGGGAAACGCCATCACCTAATTAAGTGAATATTCGTGAATCATGTATTTTAGTAACTCACTTTTGAAACAACTGACATCACTGCTTTAAATTGAAGGCCACCATTAGTTTTCAATTGTCCTTACTACATGTATCTTACATCACGGAGACTACAGGCCATTGCACGGATTTGAGTTGCAATGCAGTGTGTAAAAAATTCTAACAGTTTCTTACAAAGTATGTGTTCTGTGATGTATAACACACTTTATTAATCCTTCTCTTGATAGGGCTTCCCACTTCCCTTGATAAAGCTTGATGTGAATAAATTGGAAAGAAAAAAGGAGCCCTCTAGCGTCCAGAGGTTCATCCTCCTGCCCCTCCCTTTCGATTTTTCAGCGCTTGCCTGGCCGGTTGAATTTGAGGTCGACTTACGGCGGGTCGCCTTAACCCCCCCCCCCCCCAACCAACAAATTTGACAATTTTTTATATATTATATTATATACCATGCAATAAATTCAGAACATGAGCTAATCAAATTTTGGCATATCTCTCTTCTGGACAGACATGCCAAAGTTTGATTAGCTATTATTCTGAATTTATTGCATGATTATAGCTCTACAGAGATGTATCGAGCACTGTGAATTGAAAATGAAATTGGTCCCTGATTTCGATGCTCATTTATTTTTGCAATATAAATCGAGCATGAAAGTTTGAGGCTGGCCCACCGATACTCACTCTCGTTGTTTATTTTTATCAAGTAATTCACATCTGAACATGAAGATGCAGTACAAACTCGTACGTGCACTTGCTAATTGTATTATTCCTCAAGCATCCCACATAAGTACATGTACACTGTATTTCATTTAAATAATAATACAAAAAAATATACAGCGCAGACAATCGCCAAACAAAAATCCTCCTCAAAGTGCTTAAACAAATAAAATAAAGGTAAGTTAAAAAACTAATTCCGATAGAACCTAAATCAAGTTAATAAAAAACAATTAGAAAAACCCGCACACAATCTAAAAAGCAATTCACAGCACTCAAGTAAACATCACGTAGATAAAACAAGACAACAATGATCAGACCTTTGTACATGTAAAACACCAATGATACTAGTAAATTCACTGCATTAAAATACTGTTTAAAAAGACAAGTCTTTAGACGACCATTGAACAAATTAAGTGTGACCGAGTCCCTTGACACATAATGGCAAACTGTTCTATAGAGAGGGAGCGGCAGCACTGAATGCTCTGCCACCGTACGCGGAGGTCCGTGGAGGTGGAGAGGGTGCCTGCAACATCATGAGCCATGTAGACTGTAGTAAGTTTGAATATAATCTTTACTTATACATGTACATTTGAACGGAAATAAGTTATCATGTGGACCCTTCAGCAACACTGCAGCAGTTGTCTGAAATTGCATATATCTAATTTAAACGTCAATTTTAAGTCTTCAAAATGTTTTCGCTCCCTTTAAATAAGCTACTTCAGTTTAATTAAATTGTCTTTTGACCAACAATTCTGATAAAACTTTAAATGCATAATGGCTTAGCATTGGGCACCCTCTTGTAAATCACACATGGTCACACGCGACACACGGTTGGTATTCAGACATGTGATCCGCAGATCGCATGCATCGCCTTTTTCCGCGGGGGATCCCTATATATGTATTGTGTTTCTTGAAAACGTCAAATTTTGTGCCTTTTTAAACAACGACCTTAGATAACCTTTTACCTCCAAATTTGGAAGATAATATGAACCCCCATCCAAGAGTAAATCACTCCATCCAAGTGACATTTAAAGTACATCAAATTCTGTAGACAAAGAAACGTTTCAAGCATATTTGAACAATGATTTCTACTGACCCTAACAAGACCTTTGACCTCAGTAATCCAATGAAGAATTGTCTTCCCACCGAACTTAGGGTCACTCAATGAACCGAAGTTTAATCAAAACCTACGAAAGCATATACAACGTTGTAAACTTTCCCCCAAAAAACTGAATTCATAATTTTTAACCTCAGACTCAGTTGACCTTTGACCTGTGACCTTTGACATGAAATATATCCGATATTTTCGTTGCTAGTCATAATACCCTATGTCCAAATTTTACGGAATTTGGGAGAATAGTTGGAAAATGAGAGCATTCCTAAAATGTTTACATGCAGGTCAGTCATACAGAATTTAGGAATGGTTGGTGTCTCCCAAAACTTCGTTTAGGCGATACAAACAATGATCATTCCTCCCTTAATTGACCTTTAAGATACATGTAAGGAATTGCTAAATAATAATAATAATAATAAAATTGCATTTATTATGCGCATATACCATGAAATGTTCAAATGCGCATTACAAAAATTGTTTAGCTAAGATATTAAAAACTTAGAATTTCTATTTTTCTTGGGGACACATTGTGGGCAACTATATACATGTACTGCTCTTGCATACAGTTGTGTATAAACATTTTGTTAACTATTTGACATCTCTTTTTTGGTTAATTGTACAATGGAAATTTGCATGAGGCCAGAAAAAAAGTCTCCGGTTTCTGGTATGCGCGCGCTTCACCGTAGCCATGCACGTCGGCAAAATGAAAACGTTTTTTTTTTCAATGAAAGATGATGTCTCAAAACCGCCAAACTCACTGGTTTGACTGGAATCCTGCTGAGTGCACAATTTTAACGTGTTTTTTAGATTGGGTTATGGTCCAAAAAAGATTTACATGTATGTGGCCTCTCTGGACCGCAATATATTTGCACTAAGTTTAGTCAGGCACCATTTGCAGTCATCAGCCGACATTTGAAGCAAAAAAATCAGGTAAAAAAAAAAAAAAAGCCGCGTCGCCGCACCATTTTTTGGGCAAGCTCCATACCAGAAACCGGAGACTTTTTTTTTTGGCCTTAGCTTAAAAACCAGTAAGGCACCAAAAAACCTTTGAAAATGGCAACACTAAAATTAAAAATAAGGTTAAATGAGACATACCTGTAAAAGTGCATTTTGAAAGACTGCATCAAAATAATTACACAGCTTGGGTCCTTTAACTTTTTTATAAAAATAATGGAAATGGATTTGAAATGAATGTGTAACAGTAGTCATATACATGTATATAAACTTCTTCTATTACACTCTGGGTTTGCTACCCCTTGCAAGTTAGTAAACCATACATTGTACAATGTACATGGTACAATGACAAATTTTTGTAAAATTGGACAAATATGGGAACCCATCTACTTTACAAGGGGGCACCCCTTGTACAATTGATGCAACCTAGGTTCCCACAAGGAATTCGACCCTTTAGTTACATACACCACTGTATGATCAGAGTGGATGATTTGGTGAAGATTGTCAAAGGGAGCTAGAGTAAAGACATGTAAAAATATGAATACAAATACAATATCTCCAAGGAGTGAAGTTCTACTCATATCTATTTTTCTCTTTTTAAATTTCATGGAAACCCATATTTGTGCAGACTTCTAACCATAAACTTGAGTTGAAGTAATTACATGTATTATACAAATTTAACATCCCGGCAATTTTCCCCCCACAAATTAGTTGTTTATGGTCAGCCATTGAGACCTGTGTCTTCACATTTTGGTTGAGGAAAAAGCATTACCACTTGTCTCAGAAACAAATGGTTTCTGACCAGTGTGAATCCTCTCATGTCTGTATAGACCACATTGCCGAGTAAAAGTTTTACCACAGGTTCCACATACAAATGGTCTCTCACCAGTGTGAATCCTGCCATGTGTGTACAGATAAGCTCGCTGAGTAAAGGTTTTACCACAGGCTGCACAAACGAATGGTTTCTCACCAGTGTGAACCCTGTCATGTTTGTGTAGATCAGCTTGCCGGGTAAACGCTTTACCACAGGTGTCACAAACAAATGGTTTCTCACCCGTGTGTAGCCTTTGATGGTCGCGTAGACCACTTGGCCGGGTAAAGGCTTTGCCACATGTCTCACAAGCAAATGGTTTTTCGTCTGTGTGTATCCTTCTGTGCTTGCTCAGATCACTTTGCCATGTGAAGGCTTTACCACAGGTCTCACAACAAAATGGCTTATCCCCTGTGTGTATCCTTTGATGTGCTTGTAGATCACTTTGTCGGGTAAAGGCTTTACCACAGGTTGCACAAACGAATGGTTTCTCACCCGTGTGTATCATTTCATGTTGTCGTAGATGACTGTGTGTAGTAAAGGCTTTGCCACAGGTCTCACAAACGAATGGTTTCTCACCAGTGTGAATCCGTTCATGTCTTTGAAGACTGCCTTCTGTCGTAAAGGCTTTACCACAGGTCTTACAACCGAATGGTTTCTCACCAATGTGCATCAAATCATGCAGGTGTAGATTAAGTTTTGTAGTAAACGCTTTACCACAGGTAACACAAACAAATGGTTTCTCACCAGTGTGAATCCTTTCATGTCGTTGAAGACTACCTTTTGTTGCAAAGGATTTACCACAGTCTGCACAAACAAATGGTTTCTCACCAGTGTGTACCCTATCATGTACGCGTAGACCACCTTGTCGGGCAAAGGCCTTACCACAGGTTGCACAAGGGAATGGTCTCTGACCCTTGTGTATCCTTTCATGTGTGCATAGTTTAGCTTGCTGAGCAAAGGCTTTACCACAGATTTCACAAGCATATGGTTTCTCAGTAGTGTGAATCCTGTTGTGCCTTTGAAGATCACTTTCTGTAGTAAAGGCTTTACCACAGGTTGCACAAACGAATGGTTTCTCATCCGTGTGCACCCTCAGGTGACAATTCAGATCAGGTCCTTGTGTGTCCATTTTTTTGAAGTGCTTATGTTGATGGCAGACTTGATATTACATCAAACTTTGCAACCATCCCTTAATGTTACAGAATTTTGCGCACTATGAAAGCATCCTCACCGAGGCTGGATGTTACACAACACTCCTGGAGTCTCTCCTTGATTCAGTGATGCCAAATCTTCAGATTCCAGACGGGGGTTGCTGTCAGTGCTGTCATCTTGAGACAAGCTGAAAACAGAACAAACACACTGAATTAACTACAAGTTTATGCTAAACTAGATTGATGCTTGTGGACAAACACATGGCTGCTTCGGCATTTTGGTCATGCATTTCATGTCAAGTTACTGACTAAAAAAGGACAAACATGAACAAGTACCAGTACATGTACAGTAGAAAGTTGCAGGGTGAACAGGGCCAATTTTTTTTGTAAATATATAGGCCTTATCAAAATGTACCTTTAATGTGACATCACTTGTCATGTGACATCATCATGACATCACTTCAATTTTCATCTATATGTACATTGTACATGTATAACACATCCCGGTCTCCATCTAATTTTCGATCTAATTTTCAACCCAATCGGACCTGTAGTTCTGTAGATATACTCCAGAAAATACACCTTTAATATGATGTCATTACAATGTGCATTGATGTAAGCAGGCATGGAACTGGGACTTTAGGAAAAAAACGAGGAAATTCCAAGCCACACAAGACTTTGTACAGTAAATTTTAATTTGTAATGGCATTCATGAGAAGTAAAAAACGAGGAAATCAGCGGATCCCAGGAAAAGTTGCAAGCCTGTGTAAGTGACATGATGATGTCATTATAACTCATTCCAACTTTCATCTACATTGTATAACACATCCCAGTCTTGGAAAACACCAACTGACAACCCAATCGGACCTGTACATCTGTAGATAAAGACACCTTTAATGTGACATCACTTGACTCGTGAAGACGTCAAGATGACGTCAATGTTCAACACAAGTAATATCTGCATGTGCTGGTCTATTAAACTGTGTGCCAAGTATAAAGGCAAACCTAGTGCCCAAAAGAGCCATGCACGATGAAAATGTGTATAAGTTCCATGGGGAATGGCTGAAAAAGAAAAGATCAAACAGACAACTAGAGGTTGTCAGAACAACCACACAGTGTTGGGCCATTGATTACCGCAAACTTTGCCACACACACAAATTCAAAATGCATGTTTCGTCACCTGTGATATTTTGTAAAGTACAGCCAAGGCAGAAATTCACATCGTTGAAAAAAAAGTTCACAACTTTTGCCAATTTTAAATTACATGTATAAGGCACTTCCGGTTCCGACCGGAAGGAATGGTCACATGATTATGCACTTAATACCAAAAATGAAGACCCTGCAATATTGTATCGATTGTCATAAAAACAAAATCAAATCTGTAACAGTTGATTTTATATTGATTTTCAAAGATTAAATGTGGAAATCTTTATTTGCTCGCAATATTTGTATTGATTAATAATGGCTGTCGGACTTTTGAGGCGTCAGACTTATCCATTGACAGAAATGAAAGTAAATTTAATTGTCGGAGCTATGAGGCGTCGGAGCTATGAGGCGTTAGACTTATGAGGCGTTGGACCTATGAGGCATCGGACTTATGGGCCTTTATTTGGTTGGGGGATGCCATTTTGTCGGACTTACATGTATGAGGCGTCGGACCTATGAGGCATCGGACTTATAAGCGGACCCCAAAATTAAGATCGTGTATTATCATTTCGATTGTTATTATCAATATCGATTCCTGCAAAATGCAAGTTCCGGTCTCTCACAGTTGATTTTATATATTGAATTTCAAAGATTAGATTTATTAATTTTTCAAGTGATGTCACATGACCCATGATGACGTCAAAATGACGTCAATGCAAAGAAGCACATCTTTAGTGTGTTGTGCATTCATGTATTGACAATTGAAGGTCATATATGTTTTCATGTTGACAAACAGTTCTGGAGAAGAATTTGGCGGGAAGAATAAAAATAAAAACAACGAAGAGGAGAAATAGTAAATTCTTACAATAACAATAGGTGTTGGGCTCAAGGCCCAACACCTAAAAAACCCACTTAGCGAAAAAAAAGCTGTTTTGGCAAGTAGCCAAAATGGCCAATAATGTAGCCTAGGGGCTAGACTTTATTATTTCTTTGGTAATACGTACGCGATAACCCGCCGCCTCGATAACCTGCCACCTGTTAATCATAAGTGCACGAGGCATGCGACTGGCCAACGCAGGCCCGGTGATAGTCTGGTTCACAGACCTGACAATTATTCCCGACGCTCACGTCTATATTGATTCATCAGGAATAGTCAGAATCTTTTGGTCTGAGAACCAGACTACAGCGTGCCTCGTGCACGCATGATTGACAGGTGAACGATCCCTGCATATTGATTCGTATCCCGTCAGGTATTGCGCGAGGTCATTGTTCAGTTGGACCAAAAAGTTGCCAAGAAGCCTCCAGAAAATTTCGTAAATTACGCAGCAGTTGGGCAACTGACACTGGAAGCAGGTTCTGAGTTTGTTATTAAGAGGGTAGGGCCTAACATGCCTAAGACTAATTGTATTTTCAAAGCATATATGAAATGGGTCTGAAGTCGAAATGCGGAAATCACTTTGCAAACATGTATGAGTAGCTTCAGTCTTCAGTGTACGTGGACGTGTGGCCTATGTTTACGGAGGTAGTCCAGTAAACTGGCCACATTTATGGGGCTAATCAAAACATAGACCCGTAAACGTGGCTATGTTGTACACAACGCCACGTTCACGGGTCTAAATCAAAACACAGCCATTTCCCACAGAACTGCTGCTGCGATTTTTTTTTAACTTTCCCTTCAAATTAAAAGCAATGAACTCACCTATGAAACAATATGTATCTTTTAAGTTTTATGCAGCAGAGGATACACTCAAAACGACAAAAATGATCAAGCTGAACCCGAAAAAAAGTTTATGAGGGCAACTCCGGTCACCTCCATCATGTCCATCATATCCATGCTTTGTCCAGCACACGCGTCATATGCACAGCAGTTGTGCTGTGTATGTTGTGCGCTTTCTTGCATATCACGCAATCTTAAGAATGAGCGCGCATTCTTAAGAACGAGCACGCACTATTAAGAATGAGCACGCAATCTGAAGAATGAGCGCTCATTCTTAAGATTGCGTGGGAATATCACGTGTGCAATTTATGAATTTTGCGCAATCTTAACAAACATTGCGCGGCATAATTATGTTTAATGAAAATGTATAGCGGTTAAAGGGGAAATAATTCATATAATTTATAACAAGGAAAGAAAATGATGTATATGCTTCTATACTCGTATAACTACGATAATTTGAATCAAATTAAACCTGTTATTATTCCTTTTTTCTGCCCACTATGGGAAGTTTTGTAATAAGTGGAGGACTGGGAACTAGTCTGGGAAGTGCTTTGTTTAGGCTAGACAAGTTACAAGTCCCTTTTTGTATCATATGCATGTCACAAGAAAAAAAAGATGTCCAGAAGGCTGCCAAACTTGCTCTTTTGACTACCAGTAGATACAATCCAACTCTGCGGCGTAATGGTGGGGTGTGAACAATAGCAATTTAAGTGGCAAATAGCTTTAGCGCTATGGGATGACGCTATTCATTCTCATATTCTTCACACTCTTCACTTCTTGACCCCCCTTTTGTTATCCCCAAAATCAGAATTCTCTCCACTACACTATTATTATGCCTCTTATTTTTTTTTCCCGGTCCCCAATTACGTGTAGTACTTTCATATTCTCTTTAGCCTTGGTCAAGGCGCTAGTTGTTATTCATCCCGGCCGTAGCGCGGTAAACGATATCCTCGCTAGCGCTATGCATGCGGTGCATTAAAAATACAGCGCGAACAGCGACCTCACGCGGCCACCATTTCTATGCAAATCAGTTGGACCCAATCTAGCGCCTTGGTTCAATTGTCCATGTGAGGTTTTGGGGGTGGTGCTCATTATGTTAATAGCCTTAGCTGACCTTATATGCCGTTTTCTTATTGGTCGATTGCTGCGTGGAAACTTGCATAGTGAAACGTGGCACCGTACACTACACGTGCACGTTGTGTGTCTCTGCACACGGCACCAATGCACAAAAACTGTGGTTCCTGTCACGTCCGCAAAAGGCGAATAGCTGCAAATAATTTGATGACGTCCGGATTTACCAAGGTGCGATTGGACACTCCACATATTAGCCCGCCTACACTTATCTGTATTCGCATACGAGGTCGAGCGCTAGAAATCCAGCGCAAAATAAAGAAAAACATAAGCTTTTGCCGACGATTGAACCAAGGCGTTAGATATAGATTGGTTCCAACTGATTTGCATAGAAATGGTGGCCGCGTGAGGTCGCTGTTCGCGCTGTATTTTTAATGCACCGCATGCATAGCGCTAGCGAGGATATCGTTTACCGCGCTACGGCCGGGATGAATCACAACTAGCGCCTTGACCAAGGCTAATATCCACTCTACTTTTCATCGTTGAATCTTTTCCTAGGTAGTGACCTTGCCGCGTTCAAGGGCGGATCCAGGGGGGGGGGGCAAAGGGGGCCATGGCCCCCCCCCAAAACGAAACCAATTTTTTTTTTTTAATGTGACATCGCAATAAAGGCAGGCAATGAGTACACCACCATCTTTTCCTCAAAAAAATTGGTTAAAGTGGTCAGAAATTGCCTCAGATCGCACCACAGAGCATCTAGAATCCAAAAAGTTCGGGGCCCTAGCGGGCCCCGAACCCCACGCCGTAATTTTTTAGACCCACTTTTTGGGGGGACCAAAATTTTTTTTGGCCCCCCCAAAAATTGTGTTCTGGATCCGCCCTTGGCCGCGTTGCAACAGTATATAGTCGTGTTCCCTAACGTGGCGCACTTCGAAGCTTACCCGACTTTCCTCGTGTAGTGTTGCCAAACCTCTTTGTTGACAAACCTCAAATTCATGCAGTAAAATACTAGTGCTTTTACCTTATTAATGCTTGCTATTTTACCTCTGTGAACAATTTCAGTTTCATAAAATTTAATCCGAAATTCAAAAACGGTGGTGTCCGGAAATTGGGCACAAATTGGCGGAGTGTTCCCTAACGTGGCGCACTTGAATAAATCTTGGAAAATTCCAAATTAACACTTACGAATTCCTGTAAACTTGATAAATTCTGATAAATAATTAATATCTTTACTTACATACCCAGCCAAATGTTTGTCAGAAAATTATTTTCTTATTTTTCAGGGCATTTTCAAAGGGTTCACTTTGCACTTGAAAATAAAATCGGAAAATCACGCCAAAATAGCTTTTCCTTTTAACTTTGTTACGGGTAAATAAACTCACGATTTATGAACAGGACCGTTTAGAACTTGATGAAATTTCACTTTCTGTGAAATTTCATTTTAAAATTTTGCTCTAGGTAGGCGCTACCGGCGAAAAATCCAAGTGCGCCACGTTAGGGGCCGCGCCAAGTTAGGGTACATCAACAATAATTGAGAATCAGCGAACAAGGATGCAGCTAGACTTGCCAAGCGCAGCCGGTGCTCGGCGGCGACAAGACAGTTATATTATCTTGTGGCGCATTCTTAAGAATATGCGCTCAATCTGGAAGGTTTTTTTTTTGCGATGATTGCGCAAGGATCCGATTGCGCAATCATAAGAATGTGCAAGCGCATTCTTATGATTGCGCACATCACAAGAAAGCGCACAACAAAATGACGCCAAGCCGTTTTCTATGGTGGCCTTGAAGGGACATAACCAATCGGGAATATTTTTTGCGACCCCGGGCGTAAGGTGAAGTATTCATGACTTATCGTGAATATTTATGCAACGTCGTGAATATATTTCACGACTAGTCGTGAAAAATACATAACACAGCTGAAGAAGGTTGTGGACACTAGGAGTTGCAACAAAAAAAACTTTTCTTCAGGTTCAGCGTGATCATTTTGTCATTATTAAGAGAGGATCATCTGCTGCAATGGTCCGATTAACTTATTCTTTATGATGGGACTTGTGGTTTTGCCGAAGTCAATCGAGCGTGATCGGCTGACTGATAAGGTTTTGCGCACAAACACCCGAGCCAATGAGGTTTTGTATAGAAAGCTGGTCGAACCACTTTTTGCGAGAGTGTGCCGGTGCGGACGGTAATTCTGTCCGGTCCCCCGTTAAAAGTGTCCGGGGGACAGAATTACCTAGGTAAAAGTGTCCTCCCCGGCCCGTTAATTCTGTCCCCCTTCAGGTAATTCTGTCCCCTCCAGGTTTTTTTGTCCCCCTAGTTTTGCAACGCAGAAGGCCAGTTCTCTATATTGTTTTCATGAATTCACTCTACAAGGTATACATTTTTTACGCTTTAGTCTGCCCTTCATGAAGATGGAAAAAAAATAACTTTTTGGTCTCTTTCTTAGATGTGAAATGTGAACACAATGTTTCGATCGATTCGGAGTACGGTGTAGTCCTATTCTACGGTGGACGCCTCATTGATATAACGCCTACTTGGATTGGTCTGCGTTCCCCCATCGTAGCGCGTAACGAAATTTCCTATTGGATGAATTTCCTTTGTGTAGCGGGATACACATTATGTACACATATGCGATAAACGCTGCCACAAATCTTGCAGCATGTACTTGCGGCGATGCGCGCTCACGAACACGACTCGTATCATCGCATGGGTGATACTTGCACGGGGACACATTTACCAGGGGGACACTTTCAACGTTGGGCAGGGGGACATATTTACCAGGGAGGGGGAAAATCTACCTAGGTAAATGTGTCCCCCCGGACAGATTTACCGGGTCACAAACCGGTAAATTTGTCCGGGGGGGGGGGGGGGGGGGGGGGAAACGACACACCGCCAAGACATTCCTCCATGGACATACATACACGGGTGCACACCGGTAAATCGATCCGCCAAGCTCATGAATAAAAGTTATACCCTCAAAATATTCTATATTAGAGAGTTCTGAGCGCCGTAAAATTGGGGAATTGAAGAGATATGGTAATGAACCTCTGGCCCGGACTTGGGGCTTCCAATTCTGAGCATTTTGGATGCTATTGGGCTCGAAAGTGGCGCTATTTTGCCATGTTGTGGAGGGATCGTTTTTCAAGATGGCTACTTTTCCGCTTATGGGAAAATAGGGGTCGTCTTCTTTGGGTGAAAATATCTCGAAAAGTCAATGGTCAACCCACCAAAAATTGAAAAGAAAACGAAAGATGACATGTTGATTATCATTTTTCTGTGCAGCTTGAATACCTGTGAGAGTTTTGAGTATTTTTAAAAGAATTTTGAAGTATGGGCATTTAGCACTAGTGTCTATGGGAGTTTATTTGCAGGTATGCACCCACACATCCGCACGCCGTATAATATTTTAAGTTTTGTTCAATAGAGGGCGCGCCACATAAATAGTGGTCTCAACATACCCGGCCCATATTATATAGACCACGTAGACATGATAGACACTGCACTACTGACGCGCGCTACCCAGAGACACTAGAGCCTACAAAGTACAAATATACTTCAATTTGTACACAGTTAGCTGAGGCGGATCTTCTTTAAGTTCTTAATCTTCGGCCGAATTTCGGCGTGGTCTGCGGTGCCAAATGATAGTACAGCAGGTAGGCCCCCTCTTAAAATACATTTCAAGTATAAATAAGTAACAAGTTAAGTTACAGCTCAGAGTTTAATGAATAGAATAGGCCCTACCGATTCTTCTCATTTTTGCATGTGTTTTACTTTGATCGATGTTGATCATGTTGATCATGTTGATACTTATGATAGTGGATATATTGTCGGAGGTAATGCGGGCAAGCTAACGTTTCCAACTAAAGGTTTGCCGGCGGCAATCCATATCAACAGAGGGCGCTGTACTCGCTAAGATAAGGCTGAATTATTAGATGTATTAAATTACCAGCAACGGTTGTGCAGCACTCTTGTCTTGGTCTAGTGGATAAGCAACGGATTTCATGAGCGGGATGACCCGGGTTCGATCCCGATCGATCCCCGCCGGTGACATTTCTAAGGTTTTTTAACATGTTAATATTTGCTTTTACGCAAAATTAATCTTGCATTTAAACAAAATAAGATCAGATGATAAACCCGGACAGCCGGAGAAAAGAAGCTGAAACAGCATAGAATACAACCGCATTTGAAACAGGTTGCGACTTTTTCGGACAAACTCCTCAGTAGTTTGTGGAACCTGGCGTTTGGCCAGAGGTACAGCGCAGCAATATTGAGACCACACTAGTGGGGCTGGAGTATCTCAAGCTGACATGCTCATCAGGAATTCACATGTAATGCTGGAGACAATTCGAGGGCCAAATATAAAAACTAAACATGTTTAGCGTCCCCGCCTGCTTTCTTTTTAAATTTTGAACAGTGACATCATTTTGGCAACTTTGTCTGTTGCATCTAGCCCATAGGCCTATAAAGCTGGTATGTCATTTCGTGAGTCCAATGGCGGCCATTTAAAAAAAAACCTGGCGGCCGTCTTGAAAATTGAATATTTTTATTAAAAGGGTCTCCTGCTTCCTTTTGTCCAAAAAGGCAGGAGGCTAAACATGTTTTTTGGGGGGCCTAAGTTATACATGTCAGATTGTAAGAGTCCCCCAAAACGGATGTTTAGCATCCCCACCTACATGTACTTCCTTTTTTTGATTGAAAAAAGCCCCAAACAAATTATGAATTAAGTGATTTTTTTTGGGAAAAAAAGTCGTACTTTTAGACTTTAAAAGCTGGTATGTCAATTCCTGAGTCCAAGTGTCGGTCGTTTTGGAATTTACAAAAAAAAGGGCCTCCTCCTTGTTTTTTTTTCAAAAAATAATGATAAACCATGTAAACATGCGTTTTTTTTTATTTGGCCTAATGTGTTCTACATGTACATGTAGTTGGAACACTGTTGTCAGAAGTTAGGATGGACCTCTAGACCCTTAAACAAGGCAGTAAAAACCACCATGTAATGTTTTCGGGTCTAAAATGGGTCTAGCTTAAGATGGGACGGTCATTTGGGAAACATCATTTAGACAAAACACAGTACAGCATCAAGAACATTGGGTTCAAACTTCATGCACCTTGATAACTTAACGGGGGAGGGATACATCATACAACTTCAGTGGCATTACCCACCCCGAAGTTATTGGCCGTCCGATTGTTTTATTTGTGAAACTCATTTCAGGACTTTCAGCAAGCATTTCAATATTTGAGACTTATTTATGGTAGATGGGTATGACCCCAAAACAGGATGAACCAATATTTGTCATATCCACAAGTTCACATCCAACTCTGACCAACTGCATTAAATTATGTAAACGGGTACCATGAAAGAAATAGTACTACCGTACTACTTTCTTGTAAATGTGTTGTGCATGTATTTAGCAACATTTTGAAGCTCATAGTTAACTCTGTATGTTTGTTTGTGTTTTCAACACAGTCTCCAGGTGACGATACACTAAACCCATGTCTGGAATCTGAAGGTTGGCATCACTGAATCAAGGAGAGACTCAAGGAGTGTTGTGTATTATCCATCTGTAAAGACGGATGTTTGCAGAACTATAGTAAGAACTTCAGAACTAAGAACTTCAGAAACATGGACATACAAGGAACTGAGTTGATATGTCACCCAAGTGTGCACACTAGTGAAAAACAATTCATTTGTGAAACCTGTGGTAAGGCCTTAACGAGAAAAAGAGATCTCCAACGACACAACAGGATACACACCGGTGAGAAGCCATTTCTTTGTGCAATCTGTGGTAAAGGCTTTACCACAAATAGAGATCTTCAGCGACACAACAGGATTCACACTGATGAGAAACCATTTGGTTGTGAAATATGTGGTAAAGCCTTTAGCGTGCAAAGTAATCTACGCAGACATGAAATGAAACACGCGGGTGATAAACCATTTGTTTGTGATACCTGCGGTGAAGCATTTACCACAGAAGGTAGACTTCAACGACATGATAGGCTTCACACAGGTGATAAAGCATTTGTTTGTGAGACTTGTGGTGAAGCGTTTACCACAGAAGGTAGTCTTCAACGACATGGCAGGACACACACAGGGAATAAACCATTTGTTTGTGAGACCTGTGGAAAAGCCTTTTCTACACAGAGTCATCTACGCCAACATGAAATGATACACACGGGTGAGAAACCATTCGATTGTGCAACCTGTGGTAAAGCCTTTACTCGGCAAAGTGATCTTCGTTGTCATGAAATGATACACACGGGTGAGAAACCATTCCCTTGTGCAACCTGTGATAAAGCCTTTGCTCGGCTAAGTAGTCTATACAGACATGAATGGATACACACTGGTGAGAAACCGTTTGTTTGTGAGACCTGTGGTAAAGCGTTTACCCGGAAAAGTCATCTATGTGCACATGACATGATTCACACGGGTGAGAAACCATTCGTTTGTGCAACCTGTAATAAAGGCTTCACTCGGCAAACTTATCTGCACAAACATTACAGGATTCACACTGGTGAATAACCATTTGTATACATGTGCAATGTGCAGTAAAGCTTTTACTTGGCAAAGTGGTCTTTACAGACATGGCAGGGTTCACACTGACAAGAAACCATTTGTTTATGTGACCCGTGTTAATGTTTTTTTTTCAATCAAGTCGCGTGAACACCCATAGAAAGGTATAAATGGTTGACAATAAACAGTTATTTTTAAACAATTGCCAGGATGCTTAAACTTTAAATAATTATTTGAACTTAGGTTTACGATAAGACATTTGTCAGTCATTGTGTTTTCAAAAGTTTTATGGAATTAAAATGTGGTAACACCATGTGGATATTCCTTTTGGGAAGGTGTGTGGTTCTGAAAGGAACCAGTTGGTGGTAAAACATGATGTTCCGATCAGTATGTACTGATTGGCTTCCACTAAGGATCAGAGAGGCCAGCAAGATCCAAACACATCATACCGTGCCCCAAGACATGGAATTCCACCTGAGCAATATCTTGCGCTCCCTACTTCCAGCATCCTCTCATCCACACCTCAGTGACAAGCCTCAAACATCCTCATCGCCACACCTTAGTAACTGGCCTCAAGCATCGTCATTGCCACACCTCAGTATCCAGCCTCAAGCATCCTCATGGCCACACCTCAGTGACCAGCCTCAAGCATCCTCATTGCCACACGTCAGTAACCAGGTAACCAGCCTCAAGCATCCTCATCGCCACACCTCAGTAACCAGCCTCAAGCATCCTCATTGCCACACGTCAGTAACCAGCCTCAAGCATCCTCATCCCCACACCTCAGTAACCAGCCTCAAGCATCCTCATCGCCACACCTTAGTAATAAGCCTCAAGCATCCTCATCGCCACACCTTAGTAACCAGCCTCAAGCATCCTCATTGCCACACGTCAGTAACCAGCCTCAAGCATCCTCATTGCCACACGTCAGTAACCAGCCTCAAGCATCCTCATTGCCACACCTCAGTAACCAGCCTCAAGCATCCTCATGGCCACACCTCAGTAACCAGCCTCAAGCATCCTCATCGCCACACCTTAGTAACCAGCCTCAAGCATCCTCATCGCCACACCTCAGTAACCAGCCTCAAGCATCCTCATGGCCACACCTCAGTAACCAGCCTCAAGCATCCTCATCGCCACACCTTAGTAACCAGCCTCAAGCATCCTCATTGCCACACGTCAGTAACCAGCCTCAAGCATCCTCATTGCCACACGTCAGTAACCAGCCTCAAGCATCCTCATGGCCACACCTCAGTAACCAGCCTCAAGCATCCTCATTGCCACACGTCAGTAACCAGCCTCAAGCATCCTCATGGCCACACCTCAGTGACCAGCCTCAAGCATCCTCATCGCCACACCTTAGTAACCAGCCTCAAGCATCCTCATCGCCACACCTCAGTAACCAGCCTCAAGCATCCTCATTGCCTCACCTTAGTAACCAGCCTCAAGCATCCTCATCGCCACACGTCAGTAACCAGCCTCAAGCATCCTCATTGCCTCACCTTAGTAACCAGCCTCAAGCATCCACATTGCCACACCTCAGTAACCAGCCTCAAGCATCCTCATGGCCACACCTCACCTCATTGCCATACCTCACCTCATTGCCACATGTCAGTAACCAGCCTCAAGCATCCTCATTGCCACAGCTTAGTATCCATCCTCAAACATCCTCATGGCCACACCTCAGTAACCAGCCTCAAGCATCCTCATGGCCACACCTCACCTCATTGCCATACCTCACCTCATTGCCACATGTCAGTAACCAGCCTCAAGCATCCTCATTGCCACAGCTTAGTATCCATCCTCAAACATCCTCATGGCCACACCTCAGTTACCAGCTTCAAGCATCCTCATTGCCACACCTCAGTAATCAGCCTCAAATATCCTCACGGCCACACCTCAGTAACCAACCTCAAGCATCCTTATCGCCCCACCTCAGTGACCAGCCTCAAGCGTCTTCATCACCACGCCTCAGTATCCAGCCTCAAGCATCTTTATTGCCACTCCTTAGTGACCAGCCTCCAGCATCTTCATTGCCACACCTCATTAACCATCTTCATCTCCCAGCAATCACCCTTCAGCACCCATTTCTGCACATGCATTAGTTATCACCCAGCCTGGTAAAATGCATTCCCATCCACCAATATGGCATTCTCCTGAATGTGATCAGAGCATACTGTTCAGGACATTGAGTTTTACAACCAACCAGTTCTTCCCGGAACCACACACCTTCCCAAAACAGATATCCTCATGGTGTAACCACAAACCTTAAAGGGAATATACAACATTTGCAAACATCGAAAAATAAAACTACCAAGTTTTTGCGAAATACCTTAATAGGATGTTGGTAAATGACCGTCTAAAGCATCCTGTAAAATTATGGCACCTGGTATACTGTCATTTTCAAGAAAAGTGGTATTTTTGTATCAATTTCCAACGCTGATCGGCCGATCAGCGTTGGAAACAACTGGCTTTTTTTCAAATACTGGCCCCAATTGACCATTGCACTTGTTTGCAATCGATTACAAACCTATGAACGGGTACGAGCCAGCTTGACTGGTTCCCTGACCTTACAATTCCCCAATTTATGTAAACTGCTCTGTTTCTTCTTATATGGAGTCAGGGAACCAGACTACAGGAAAATGATCGTTTTTCTTGGTTTTTATAGCATTTTCGAACCCAAAACCTCCAAAAAGTCAGTGTAACTATATTTGCTTAATATTTTCAACCCCCCAATTCCATCCATTTCTGAAAATTACAGCAAAAGCAAATGATGTATATTTCCTTTAAATGTTTTATATTATATAACGCCCAAGTAAATCCTTGTCATTTGATTGGAGGATTGTAGGTCACGCGGCATTCATTAACTAATCATTGCACGGCCGACGTCATAACTGTGCATTTTTTGTTCCATTCACTGTGCATTTTCGTCCCATCCATTGATCTATTGCACGCCTCGCGCATGCTAAGCTGCACGCAGCGGCTCGGCACTATGCGATGTTTTCACTATTTAGAGCATATCATGCATTATAGCCAATAGCAGTACAAAACTTGCCTTTGAAGTTGATGCAGTTGCCTTGATGACTTTTTTGCATTGTTTTAAGGACTTACAATGTTATTTTCATTATTGTCAATGAATTGAGTTTTAAACCTCTTGTTATCCTTGAACAAGCTGAAAAAAAGTAGTATATAGGTGTTTACATAAATGTGGAGGCCAGTGTGTGACATTAGGGTCAAATTTTCAAAAAAACCAAATTAATTTCAGCTTCACATGGTTTTGCAGTCTAGGGTCTATATTTTGTCAAAAACAAAACCATTTTTCTGTAACATGACCCTTTTTAGAGTAGCAACATGATAAACTAGCATATGGGACACAAATTTTACCTGTAACAGTGACACCAAATTGTTAATTTCTTTTAGAGCTCTCACCAGGTTATTGTTCAGGTATGGTAAAGACATGTTGCTTTTTAAGCAATTATTTGCAACACATATAAGTTAAAAAAAACTTTAACACTATCCTTGTTCAACATTTGTTGAAATCAAATATCAAGTTTCAGGAAATTTGACATATTATGATGATTACAAAAATGTAGCTCTCACTTGACATAAAATTATATTATTTTAAGACAAACACTCACTTGTTCTCTAAAAGCAAGTTTGACAGCCAAAACTGCAACTATGAAGAGCAATGAAGATTTACAAACACCACTAGAAAGCATGTTATTGTAAGTAAAGCCTGGTGTTAACCAACATTTCACCTGTAACGCTGACACCAAATAGTCACTGTTACAGAGTGACAATCCTACAACTAACTAATAATAATAGTAATAAATGGTATCAAACCATTTAAACCTTTCTTTTTAGTGATAAGCTTGATGGTTTCTACATCAGATAGGAAGTTTAGTTTGTTATAATAATCATTTCACCTGTAACGCTGACACCAACACCAAAAACACTTTTATCACTTTTCTTCACTGTAGTTCTACTTTAACCTGTCCTATGCAAAAGTTTTCATTGTATTAAAAAACTTAGTCATTATTTTAGCTAAAAACTCAATCATCAATCAAACAGGTGCTTTTGCTTCATTGTTTCAGCTGAAAAGAGGTATTTCACCTGTAACGGAGTCAGTGTAGACACCAAACCTTTATTGCCTCTTATTTCAAATTCTAAGAGAAGGATTCAAAATGTAATGACATCTATATTGTGTGACATCTATGCGGTGGTTGTGTTTAAAATTCTGTAACTTGAAAAGTGAGTAATTTGAATGATTCTTGTACTATTAAAAAGAAAGTTTATGAAGTGGGCTTTCGTATCCTAGATTTTGAAAGTGCTACATGCAGAAAGTGCTACATGCAGAACATTTTGGTTTCGTTTGTTTTACTAACCCTGTATTTCCCCTTGGTTGATTTTGGTTGAGTTCGTATGGGAGGTAGCCGGGATCCAAATGAACATATACATGTTGCCACCAAAATGTCATCTAAATTTATGATTGTTGAAGTGATGCGTGTCACTTATTTAAAGGTAAGGTCATGTGTCCTTAATTGCATTTTTTTTTTGCGTTTGAAGCAACAGATGTGCTCAAAATCTAAAGACGGGTGCTCAACAAAATGAGGTTTTTGGTTGGCGGATACTAAGGGAATAAATGTGTGCTCCGGAGGTTTTTATCACTCGTTTAATACCGCTTAGAGTCTGGGTGCTGATAATTACCCGAGCCGGAGGCGAGGGTAATTATCAGCACCCAGACTCTAAGCGGTATTAAACAGAGTGATAAATACCGACCGAGCACATATTAATTTTATTCCCATTCATAAATACCTTATCCGTAAAAAAATATCAAATAATTCGTTCAAAAAATCCCGATTTTCTTCAACAAGTTCACTTCATGCTTTTTGAAACATCCCTCTAGCAAAATAATGGAGTGTTCAGCTGGCGAGTAAGATGTAAACAACCCTTTTATGGAGATTGACGCGCGCGTAACATGTTCTGCGCGATGTCACGCAGAACGCACCTGGGGCGTTGCGTTTTGAATTTAGAACTATAAAATTCTGACTCGCTTGTAGTGTTGCGCATGCCTACGTGAGGATTGTGAACGTTCAACCAATGAAACGGTAAGAGGCACTGGATTTTTAGGAGTCCACATTTTATTGTGACACTGGAAAAGTGTTTAAGACCAGCTAGCCATGTCTTTATCATCCGTTTAAGACCGGCCACGTGACGGGCTCTCGACCAATAGGAATGGCTAAACTGTCTGAGGTATTTATGAATATAAGATAATACTAGATCTCGGTTTCAATTCAGAAGTTTCCGAGTCTTGTTTTGAATTGCGCCTGAGATTAACATCCCTCATTCAGCCGATTGCAGCTGCGCGATTTCACGCACTGTCTATGCACTGAACCCATAGATATAGAATCAGCCTCGACTCCATGGGCGCGTGCGCGTTCCTTACACTAACCCCCGGCCGTGATGATGACGTAAATGACGCTGATTGGCTATTCACAGCGTACTGCGTTCACATTTCGAAGATTGCCCGCCGGGCGCGCCCATGATGCGCTCGCGTACGTGCTTTGCACGTAAAACGTCACGTACGAAAAAATATTGTTATTCAAAAGTCGCGATACCTGTACGATATCAACCTCGTGCCCCGAGGGTACGATCTTGCAGCGCCATGTTGTCTCCCATCATGCCTTGCGCGATCGTAACCCCTGGAATTGTGTAATTTAAATATACCAAAATACGGTATATTATAATTAGGGCTGCAGTTTATCCGTTTAACGTGCCGACGCCATCTTTAAAATGTTAAAAGTTGTGATTTTGAAGAATCAATCCTTTCAAACACAACGTTTGGACGTTGTGTTAATTAGCAAAGATTTGTATTAATTGTACGTACCCCTTTCGTGCCTTTACAACCACAGATACAGGGTTTTTTTTAGCGAAAAACTCGGCTGACATAATCCATATCGTACAGGCTTCGCGACTTTTGAATCATAATTTTTTTTTCGTACGTGACGTTACGTGCAAAGCTAAGCACGCGCCCTCGAGCGCATATTGGGCGCGCCCGGCGTGCAATCTTCGAAATGCCCGCGCAGTACGCTGTGAATAGCCATTTAGTCAGCCTCGACTCCAGGGGCGCGTGCTCGTTCCTTACACTAAAGCATGATGGGAAACAACATGGCGCTGCAAGATCGTACCCACGGGGCACGAGGTTGCCATTTAGTGTCATTTACGTCATCATCACAGCCAGGGGTTAGTGTAAGGAACGAGCACACGCCCCTGGAGTCGAGGCTGGTACGATATGGATTATGGCAGCCTCGTTTTTCGCTTAAAAAACCCTGTATCTCAGCCTCGACTCCAGGGGCGCGTGCTCGTTCCTCACACTACGATCGCGCAAGGCATGATGGGAAACAACATGGCGCTGCAAGATCGTACCCACGGGGCACGAGGTTGCCTGTATCTGTGGTTGTAAAGGCACGAAAGGGGTACGTACATTTAATACAAATCTTTGCTAAATAACGCAACGTCCAAACGTTATGTTTGAAAGGATTGATTCTTCAAAATCACAACTTTTAACATTTAAAGATGGCGTTGGCACGTAAAACGGATAAACTGCAGCCTAATTATAATGTGCCATATTTTGACACATTTCAACCTCGTTCCCCATGGGTACGATCGCGCTGCGACATGTTGTTTCCCATCATGCCTTGCGCGATCTTGTTAGTGTAAGGAACGCGCACGCGCCCCTGGAGTCGAGGCTGGACACATTTAAATTACACAATTCCAGGGGTTCAGATCGCGCACGGCATGACGGGAAACATCATGGCGCAGCAAGATCGTACCCATGGGGAACAAGGTTGATCTTTCCATAGAAACATATGGGGAAAAAAGTGCGCGTAACGCAACTTTTGCCCCACCCGCTAAAAAATGGCGCCGCCCATGGCAGTCTATCGCTATGCCGATCCAGTGTTTTTATTCTATATCTACGGAACTGACGAATAATCAAACGCAAGCGCGTCTTGCGTCTTGTCAACGCTTGCGCGCACCCACCATGAGATTCGCCGAATTACCAACTATAAATGAGTCACGTGTGACCATCTTTTAGAAAGATAAGTTGTTTTTATTGTTTCATTTGGATATAGTCATGTACATGTAGCTGCAAAAAGACCAACCACGTGCACAAGACCAATGCTCAGAGAGCAATTTGAAACTACAGCCATGTTTGTAGAGCTACATTAAGATGATACATCTTGAACCTTGCTTTTTTACTTGTAAACGTGCATTCTGGCACGTTTGACCACTTTGCAGAGCACTAGCCTTTCGCCAAGGTCATCGAATGGAGCAAAGATTAAGTCAGTACGCACGAGTGGCAAAGCCACGAGGCCTTTCCCAACTTGATTTTGTTGAATTATTCATAGTTTTCATGCAAATAGGAAGAGTGCTTCTCCTCTCGTATGCTGCCATCGTCTCTTCATCACATCTGCAACTCGGTGGTGAAAAGCCATGTCTTTGTGTCATCGTCCAGGGTGATAATGCCATGTTCGCCGTGGGGTGGCCGGTGCTGTGGACAGGACTCGATGATATGGTCAACTGACTGCTTAGTGGTGGGGGGGGGGGGGGGGGGGGGGCAATGTACTTCCGTTGGCATGTCATGTTAATTTATGGCAACCATTAGGCTATAAATGTAATCTTATGAGTCCCGAGAACAAGAAAATTGATGTTGCCATTTTTTCCATTGACCTTTAGTGACCATGACCTGAGGTCAAAGTTCATGGGTCTTTTTCACCTAAAATTTGCCTTTCGTAAGGGTTTGCGAAGATTTTCGAGGCAAGTGAGCACATATTGTATTTGGTTGAGAGTTTCTCCATTATAATAAATGTTATTATTAATGTATTTATGGGTTTTCCTGCAGAAAACATGGGAAAATGTCACTTTTGCCCGAAAAGGGTTGGGTTGTTTTGACCATCTCACGCAGATTCCGCCCCCCCCCCCCCCCATGACCTCGGCCATCGAGTGACGAAAAATTATGAAACTCGGTACATGCATAGAACAACTTAACTTGAACAAACCCAAGAAATTTCATGACTATGGGTCAAAGGGTTTTGGAATTACGGCTAATTAATTATTCATAAGCACGTATGGTAATTCAAATGTGTACACTACGTATATGGGGAAATTCAGTTTTGACGGAGGGTAGCGCCGAAAATATTTCACTGCGCGGCAACCTGTCTTTCGAATTTTATGTTTCTGGTATCAAAAGATGTGCAAGACTCGAGGCTAAAAAGTCAGGACAGCTCAGGCCGTGAAATAAATAATTTTTTCAAGAGTATCGCGGAAAAAGTTGAAAGAGGGAAAATCCGCCCACCCCCCTTTTAGGGCCAAAATATTACCAACCCTTTAGTGCCTGGCTTCTAAATATGAAATGTTGTAAAGTGTCCTCTGCAGTACCACACTCACACAGGGTGTTTGTCGGTTGAGGAAAATCCCCACTTCTTTTGGTGCGAGCCACTCCAGAGCGGAGGTGATTTAAGCACCTCCAGGTCTTCCATCCTGCATTGGATCCTGTAGGTAAGGCTTCTGCAGGCTTGATTGGCATCTCATGTAGTGGGGGAGACGACGCCACTGTTGGCGTAGATTACTCTGTGCAGCAAACGCTTTGCCACACGTTTCACAAATGGTTTCTCACCAGTGTGATTTCTTTCAAGTCTTTGCTCATGTATTTCAACAATGAGGTATTTTGACAGCTTTGTCTTTTTGACAAGACATGAAATAAGACCCCCCTTTGCACAGCTACCGGTACCCTGCCATCCCCCACCAATTAATGAAGAAAAAAACAGATCAAGACATGTACAAATTTAAGATCCAAGCTGATGAGTTTTTCTTGCATTATTTGCTACCCGAATTTTCCTTCCCCACGTTTCCCCCCCCCCCCCCCAAATATTGACGAATTCATAACGATGGACAAGCTATTATCCTCAACCTCCTTTCAATAAACCACTGAGCTCTCAAGTTACACCAAAACGTGTTGGGGATTTTCTTTTTATTAAATCTAACAAATTATCTTATTTAACTTTCCGCTGTCTGGTCAGAATGAGATAATCCACAACAAACTGAAAGGGATTTTGCATAATCAATAAGAAATAGCGCCCTTTATTGGAATAATTACTTGACATATTGCAAACCGCATTCTCGAACGAATGATGTTGGCTTTACGAAGATCTTAGTGGGTGCATTCGAGTAGCTCACCAGGATCGACTCCGGTAAAGGCAGACGAGTTAGCCAAGCCAGCCGGGCTAATCAAACGCTCAACCGCAGGCCATATAACCACTGACAAAACGCCCGTTTCAAACTGGGTCTTATTAGTTTGAGATTTACTGCTTTTCAGTCAATTGCAAAACAATTGCAAAAAGAGTTGGGCTGGAATTAAAGCCTCAAAAGTCGCAATTAATGAACTCAATAAATGATTACCTTTAGACTTCAAATAAATTTTAAGTCCACTTGAAATTTCTGCTGTCCGGCATGCGAGTGACGTATTTCCGCCTGTGACATATTTCCATGAGTGACTTTGCTCCACGAGCAGGGTCAGTGATTGCTGACCTGGATGAGCTAAACGAATGCATCCGATAGTCCTAAGACATAATGACGTCACACTGTACTATTTACATGTGCGCTTTCCTATGGGAGCCAGGTGGGGACGAGATCCAACCAAGCTCCCATAGAAAACGCACATGTAAACAAAGCCTGACGTCATTATGTCTTACGTCTATTGAATAGAACTGTAGGGCAAACTATTCTACTAAGAGTGCAGATTTAAAGAAAAACATCTGTCCATATTTATATTTCAAGAATTAAACTTGTATAACACACAATGTGCAGACATGTCTTATGTACATGTAACAATAGCACGGGCCCACTTTTCCATATTTTTTAATTTGTTGGAAAATAAAAAATAATGGTATCTGTCATGTTCTGAGTGATTAATGCAGTCAACTTCATGTACGAAGCACTGCCCCAAGTTATTCAGACTTATTTTCTTAATATCTGAGATATATCTCAACTAGAAAATGTTCACCTTAATCGCCTATGCAACGTACAATGCATATGGCAGACGATACATTGTGTGAAATGATTACTAAGTGGAGACGAACATGTTTGATGTCACACTTTTATGGCATATAGACAATGCTCAAGACAGGTTTCTTACCATACATGTATACCGAGCTCAAACAATTATTGAAAGTTTAAGCATCTTGGCAATTTTGTTTTCCAAATACCAAAAAGTAATGGTTCATTGTCAACCATATAGACCTGACTATGGGTCTCCACATGACTCGGTTGAGGGAAGCTTTACCACTGGTCTTGGAAACAAATGCTTTTGCCAGTATGAACCCTGTAGTGTTTGTTTGGACCAATTTGGCAAGTACATGTACATGTAAAGGCTTTACCACAGGTTGTCAAACGAATGGTTTCTCGCCCGTGTGAATCCTGTCATGTCGGTGCAGATGAGCTCGCCGAGTAAAGGCTTTACCACAGGTTGCACAAACGAATGGTTTCTCTCCCGTGTGTATCCTTTCATGTGCACATAGATCAAATTTCCGGGTAAAGGCTTTACCACAGATTGCACAAGTGAATGGTTTCTCGTCGGAGTGTATCCTTTCATGTACACATAGATCACATTTCCGAATAAAAGCTCTACCACAGGTTGCACAAATGAAAGGTTTCTCGCCCGTGTGAGTCCTGTCATGTCGGTACAGACTACTTTGCCGAGCAAAGGCTTTTCCACAGGTTACACAAATGAATGGTTTTTCACCAGTGTGTATCTTGTCATGTTTTCTTAGATCACCTTGACAAGCAAAGGCTTTACCGCAGGTTATACAAACGAATGGTTTCTCGCCTGTGTGAATCATGTCATGTCGGTGCAGATAACTTCGGTGAGTAAAAGTTTTACCACAGGTTGCACAAGCGAATGGTTTTTCATCAGTGTGTCTCTTGTCATGTTTTCTTAGATAACTTTGACAAGTAAAAGTTTTACCACAGGTTGTACAAACGAATGGTTTCTCACCCGTGTGAATCCTGTCATGTCGAAGCAGATGATCTCGCCGAGCAAAGGTTTTATCACAGGTTGCACAAACGAATGGTTTCGCACCTGTGTGTGTCATTTCATGTTGACGTAGATTACTTTGTGCAGTAAAGGTTTTACCACAGGTCTCGCAAACAAGTACATTTAGTTCTTCACCGGTGTGAATCCTGAAATGTCGTCGCAGACTGCCTTCTGTTGTAAAGGATTTACCACAGCTTGCACAAACGAATGGTTTCTCATCAGTGTGAATCTTGTGTGGTTGAAGATCCCTTTGTGTGGTAAAGGCTTCACCAAAGGTTTCACAAATGAAAGGTTTCTGATCCATGTGCACCCTCAGGTGACAAATGAACTGAGGTCCTCTTGTGTCCATTTTTCTGAAGTGCTTATAAATGTTGATGGCAGACTTATGTTCTGTAACCATCCGTTTTTACAGAATGCTGCACACTATGAAAGCATCCTCACCGAGGCTGGATGTTACACAACACTCCTGGAGTCTTTCCTTGCTCCAGTGATGCCAAACCTTCAGATTCCAGACAGGGCTTCGCTGTCAGTGTTGTCACCTGGGGACTGTGTTGAAAACACAAACACACATGCTGAGTTTACAACAAGCAAATCTACATACATCCATCATGCAAGAAAAGGTCAACGTCTTTTGCTGATAAATTACAACAATGAGATCTTTTGTCAGCTTGATGTCTTTGAGACAGGACATGAAGTACATGTAAGACCCCCTTTGCACAGTTGCCGGTACCCCACATGCCATCCCCTGCCCCATCCCCCACCACTGCAAACCTCCCTTCAATAAACCAATGTGCACTCGATTTACACTAACATTTGTAAAACTTGTTGGAAATATTTGTATTAAATCTAACATACATACGTATCATCTTATTTAGCTTTCCACCATGTCCACTGTCTGGTCAGAAATGATATAATCCACATAACACAGGAAGGGATTTTGCATAATCAATCAGAAATAGCACCCTCTATCAGAAGAATTACTTGGCATATTGCAAACCATCTTCTCAAGAACAAAATAATGTTGGCTTTAGATCTTTAGGGGTGTTATCGAGTAGCTCACCCAGATCGACTCGGGTAAAGGCAGACGGGTTAGTCACGACAGCCTGGAAAAATTGAACGCTATACCGCAGGCTACCAAGATCCTCAAGAGACGCCCGTAGCCATGGTCATAGCCACTGACAAAATGCCCGTTTTGGGTTGAGTCTAGTTTGAAATTTGCTGCTTTTCAGTCACTTGCAAAACTCAAAAAGTTGGAATGGATTATAGCCTCAGAAGTCGCAATGAACTCAATAACTGATAACCTGTGGACTTCAATAACTTGAGGTTTCCGCTATCCGGCTGCCATACTTGTCTGTCCTGGAATGAACAATGCATGCGTGTAACGTATTTCCACCAGTGACTTTGCTCTACAAGCAGGGACTGTGATGGCTGACCAAGGTGAGCTAAACGGATGTACCCAATGTTTAACCGGTAAATCTAAGACATTACAGTAAATGACATCATGCTTTGTTTACATGTGTGCTTTCCTATGGGAGCCAGGTGGAGATCAGATCCACCAAGCTCCCATTGGAAACACATATGTACATGTAAACAAAGCGTGACATCATTATGTCATACATGTAGGTCTACTGCATAGAACTTTAGGGCAAATTATTCTGCTAGGCGTGCAAGCAAAAACAGACCCCATAGGAAAATGCTCAGTCATGAGTGGGCAGCCTTGCATAATTTTGTGCTCAGAAAGCATCTTCAGAAATTTGCCCCTACAGTGTATCTGAATGGGGTAAAACATGCTTCATTATTACACATCAAGACTGAACACAAAACCTGACTGGAGCGGGGTTTGAGCCTGCAACTTAGGCATTGCCATTCCATGCTAGAGCTTCAAACCGAGCTATCCAGCCCTATTTTGATGACTCCCCATAGTCTAGAGTCAATGTCTTTGTTCAAGGGGTGCTAGTCAGAAGCAATAACCAGTAACCTGTATACCATGTACGGTAGCCGGGGATCACACCCAAAACCCTGACGCAAACAACATTAACAATGTTGCAAACCCGGTAAATAGCAAACAGGGATTACTCAGAGAAGATACGGCTTTGGTTTCTTTGAAAATCATACGTTTTGATGCATTTGCTACTTTGATCACAGCTGAATGGTACACGAAGTGTCACATGTTCAGTTCTAGAACTTCAGGAAAAAAGTCTGTCCCTGATTTCAATGCCCTTTTATTTTCCATATAAATTGAGCATGAATGTTTGAGGTTAGCCAACTGGTACTCTGAGCCGATTTCTGTTTCAGTTATTCACCACTGAAAATGAAGATACAAACTTGTATGTGCTTGCCAATTTTATTATTCTTCAATCATCCCACATAAAGCATATGTACATTGTACTTCGGTTTGCATAAAATCTTCACTCATACTTTGAAAAGGAACTATGTTTTTAAATTTTGCAACTTCCTTATCCGAAGGTCAATTTAGGGAGGAATAATCATTTTCTTAACACAAACCTCATGATCATTTCAATCACAAGAGGGCTTTCAATGCTTAACCATGTCTTCAATGTTTTACCCCAAAGGTCGGTCACAAGATAATAAAACTTTACAAACAATTTAAAGACAACAATTAAATTTTAAGATCTAATTTACCACAACTGCTGGAGTGTCACTGGAGAGTCTACCAGATAAACTTTACAGTCTGAGGTGCACATGTTGAACAGTAACCTGAAGAATCTTTTACTATTACACTGGGTTTGCTACCCATTAGTGTTACAATGTACATGTATTGTTTTCCAATGGTTCATTGTCAGTGACCTGCCTATACATGTACAATGTAGGTCTTGATATGACTTGCTGGGGGAAAGCTTCACCACTGGTCTGACTAAACAAATGGTTTCTTGCCAGTATGAACCCTGCAGTGTTTGTTAAGACCGGTTTGCCAGGTAAAAGCTTTACCACAGGTCTCACAAACGAATGGTTTCTCACCAGTATGAACCCTCTCATGTCAGTATAGACCAGTTTGCTGAGTAAAGGTTTTGCCGCAGGTTGCACACACAAACAGTTTCTTGCTCACATGAATCCTGTAATGTCTGTATTTATGAGTTCGCTGAGTAAAAGTTTTACCACAGGTTGCAAAAACGAATGGTTTCTCTCCCGTGTGTATTCGTTCATGTGCACAAAGATCACTTTGCCAGGTAAAGGCTTTACCACAGGTTGCTCAAGCAACAAGTTTCTCGCGCGTGTGAATCCTGTCATGTTGTTGCAGTTGAATTCGCTGAGTAAAGGCTTTACCACAGGTTGAACAAACGAATGGTTTCTCACCAGTGTGCAACCTTTTATGTTGGCATAGATTACCCTGTGAATAAAAGGCTTTACCACAGGTCTCACAAACAAATGGTTTATCACCCGTGTGTATCATGTGATGTTGGTACAGATGACTTTGCCGAGTAAAGGCTCTACCACATGTTACGCAAACGTATGGTTTTTCACCAGTGTGTATCATTTCATGTTTTCTTAGATCACTTGAACAAGCAAAGGCTTTACCACAGGTTGCACAAACGAATGGTTTCTCACCCGTGTGAATCCTGTCATGTCGTTGCAGATGACTTTGCTGAGCAAAGGCTTTACCACAGGTTGCGCAAACAAATGGTTTTTCACCAGTGTGTATCTTGTCATGTTGTCTTAGATATTTTTGACAAGTAAAGGTTTTACCACAGGTTGCACAAGCGAATGGTTTTTCACCAATGTGCTCCCTGTAATGTTTGTGTAGATCAGCTTGCCGGGTAAAGGTTTTACCACAGGTTGCACAAATGAATGGTTTTTCGCCGGTGTGAATCCTGTCATGTCGTTGCAGTTGAATTCGCTGAGTAAAGGCTTTACCACAGGTTGCACAAGCGAATGGTTTTTCACCAGTGTGTATCTTGTTATGTTGTCGTAGATAACTTTGACAAGTAAAGGTTTTACCACAGGTTGCACAAGCGAATGGTTTCTTGCCCGAGTGTATCCTTTCATGTGAAAATAGATCACATTTCCGAATAAAAGCTTTACCACAGGTTGCACAAATGAAAGATTTCTCGCCCGTGTGAATTTTGTCATGTTGGTGCAAATTACTTCGGAGGGTAAAGGTTTTACCACAGGTTGCACAAGCGAATAGTTTTTCACCGGTGTGAATCCTGTGATGTTGGTACAGATGACTTTGCCGAGTAAAGGCTTTACCACATGTTACACAAACAAATGGTTTTTCACCAGTGTGTATCCTTTCATGTGCACATAGATCACATTTGTGAATAAAAGCTTTACCGCAGGTTATGCAAACGAATGGTTTGTCACCCGTGTGAATCCTGTCATGTTGAAGCAGTTGATATCGCCGAGTAAAGGTTTTACCACAGGTTGCACAAACAAATACACGTAGATCTTCACCGGTGTGAATCCTGTTATGTCGTCGCAGACTTCCTTCTGTTGTATAGGCTTTACCACAGGTTGCACAAACGAATGGTTTCTCACCCGTGTGAATCCTGTCATGTTGAAGCAGATGATCTCGCTGAGTAAAGGTTTTACCACAGGTCTCGCAAACAAGTACATTTAGTTCTTCACCGGTGTGAATCCTGTAATGTCGTCGCAGACTTCCTTCTGTTGTATAGGATTTACCACAGCTTGCACAAACAAATGGTTTCTCACCAGTGTTTACCTTGTGTTGTTGAAGATCACTTTCTGTAGTAAAGGCTTTACCACAGGTTGCAAAAACGAATGGTTTCTCATCCGTGTGCACCCTTGAGTGACAAATCAGCTCAGGTCCTTTTGTGTCCATGTTTCTAAAGTGATTTTGTCGATTGCAGACTTATGTTCTGTAACCATCCATCTTAACAGAATGCTGCACACTACTAAAGCATAATCATCAGGGCTGGACGTTACACAACACTCCTGGAGTCTCTCCTTGATTCAGTGATGCCAAATCTTCAGATTCCAGACAGGGGTACGCTGCCAGTGTTGTCACCTGGAGACCGTGTTGAAAACACAAGCAAACACACTGAGTTAACTACACGTTCCGCAGTGCTGCATACACATTACTACACATTTGGACCCATGTACAAGGCGTTTGGTGTGCACTGTGCACTTCTGACTGTTGACTGGTTTGATCAAAGTGGGCCACTCGTTGGCACAGCAGGCGACAATTTGTGAAGCACCCTCCCCTACAAACAGTGACAAAGCGAGTGAGAAAAGTCTCATAAGAAAAAAAGGGGCGCTAGTCAGAAGCAAGAACCGGCAACCAGTATACCATGTAGCTGGGGATCATGCCCAAAGTCACTTAGTCACAACGCAAGCAACAGTAACAATGTTGCAAACCTGGGAAATTGCAAACATGGATCATTCACACAGGATACAGAAAATTTAACTTAAGCCTAGTCCGCACTGGACTTGTCTTTTGCAAAGTTTTACAGAGATGATGGTAAAATGAAAAAAACAAAGGTTGTATGTGACCACTGTCCACACTTGGGACTTTCGACACGGGAAAATTTACCCAGACCGCATGGTAGAAGTAACCGAGCTGTCAGTATAATGACTCAAAGGGAAGATAAAATTGCCGATCACATTTTTCCGCCTCTGGCACGCACAGTATATACATGTACACACGCCATTTACATGCACAAAGTTATCGTTACACACAACATTATTTCATCTTGACACGTTAAATCTGGACGAAAAAGGCTATATTTCTAAACTGAGGTGAAACTGAAGAAACCCATTATTAAAAATGGGACCAAACAAATTTAAAGACATTAATTCAATTTTTAGATGTAATTTACCACAACTGCTGGGGTGTCACTGGAGAGTCCACCAGATAAACTTGTGTTGTTGAACAGTAGCCTGTAGAAACTTTTAGTATTACACTGGGTTTGCTACCCATTGTATAGTGTGACATGTATTGTTTTCCAATGGTTCATTGTCAGCCATGGAGACCTGTCTACACACATAGGTCTTGATATGACTTGCTGGGGGGAGAAGCTTCACCACTGGTCTGACTAACAAATGGTTTCTTGCCAGTATGAACCCTGCAGTGTTTGTTAAGACCGGTTTGCCAGGTAAAAGCTTTACCACAGGTCTCACAAACGAATGGTTTCTCGCCAGTGTGAACCCTCTCATGTCTGTATAGACCAGTTTGTTGAGTAAAAGTTTTACTGCAGGTTGCACATACAAACGGTTTCTCGCCCGTGTGAATCCTGTAATGTCTGTATAGATGAGTTCGCTGAGTAAAAGTTTTACCACAGGTTGCACAAACGAATGGTTTCTCACCCGTGTGTACCCTTTCATGTTTGTGTAGATCAGCTTGCCGGGTGAAGGCTTTACCACAGGTCTCACAAACGAATGGTTTCTCACCAGTGTGTATCTTGTCATGTTTGTTTAGATCACTTTGCGAAGTAAAGGCTTTACCACAGGTTGCACAAGCGAATGGTTTCTCTCCCGTGTGTATCCTTTCATGTGCACATAGATCACTTTGCCGGGTAAAGGATTTGCCACAGGTTGCACAAGGGAACGGTTTCTCACCCGTGTGTGTCATTTTATGTTGGCGTAGATTACTTTGTGCAGCAAAGGCTTTTCCACAGGTCTCACAAACAAATGGTTTCTCACCAGTGTGAATCCTGTAATGCCGTTGAAGACTACCTTCTGTTGCAAAGGATTTACCACAGTTTGCACAAATAAATGATTTCTCACCTGTGTGTATCCTTTCATGTGTGCGTAAATTACTTTGCCAAATAAAGGCTTTACCACAGATTTCACAAATGAATGGTTTCTTACTAGTGTGAATCCTGTTGTGCCGTCGAAGATCTCTTTGCGTAGTAAAGGCTTTACCACAGGTTTCACAAATGAATGGTTTCTCATCCGTGTGCACCCTCAGGTGAGAAATCAACTCAGGTCCTTTTGTGTCCATTATTCTGAAGTGCTTACATTGATGGACGAACTTCAGCAACCATCCGTCTTTACAGAATGCTGCACACTACAAAAGCATCCTCACGAGGGCTGGATGTTACACAACACTCCTGGAGTCTCTCCCTGATTCAGTGATGCCAAATCTTCAGATTCCGGACAGGGCTTTGCTGCCAGGTTTGTCACCTGGACTGGAGCCTGTGTTGAAATTACAAACAAACACATTAAGTTAATGACATGGACAAGTTTCAAAATGCTGGTTATTGCTACTGTACATGTACCGGTAAAATCACATTGGAGCCCATCTACATGTACACTTGTATACTTTGTATGGCGTGCACTTTACCGGTATGCACATCTGAGTGCTAAATGGTTTATTGAACAGACAATGTGCCATTTGTTTACAAATTGGATGTTGTCAAATGCTTGTGGTCCCTTGATCTGCATGCTTGTGCATTCCTTGAAATTTGGAGGCTATATTGAGGGTGAAAACTGATGTTTTTGTTGGGCAATGTTGGGTTTTTGAGTCAACGGCAGAATTGTGTTGCGCGATGGCAGCACCATTGCTTGGACCTGTAGTAATATCGTCCGACCTTGTCCCAATGTTAAAAAGGCGATAAGTTGGGTCGAAGTTACTCGGACTACGGCCGACAGTCGGGATAAGTCCCCAACTGACGCATGCGCATTGTATTAATGTATGACATATGATTCAACGGCTGTTTTCTGTCGCAGCTAAAATAGACACCGTTTCAGACAAGTTTCCAGTCCTTTCCTCTCTCACCGCACCACATGAGGGCACATTGCTCGCCAGGACGCTAATATAATTGTAATGCGATCAAGCTAAAATGAGTCGTTTGTCAGGAATTTTTATTTGGAGATTCAGGCCAAAATAGGACCCTTTCATCACATCACCTCATCACTTTCTTAGTGTTCAGACTTCCATAATTCTTAAAATAAAGATGGTACCAGCATGGGTTTTTCAAATCCGTAATAAAACAATTTTTGATCAGGGTCGACAAACGACTCATTTAGCTTGATCGCATCACAATTTGGCGAGACTGAAAGAGGAAACCTTATTTTTTTTTCAAATTACAAGGACCTACTTTATAAATACATGGAATTCCTAAGCAAAAACTGCAAAGCAAATTTACACCTTACTTGTGAACATTTGGTTCTTGTGCTTAAATTTTTTTCAATAAAACTATAAGTAATAACACAAACAGGTGGATCTGGCTTCCTATCAATTTAATTCATCATATGAGAATATTCTTGTCTTTTTCACTTTAATATCCAAATTTTATAATAATTCAGTAAAAAAAAATGCAGTCATAACACTTTTCACCTCTTGTGCCATTAGGCCTACATTGGCAAAATTGAACAGTTGGTCAAGCTTCATGCTCTAGCTTACAGTTTTACACCTGTTAGTGCTACTAAAATCAGAAGAAAAAAATAAGAGAAAAGGCCAAGCATGGAAAAGATCCTTGCTGATCTTGTTGATTAAGTGGGATATCAATTAAGTTCACCACAAAGACAATCCTTTGGCCTTCTTCAGACTCGGACCTCAAGTGCTGAAACGAGTGCAAAAGAAGATAAGGCCAATTGAACTCACTCTTTAGCCAGCTAATTTCTCCAAAACTATCATTGGGCAAAGAGAAGTTCCTCAGTATTTCATAAACAAAGTTTGAAGACTCAATTCAATTTTTAAAGTAGACTTTTCTTCAATATTTGGCAGTGGCTTGCACATGACAGGGAAGTCAAGTGATTTCAAAATTAGGCTTAAGACTAGACTTTTATATTTTCATCCATGGTCCAACTGTTTGACATGACTGACTTCTTCCTTCATTGTCATTAGTCAGGTGCCTGACTATGAACAAATGTGTAGAAACAGACCTAGTACCTGACATCCTAGATATTTCTTTTGGCACAGTCAGCTGACAGTTGATTGATGCAGTACTGAAGAGTTGTTGGACCATGGCCGTTTCACTTTCAGATGTCTCAGTCTATTTTCTTGTATGTTTTCAGTACCTTAAGTTTTGGGACTCTCATACAGTACACAGTATAGTCAGACTCAATATTATCACCGCATCCCTATTATCGCTGTTGACTCTGCGTTGACGCTGTGTTGACGCTTCTGTGTGTGTTGACGCTATATGACCGCACGGGTCCAGTATCGTCAGAACCCCGAAAGCTACACGGTCCTATTTCTACGCACTCTAGTAGGCGCAGATTTATGGAGGGTCGAACTAGTCCGAAAATTTGGGACTCTCACTACTGTGTATGAGAGTCCCAAAACTTAAGGTATTGAAAACATGCAAAACAAGAAAATAGACTGGCACCTAAAACAACCAGTCCAACACAGCTTCAGTACTGCATCAATCAACCATGCCAAAAGAATTTAAGAAACATGTGGCATGAAGCGGGAACTAGTCTCAATTTACTACACATTTCTCCATAGTCAAGCCACCAGACTATTGACACTGAATGAAGAGGTCAGTCTTTTTAAATAGTTGGACCATGGTTGGACATGTACAAGTCTAGTATTTAGCTCCATTTTGAAATCACTTGACTTCCTTCTCATGTGCAAAATATTAAAGAAAAGTCTCCTTTAAAAATTGAATTGAGTCTGCAAACTTGGTTGGTGAAATACTGAGGACATTTTCTTTGCCCCAGTGGAATTTTTGGAGAAATTTGCTGGCTAAACTGTGAGTAAACACATGGTAAAGTGGGCCTGATTTAGTTTTGCACCTTTCAGAGCACTCCAGACATGCCAGAGCCTAGCCCCATAAATGTGGCCTATTTACTGGACTGCCTCCGTAAACATAGGCCACACATCCACATGTACAAAAATCGTGTCGACTTTGCCAAATTTTGATTTTCACATTTAGGCTTAGTTTGTAGGATTTTTTTGCTTTAGAAGCATACTCACCCTCTTTATAGGCTAGTCAGAAAGTGCTGCCTTTTTCAGATGTCTAATTTTTGTGAAATTTCATGTTGAAATTTTGATACGCAAACGTGTAAAAATGAATCTGGAATTTGGAAATTTCACGAAAAATATACATCTGAAAAAGGCAGCACTTTCTGATTAGCCTATATAGAGGGTGAGAATGCTTCTAAAGCAAAACAAACCTACAAAGTAAGCCTAAATGTGAAAATCAAAATTTGGCAAAGTCGACACGATTTTTGTACATGTTGATGTGTGGCCTATGTTTACGGAGGCAGTCCAGTAAACTGGCCACATTATGGGGCTAGGGTCGAACATGCGTGTTAAACCGCTAGATTTTTACATTTTACGATAAAATGTGCCCCAAAACATACTCCAAACTACCAAAGAAGGATCAAGTACAGATCGAAAATTAATATGGTGGCGTTAACTGGTTAACTTACGATTCAGGTGGAAGGTGAAATTTCCCGTTTCTTTCCTGAGCCCACAGCGTCACAGACCAGCAGGAGATCGAGAACAAAGAATGCAATGAAGACTGAAAGCACAAAACAGCGCCCTCTGCAGGCTCTTTTTTGTGCGGAAATCAGATTATTCACATAGACCCATCAAGTTCTCTGGTATAGCTAGTAGTTCCGTACAAAAAGAGCTTCTATTCCCCCTCACCCATTCAGAAATAAGTTATTTCATCAGTGTGGAGTAACCAGCGGTGAGTTGGAGGGAGGGGAGGGTAAGGGAGTATTCAACCCCCTATATTTTATGGGTGCCTTTTTTTTAACGAGTCCCTTTTTTCACAAGGCTCTATCGTGCAAAAATGGCACTTTCGAAAAAAGGGCCGCCCTCGTGAAAAGGATGCTTGTGAAAGAAAGGGCGCTTGTGGATAGAGGACCACCTGTGAAAAAGGGCACTCGTGAAAAAAAATTTTACGAGCACCTTTTTTTTTTAATTTCAAGAGCGTTTTTTTTTCCCCATGAGCGCCCTTTTTTTCACGAGTGCCATTTTTCATGGGGGCCTGTTTTTCATGGGCATCTATTTTTTTCAGGAGCGTCGTTTTTGTTTGCGTCCTTTATTGGCGAGCTGCGTTTTTATCTCACGGTGCCTGTTCTTAAGGAGCGCAAACGTCGGCAGTTCTGCCGCCATGAAAATAAAAGGGTCATCTAGGATCTATTATTCGATTTATCAGAACAAATTTTCAAGAGCGCCCTTTTTTTAACCAGTGACCTTTTCTTTGTCTTGTCTTCACGAGGGCAGTTTTTGAGAAGGATGCAAACTGGTGAAGCTCGAAACCGGTGAAGCTGAGAAGGATGCAAGTCGCATGAGGGATGCTGGATGATCGTGTCAGTAGGGGAAGGAGCTGAGGGTATACATGTCGTTCGAACAGTCGGCTGGAACCTCCATGGGATCTCCTATATCCCCGGTTCTGGCTGACTTGTGTTCATGCATGGAAGAATTTGAACAGAACGCCATCGCCACAGCAGATCACCAACCCAAGGTTTGGCTCCGGTACGTGGACGACACCTTCGTCATCTGGCAGCACGGACATGACAACCTCCAGTCTTCTTGGAACACCTCATCAACAAGCTTCACAGCAGCATCCAGTTCACCTGGAACAAGAAAGAGATGGCAATATTCCTTTTGTTGACGTAACGTTGGTGTCCAGAAAGCCGGACGGAACCAACCATACTCACAAAAGAGTTATTCACATGGTGTCACCGCTTATCTTACTAAGACAAACTTTGTCTTTGTATCTGCAAACCTTCAAATCTAAACTCGCATTCTGACGGCAGAACGCTTGCTATAGGCTCGATGAATGTCACTGCGGATAAAACTATCGGGTGAAACGGCTACTAAACACCCTGATATTTTTGCGGCAGGATAATGAGCAGACTACAAGTTTCTCCCCAGACTAAGGACCTGTTTGCAACTCGACTCAACACTCAACTCCAGATGTTCGTGTCATGGCAACCAGACCCCAAGGCGGACAGTAGACGCTCTATAACTGGAGGGAGATAAAGGGTTATAAAATTATGCCTTTCCTCCCTTTGCTCTTCTGCCATGTTTAAGCAATATCAGAGAGGAACGGGCCACGATTGTGATCATCGCCCTCGTCTGGCACACACAGATCTGGTAGTCCTTCTGGAGATGGCCCTTCAAAATTCCACCATTCTACCAAAGAGGAAGAGACTGCCTCACAATTATTAAACACTAACACATTATGCAGACTAGTGTAACTATACTCGTACACATACATCGGATTAATGAAATAATTTTGTGGCGGTCATTAGTTGGTGAAAACTGTAAAGACCAAGACATTTTTTAGGGTACACATTCTTTTTGGAATAAACTCAAAGGATTCATTAGCACTTTCGAAAAAGAAAAATTAAAGTGACCGCTGATATGATAAGGCCTGCGCAAGCCCTACTAAAATATAGAATGCATCAGCAGTATAGGCAGTTAAATCTTTGCGTCGTGTACGTTTTAGTCCCAGCGCAACTTCGATGTGATACTAGCAAACGTGAACAAACAAGGAGACCTATTAAAGCCCCCGGAACGAAAAATAACGCATACATGGAAATTCGCTTTCACCAATCTCGTCATTTTTCATCAATATTATTCTTTTTTAAGAATACCAAGAAAACTCTCCAATATGAATGGGTTTTTTTTTTTTCGGAGTGGTTACAGTTTGAAATCATTCTGCCACCAGTAACCTATACTTTCAGGTTGTATTCAATGTCCTGCCGGCCCTGTCTGAGCGAAAACTTTTAGTTTTCGGCGGGGGGGGGGGGGGGGGGGGGGGGGGGGGGGGGGGGGGGGGGGGGGGGGGGGGAGGGGGGGGGGGGGAGGGATACCCCCATTCCTCTATATACGCTACATTGCAATTTTCATAACATAATTACATATAGGGATCGTTTTATGAAGTTGGAACATGCTTGTAAGATTTTAACACATTGATATTAGGTTCACGGTGCATGTTACTCGATCTGAGCATAAAATACAGCCTAAGTTTCCTATCGCAAAGTTTTTGTTGCACCAGTTTCCCCAAATTAGTTAGCTGAGAATTATATACATTTCACTGCTAACACATTCGGAAATTCAATTCGAATTCTGAGTACTGTCAAAAGAAGATGAATTTCACAAAATGTCATCGACAAAATGGGGGACCGCCAACATATATCTCACTTGGTAGAGCACCGTGTTCCCGGGCGGGAGGTCACAGGCTCCAACCCCGCTCCAGTCAATCCTCAGCTTTCAATATTATAATGCATCTTTGTGAGCAAATAACACAGTCCTGCGGCAATAAACTTAAGCTGCACGAGTAAAAGCTAGAGGACAGTACGTGTACTTGTAATTTACTCCGCGCAATTTCGTGATAGACTAATTATAAATCGTAGTTTTATTCACCAGCACTTAATGGATTAAAGATCGAATTGATAACAATGACGATTTTCTCGAGGAGATGGACATTTTGAAAATGTTGGAATTCAAATTTCAGACACCGTCCGCCAAATTGGAGCAGACTGCCGTATAATTGCGGGTACCACGTGGTACAGTGCCTTAACAATTAAAGTGAATAAAATTATATTTAGTCAGTCAAATATGTGAACAGTACACTTCAAGTAGCCCGACAAAAAACAGCATATCACGACAAAGGCTGTTCAAGTATTTATGAGGGCCCGTTGTACCCTCAACCGTTCGTTTCTCTCAACGGTGATCTTGTGACTTTATAATGCCTGTTATGATAATGCATTGTCGCTTCGAGGCTTTGGAATGAAATACAATCTAATAATAGACCTGTTGGTCAAAGGTCGAGTTCAAGTGTGTTAGTCTGGCAAAACACAGTCAGCGTACACAGTGAATAACTCTTTGCGATGGGGATTTTATATAGTAAAGCTAGTAACTGCATGAGATTGATAATCGACATTGGAGATCAATCGGATTTCACCAATTCTATGCTTTGAACGATAGTTGGAAATGTCTATACGCTTCGTTTGACCTATCAAGTTGGAGGAACAAATCCTTGACAAAATGATGGCGCTGCCTGCGTGGTTTGACGGTTGGAATTTTACTACAGTCGTTTGGACGGTAGTTCCTGGTAGGTTGGAAAAAAAGAGTGCTTGGGTAGGCTTGGAAATTTGTATTCAAAGGTTTCAATGAAGATATGATTTAGTGGACAACTTTCTGAACAAGAAAAACACCCACTTTGCAATGGGAATTGTATGAAAAATATATAATCATCTGGGAAACTTGAAACTTGAAAGTAACAGTGTTTCTACTCATACAAACATAGGAAATTGTGTTCGAAAAACCACTGCAAATTAAATTTTCTTCTTTAGAATTAATAAGCAGATGATTTGTATTTGTAGTTGGTGTTGCTGTCTTGTGGCTTCTGAGGCGGTACCTGGCAGGAGGATGGTGTTATAACAAGGCTCGGCTGGACGGCAAGACGGTCCTCATCACGGGAGCAAACACCGGCATAGGCAAGGAGACGGCTAGAGATCTTGCAAGGAGAGGTACGGTGTTCCTTTGAGTGCACATGGCGTAGCCTACCCACGCTTTTGGTTCACAATTCAAGGGTGTGTATTTCTGAAAAGCGGTCTGAAGTTTTTTGTTCGTTAAAATTGATGAAAGTGGAAGGGGTCTTCCTATTGATACCGGTTATGCGGCTGTTGGTGCTATTTTGGTAACGTACCTGTGGTATACCAGAACAGTGTGGACTGTGAAAGGACGCACTGCAATGTTTTGGATTAAGAAATTTAGGTGCCTACATATCGATTTACTAATGACAATTATATGGAAGATCCTCCGTTTCCGAGACGAAAAAAGTCTTTAACCGTATAATTACATCCTCTCTGAGTGATCCCCGTTTGCTATTTCCCAGGATTGAAGATTGCCCAGGTTCCTTATCGTGACTTTGCGCTATATTACCGCCTTAAGCAGTTTATAGCTTTTGACTAGCCCCTCTTGAACAAAGACCAAAGGGAACCATGATAGGATGGGATAGCTCATTTGATACACAGCACTAATACGGTATGCTGGACCGGTGGTCGCAGGTTCAAACACCACTAGCGCTCCAGTAAATCATTATGCATCTAGTAGGTATATGCGGTGTTTTTTTTAAACCATTTGAAAAAGACCACCAAGGTTTAGTTGATTTTGGATATGCTTGGCTTAATTTTGGACTTTCCATCAGGTGCTCGTGTGATTCTAGCGTGTCGTGATCTAGCCAAGGCGGAAGCAGCCATGACAGACATCCGTGAAGACACTGGTAACAGCAATTTGGCGGTAGTCAAACTAGACTTGGCTTCCCTGGCTTCGGTAAGAGCATGTGCAGAGAAGATCAAAAGAGAGGAATCCAGGCTGGATATTCTCATCAATAATGCAGGTACCGGTAATCTGGGGACTGTTGTTTGCTTAAAACGGAATAATACAAGAGCTACCGGTCATGCTGGTGTTAATTAATGTGAATGTTAGTGGACACGGAACGCAATCTGATAACCAGATATTGAAACCAGATGACAGTATGATTATATTTCATTTCGTTTGCAGAAAACAAGTAGTAATTCCTTCGCAGCACTTCAGCTTTATATTAATTCTTTGAAACACTTTAGTTCAGTTCAGACCCCATCCCCCACTTCATCATTCTCGTATAAGTCTTATAAGTTAAATTATGTTCTCCACAATGGTCTTTGTTTTTTCAGGGCACATTCTAAAAAGGTCATCAATCAACTTGACAAAGTTTATTAGGCAGAGTTAGATGTCTCTGCTGATTACTACATTGATGTGTCTTTAATAATTTTCCAATCCTTAAATGTGTGATTGCTTTAATTAAGGTATCATGATGTGTCCTGAGTGGCAGACAGAAGACGGGTTTGAGATGCAGTTTGGTGTCAATCATCTGGGTCACTTCCTTCTGACTAACCTTCTGTTGGATCTTATCAAGTCCTCCACCCCAGCTCGAATCATCAACGTCTCCTCTATAGCTCACGCCTATGGCAAGATGAACTGGGAGGACATCCACATGAAGGAAGGATACAACGGTGGCAAGGCCTATTGCCAGAGCAAGCTGGCCAACATCTTATTCACGCGGGAACTGAGTAGACGAATGAAACGCAAATGTACGTAAGAACGAATTTCTTATAAGTGTTTCTCTTCCTTTTGCCACCGACAAACCTAACCCAACATGCCTCTGTTTTCCAGAGAGAGAGAGAAATACTGTGTGGACATGGGCAAGTCCACACAACGTCGCTGCTACCTGGTTTAATATGTGGACCTCTTTTGTTCGGAAGTCCACACAGTGAATAAAAATGGGTTACTTATGGGAAGAGATTTTGTCATTTCTTATCAAACTCATGGGTTCTAGTTTTCCTCCTTTTTTGACACACAGGTACCGGGGTCTCTGTCAATGCCGTACATCCAGGCTCTGTGGACACAGAGCTTGGCCGATATCTTCAGAGCCAAGGCGGACTGATGTTGATCTTTCTGAAAGTCTTTTACCCATTCTTCAAATTTGTCATGAAGAACGCCGTGCAAGGCGCACAGACAACTATCTACTGTGCTGTAACCCTGGAGCTCATGCACTTCTCCGGTTTTTATTTCAGGTATGATGAATGAAAAGGATTGGGGAATAATACCATCTGTGATTATAGAAGGGGCGTGGTCCCAGTGGGCGTCGCTTGGATTTTTCTAGGAGGGGCATAGGACAGCAGTTGACAAAACATCCGTCCATTGCGAGCGGGGGATCCGAGGGAGCCCTGCACTGTAAAAAATGTCGGGTAAAACACTGTTGGGCAATGAAATTTTACCCAACATTGGTTTGAAATAACTTCATTGTGGGTTGATTTGGATAAAAATTGTCAACCAATTGGGAAGAATTTTCCCAAGAGTTTAACCTGCTGATATGTTGACCAACATTGGTCTACATATAAACGCATTTTGCCCAACGTTTTTACAGTGTGGGATCTCGACCAGAAAACAATTTGGAACAAAATACCCAACACAAAATGGGCATACAACTCATGCATATTATTCGATTTGAATTTCTAAAGGGAGAATGTACTCCCAAGATAATCCCTCTCGACACCCATGTTTGCCCCCAGTGACCACACTCTTCACCCCTTCCGTCCTTGAGGTTAATACATTACTACCAAGTTTTTTTCATGACGAATTTTGAATACCCGTATATATCGACAACCCACCCACAGTCTTAAACAGTTTCTTCCTCTCTCTCTCTCCCTGCGGCGTTTTCATGCCAAGAAAAAAAATTGGACAGAGGCGACCCGCACGTCTTACAAACCGGGATAATATTATACAAATAATGGATGTATGTGAGTGCATTGGTAAGGGAAAAAATGCCATTAGGGGATGTATGGAATGTTCCATTCCACGAGGTAAAGTCGAGTTGAATGGAAAATTTCCATCCGTCACAGAATGAAATTATTCTTTCCATTGCACGAATGTGAAACTTCATTATTTGTTTTATACAACACCTGAAAAAAATCCTCGTCATCTGATGGGACAGAGCCACCAATCGCGTGACCGTGGAATAGAACTTCTATTTTTGCTGTGAAGTCGGACCCGTGGGTTGGGACTAATAATTCAATGACATGTGACCAACAACCCACCAATCAGATGACGGAGATTTAATTTACCATAACACCGCTCTCTCTATCTTAATTCCCGACAGTGACTGCGCCCAGAAGACGCCAGCTCCTCAGGCCATGGATGATGATGCAGCGAGGAGATTGTGGGACATGAGTGCCAAGATGGTCGGTCTAGAAGAAAAGTAAAACGACTACTCTGAAATGATAGTACAGTATAGTACAGTAAGCCGTTATACGGATAAAAAAAACATGACCAAAGACAAGCAGAATCCTAACCGTTTCCGAAAACGTCAGAAGTTTACCGAATACATTCAGTAAATACTTGGATATGTTCGCAATAGCTTGAGTATTTCTGGTCTTAGGCTTAACTAATTTTTTTACCAACTAAATACCGGTCATGCTTGTTATCATTTGGAAATTTTGATTTCATAAATTCATTGTTTGCATTAAAAAATATTAATTGCGGGCGTATCTGTGGTACATGTCCAATGTAGACGTTATGCCCCAAATGCACTCATACGAGGGGCGGGGCCTTGCTAAGTCATGCTGGTTACCTGACCTACGATTTGTCAGAATAGTCAGAGTCTTTTGGTTTGGGATCCAGACTGTAGGAAGATGGTAAAATTGCTTCGCTAGAAATTGCACGTTGTTACTGATTTTCAGCTGATATTGATGTGTCTCATGGAAGGAGGGATTTTGTTTGCAGTATTCCTTGCCATCCTCCTTGCCCTCTGTGTATTTCAAACTGAAGATCGGTTTTGATAAAACAACTTTCCTGGATGCACTCCTTTCATCTATTTGTGTATTAAGTGCCTCACTCACATAACACGATTATATAATACGGTCCTCCTCATCATATTCACAACTTTTTATAAGACTTGCACCATTCTAAATTTACACACGCGCAGGCAACATTGGCGTTACTATAGAATTACATGTGGTATTCATTTCAAACTTATGTTCGGTTCATGTTATTCGAACAACAAATCAGCAGCCATGTTTAATTTTTTTGGAAGCTCTGTTCTATTTTGGATGAACACTTAAGATTTGTATTTAATGATGTACAGAAACATATTAATTTCATATATGTAACATTTTGAATTTCATTTAATTTTATATTGTGTGATAAATTAAGCATATTTCTTCGGGCAATTTCGCTTCTTAAAAAGCCCTGGGGGAAAAATATATCCAGTTTTTGATGATATAAGAATCAGCGGCGGCGGAACGATTTTTAAGCTTGGACAGCACTAAAAAGTGGCACTTGCTCAGTAAATCTTTCGTCGGTACAGCGGCGTATTCAGCATTTGTTTTTTTATTTTTGTTTGGCACCGCATCCTTGCCGAAATGTCAACACGGTTTTTTTCACCGGACACTGTCTTGGCCTCCATAAGAATGGAGGAAATGAGCGTATGCTTACTTTATATTGTTAAATTCTCAGACTAGGGAAATGGAGGACCAGCGTGCCACGATCGAGGTTATGATTTTTACCATTGTAAAGAACTTTACTGCACAAGTAATAAATGAATGTCTTTGTTGAATTGTGATCTACTTGACCGACTTGTGTGGACTGCACTTGTGAGGATTGATAAAAATGATTCGAACTTGCAACGGGCACTGACTGAGTCATAGCAAACAGACGTTAAAATAGCAACTGGCCCGGCCATGACATAAAAATCAAACTTAGTAGTCTTGGATAATACAATCTCAATAAAATTTTGCATAGCTGTCACGATGATATGGCATTTCACGCATAGAATTCGGCGTCTTATCTGAATATCTGTTAAAACTGTATACTTAATCGTCCACGTGAAGCCTGTAGCAGATACGTTCAGTCCAAAGGTCGAAAGTACTGTATTATAGGAATAAGGGAGTTGGATTCGTGGCTTCGACACCAGACAATAAAGGTAAGATGTTCAAATATCATAGCGCTATCCCATGCTTGAATACATCAGTAATTATACATTAGAATAGACTCGAATTTTAGTTGTCGATTTCTATAAGGTCCTTTCTTTTCGACAGATATTTGTTGATGCTATTCCCATGATATAACTTTGGTTCGGCGACGTGAGCGGACAATCAGACCCGAGCCCTGGCAGGACTAGCCTAATTTCTGGAAACTATTATGCTGACAATTATGCTTAGCATATATAAGTAATGTACTTTGCACAGATCAGCTGATGATAATAGTAATGTACATTGCACGGATTTTGGCTAAGCAAATACTAACATGATTGTGTTAAGCAAACTTCAGTGCTTAGTCTGAGTCCCTTGTCATAATAATCCATTTATTTTGTTGCACTGAGAGACTACCTCTCATTGGACTGGAAGCTGCTTTATTGTACTGGTGTCACATGAAAATCCGACTCCTATGAAAATCGGACCCCTATTTCCCTATTATTGGTTGATCCCTCGCACGTGACAGGTCACTCTCCCGAAACGATCCTAAAAATAGCATAGTATTGTACTCACGCGTGCGCAGTACTACCAATTAGTCCACATTTCATGGAGTCGGATATTCACGCTACACCGGCACCGATCCTTAATCCAGCCCCATAATAACACGTTTAAATCATGCTAGATCAATGTATTGACTCGACAGACACAGTGTATGGAGATCAGTGGTGACATCCCATATCCCTCCTATGTTATATCATAGCCTGCCGCTGCTACAGATGACACCATCATGCTTGGTATTAATCCCATTGCTGTATCGGTAGTTCTTGGTAAGTCACGATTTAACCTTGTTTCTACCTTAACCTTGTTTCTTCTTCAATACATAGAGTCATGATATTTTGTAGTATGTTTGAGGGCGACATTTAACCATCAATACTACAGTTGCTCGTGTAATTGGACGATGCGGTGTCTGAGAACCTGAGAATCTGTTTGGAATTAATGCTACCAATTCTAACAGGGAGAAAAGGGCATTATATCGCGCGAGTTTGAATCTTGTCAACTGTATTCGAACAGTTAAGCTTACATCAGAAGCTCACATAAAACTACACAATCAAATATCGCCTAGTCGTAAACTAAGAAGGCTTTTGTCGGCAGTTCACGCGATTTAAGAACTCGAAATCCATTAGTTTCTACCAGGCACATTTTATAAGCACCCTAGAAGAGTCCACATCTTTCGTATAAGGCCTACTCATAATTAAAAGTTGTTGCCGCCGCGCCTCACTGAAAACCCTCTAAAAAATCCCGAAATTTAAATATCAAAATACAGCTTTTCGCAAATCTTGCAAGTTTAAAATCAGATGCAGTTTTCAGTCATTTTGCGCTTGTGCCTCTAATTATAAACGTCACACGATTGATTTTCATCGTACAAATGTAAATATCGCACGCAGCTTTTGGAACCATGCAGCGTCATGCGTGGTGAAGCAAAATTGGACAACTTGTCACAATTATTTTCTTGCTATCCAAATTGACAACTGCTATTACTGCAGTGCACCATAGCCTTTACATTACGTCTATGGTGTTCTGTTGCGCAAATGGTTTGGAGGATTAGGCAACCTAAAGTATATTGTGCATGTAACAATGAGTTGCAAGGTTGTGCGAATTTGAACCACGGTCTGGGATCTTAAGTCCTGAAAATCCAGGAACAGTGCGGTTGGTCTTCTTGCAAAGGCATTTTATTGAACGGGGACTGAAACATCGAATGTCTCAAGGTACTAGGTCAGTGCCCGAAATTAGGCTTAATAGAGTTGCGCGGTCCTCTGCGTGCTTCACTGCAACCCTCTACACCGTAATATGTCGTATCTTAAGGAGCATAGCCCCCTTCCCACACACATCATATGTATTGTGAATGACCATTTTAATAACATCCCATTTCCCCTTCCACAAAACAAGTGGCACCGTTAAGCCACTGTCCTCATCAATTTGCCAGCACTTAGACTACTACCTTACGAATCCGATCCTAATCTTGGTTTCTGTTCATCAGTGAGTGCGACACTGCTATGGCTTCTGAGGCGGTACCTGGCAGGAGGATGGTGCTATAGCAAGGCTCGGCTGGACGGTAAGACGGTCCTCATCACGGGAGCAAACACCGGCATAGGCAAGGAGACGACTAGAGATCTTGCCAGGAGAGGTAGGCTGTATAGTGCATGTCCAAATTTCTTCCTACCTCGATAATCACTAGATTACCGGAAAAGACTCTGTGGTTCATGCCTAGCGCATCCCAAGCACCTAGTTTGGGAAATCCCAACTCTTATGCTCAATTTTAAATTCGTCAGTACTGTTGCCGATGAACGTTAGAGATGAGATTTCCAAAGCTACCATGCACCGTTTTCGATTACAATTTTCGATTACTGCAAAACGCATCATCCAAACAGGGGATTATGCATTGCAGTATAACACATTTGCGAAGAACAATATTATTTTGAGGTCTGCTGTTTCGAGATAATTCCCCCTTCCTCTAAATTAATCCAATTTCTTGTAGCCGTTTCTTACGTGTGGTAGAGGGATTGATGTGCTATAGGTACACACTATAAAGAGAACTTCAGTCAGTCCAGTTTTCAAGGGTGCATGCCTTCAGAGCGGTGCTCATTTTCTCGATAATTTTGAGGGGCTCCAAACTTCTGAGGGAGGGTACAAAGGGGTAGGGTGCCCCATGCCCCCGCTAGTTATACGGTACTGAATTCTTTGGTACTGAAAAATTCATTGGTCTAGTAATGACTCGATTATAAGTATGTTTAGCATACAAAACGGAACGCAACATTACTCCTTTAGGCTGAAAACTCTTCTGGAATTTTCAAGCCTGTCCTTTCTTGACTTCACCAGGTGCTCGTGTGATTCTAGCGTGTCGTGATCTAGCCAAGGCAGAAGTAGCCATGACAGACATCCGTGAAGACACTGGTAACAGCAATTTGGCGGTAGTCAAACTAGACTTGGCTTCCCTGGCCTCGGTCAGGGAATGTGCAGAGGAGATCAAAAGAGAGGAATCCAGGCTGGATATTCTCATCAATAATGCAGGTAAAAGTCTGTGAAATGAATAAAAGATTATAGAATATTTAGCCAATACCTGCATCAACATGATATTTACCATTTCACAATATTGGTGAAATTTGCTTTCATTGAGCTATTTACGAATGTTAACGTTTTAGCTGCTTTTAGTAAAAAAAAGTTAATTCTGTGTTTGTGTTTATTTTTTGTTGCTTATTAAAGTGTTACATAATGGTTGTCAGTCAAAGAACAAAATGCAAAGTGCAACTGTTGCAATAAAGCTACCGATCCGATAGTAAGTTGATTTACAAGACGTCACGAATTGTACAAGTTACTGAACCAGAAAATTCAGATGTCGAAAGTTCAAGTATCGCGGGTAACAAGTCAGCAGATCGCATGACCCATCCAGCAGAGAGATAAACTAAGTTCATGTGGAACACCATGTGATATGATAACACGTTGTCATTATGGCCCCTGGCTGAATTGATTTGATTTTTCAGGTATCATGATGTGTCCCGAGTGGCAGACAGAAGACGGGTTTGAGATGCAGTTTGGTGTCAATCATCTGGGTCACTTCCTTCTGACTAACCTCCTGTTGGATCTTATGAAGTCCTCCACCCCAGCCCGCATCATCAACGTCTCCTCTCTGGCTCACGCCTACGGCAAGATGAACTGGGAGGACATCCAGTTGAAGAAAGGCTATGACAAGAGAGACGCTTACAGACAGAGCAAACTGGCTAATGTTCTCTTTACGCGAGAACTCAGCAGACGATTGAGGAAGATAGGTGTGGATTCTTTTGCAAAATTATGCTGAAACATGAGAGGCTGGCCATGTTCAATTTTGCTACTCAGAATAATGAGTTTTTGATGTAACCGTTTAGATACGGAGGAGCCACACTGGATAGTTCAGTCTCGCTCTGTTATTCGATAATATAGAAATTAAGTTTTTGTCCTCTAACAGGTAACCAATGCCACGATACTATGGAACGCCATAGCTGCCTTCAGTAGTTCATTCCATTCCAAAAATGTTTCTATCCATTCGGCAAATTCATCATTCCTTTCGGCAAGTACTTCGCTTCGGCAAATTCATCATTCCTTTCCACAAATTCATCACTCCCTTCAGGAAACTCGTTATTCCAGTTTACAAAAGCATCTTTCGGCAAAAAGAATTGATATACATGTATTCGCCAAAATGAAATGATTAATTTGCCGAATGGAATGATAAATCTGCCGAATGGAATGATGACTTTGCGAAAAGAATGATGAGTCTGACGAAGAAAGTGATATGAATTATTGGAGGTAGCTTTTGCGCTCCATACAGTACCTTTGGCAGGAAATGTGTACTTTGAGCAATCTGTTAACAAATGTTAATGAGTAATTAAATTTAAAACATAATCATGTGAGCTTATCAGTGACGTATCTATGGGGATTATCAAGGGGTCATGCCCTCATGCGCGGCCATACCTCTTGTGCCTCCTGCTGAGAATTGAAAAATTGTTTTCAGTTTGAACTGGCCCAATGAGTTCCCCTCTAGTAAAGGTTCCCCCCTCAGGAAAAGGTTCCCCAAAAATCCCATGCGAAGTGTAGTCACGCCCTGCATTTCTCGTGTTTGTGTGACGAGTATTTCGACAGGAATGAATGAAATTTGGACTACCAAATCAAGACTTTCATCTTCGAGTTGTCAGTTTCTCTTTGTGACGCCAGCTTTAACTTTTTCTCCGCATCACCTGTTTGTCAAACTTAAGTTCTGACTCCCTTTGTTACTTTTTAGTCTCAGGTGTTACAGTCAACGCAGTTCATCCGGGTGTCGTAGCAACGGAGCTGGCTCGTCACATGATGAAACCTGGTAGTCTGGCATCCCGTCTTACCAACCTGATCCGCTATACCCCGCTCATATGGATGTTCAAGAATCCTGTACAAGGGGCACAGACTACTATACATTGCGCAACCACCCCAGAACTATTGAATATTTCTGGTCAGTACTTCAGGTATGTGCCGTAATATTTCACAAATTGTCTAAGAAAATAATTCAAGTCGTATCACAGATTATGCGAAACTAAACAATAGGTGCCACGTTCGTAATCATTTTGTCACGTTGCTTACTAGCTAGAAATATAATACATATACTTACGGAGAGTTTGATAACAAAGAGACGTTGTTCTTCTGTTGTTGTCATTTATATATATATTGATATTTTTAAATCTTGAATAGATTCTCTAGATTATTGAACTGCTACGAAACAAAACAAGGCAGTTTTGACCACAAAACGCAACCTTTTAAATAACGACAAAAAAATACTCTTTTTTCCCGCCTTCCAGTGACTGCACCCCAAAGGAGCCTTCCCAGAATGCATTGGATGATGACGCAGCACGCAGATTGTGGGACATGAGTGTCGAAATGGTCGGCTTGAATCACAACTAGATATCATGCTTTTCTGTACGCGAAGTAACTTTTCTTCTCGTGTTTGTCTGTGTGTCTTAAATAATCACTTTTGCAATCTTGAAACTTAAAAACCAATAACATAATAGTATTCAATACAAGACATAGATTTTTTTGACATCATCGAACTAATCATATCACATTTTATGCAATTTAGTCAACTTGGTTTTTGTTGTTGTTTTTTGTTGCTTTACTGACTGTGAATCGGATTCGGAATGAAACTATGACAGTCCATCCACTTCCCGGTAGATAGCGGGCGGGAATGAGCTCGGTGTTTGTACTATTTAAGGAACCCCCTCCTCAGAGACGGTGGAAGCAAACTAGTCTATTCAACCCCTGCATTGGTTTTCAAATGCGAAGAAAATCTGTGGGATGATAATTTATAAGCTTTTGTTCAATACGGCTTCAGCCGTAAATATGAATTAAAGTCAAGTGGTGACGATGCATTTTACTGCTCATCCATTGTGCTCTGCACGTGTGGGTTGGATTCCACTCATCATTAATATTATTTTAAGGTTTATTGGACTTTTACAAATGATACCATTAAAAAAATCTTATAATTAAGACGAGGTGGCCGAGTGGTTAAGGCGATGGACTGCTAATCCATTGTGCTCTGCACGCGTGGGTTCGAATCCCATCTTCGTCGAGGTTTTTTTTTAAGATAGGAGTTTTAAAATTATGATTTGAAGCGATTTTCTCGTGTAATAGGATGAGGTTGCCGAGGGTTAAGGCCATGGATTATTGCTAATCCATGAACTGCGAAGTAGGCGAGGCGATTTACTTTTGAAATGCGCTCCTTACATTATGTATTTCGTCTCGGCCGTTTCAGGGATTAAGAACTTTGCATACCAAGGTGGGAGCCATTGATTATAATTATGTCTCATTTTCACAGATGAGGGGGTACTACTGCACCGACTGCGAACTCTGGATTAAGGCTACCTTAACAGTCCTGAATCCTTCAATTTTAATGCGATTTTGCACACCCCCATGGAGTTAGGGATGTTAGGGTGGTAATGTGGTTTGTCATAACTGCTGCGTCGGGAATCATGCATGGGGCGTGTTCGAACCCCGTTCTCGAGTGACCGTACCCACCAACAGTGTTCTCCAGGTACCGATTACGAACGCCCAATGCGTGTGTGGAGTCACTGGAGTGAGCTAGCCGCACATTCAAGATGACAAGCGCCCTCCCCCTCCCCCGCCCCCCCCCCCCGAAAAATCGAAATTTCCCAAGCCCCAAGCTTTTTGTCTCTTACACTTAATATACCGCGTTCGTTCCCAACTAATTTCGCTCTCCTATAACGTGTATTGAGGTCCACACAATGGCTAAACTACGGGGAGGGGGAGGGGGAGTGGGGGAGAGAATGAGGGAATGGGGGTATTGGGGGGGGGAGGGGAGGGGGGCACGGGGCACGGGTGGGGGGGACACGTGCCCCCCTTAAAATCTTGAATTGCACTAAAACACTATCGCTTTCAAAGTCGCTTTCAATGCCCCGCTTCAAAAAATGGTGCACTCCCTAGAGGTTTAATCATGGTTACACCTACTGTCCACCCCCGCTTTTCAAATTCCCGCTAGCCAGTAGTTTCCTGACAAAAATCCTGTCTACGCCAGTGTTAGTCTCGATTCGATTCACACGTACTTCCTTTTAAAATCGTTGCCTTTTACCGTCGTATTGGTCGAACGTTCACAATCCTCACGTAGGTATGCGCATTATGTCTACTACAGTGATAATAGATTCAGTATTTCTAGTCCTAAATTCACACTACACCGGCACAGCTGCGTTCTTCGCCATATCGCGCAGTACTTGCGACGCCTGCGCCTAGAGAGGTGTCCCCAAAACAGTAAATTGAACAACATCGTTTGACATTATATATCTTTTGACTTTTTAATCGAGAATATTTAATTTTTTTGACAGAAAGAGTATTTCTGAATGGGAATAAAATGTGCTTGGCCGATATTTAATACTCGGCTCGGGTAATTATCAGCATCCAGACTCCAACCTGTGGAAAACAAGTGTTTAAAACCGGCCAACACGCATATTTCTCTTGTCATATTTCCTGGATTTCCCTCTACACCGATGGTCAATAAAATACTCATGTCAACAGCTACATAATAATACGTTTAATTCATCGCGCCTCAGCCAGCGCCTAAACACAGATCTAACCCCAGTCTGCAGCACCGTGACTCGAGGTTTGTTGGAGCTGTGTGGAATGATGGCTGGTAGCAGAGCTGCTCACCGGCTGCAAACCACGCTCCTTGAATACCTTTTATGTAACACTGAGCGGATTTAACGTAGAAGCAAGTTTAAAATGCAGAAGGTTAAAATTTGCCAATGAAGCAAGTATGCTACTTTAATAGACTGCTTCAAACTATATGTAGTATATAGTGATAATGTAACATATAGATTGTTGTGTGTAGTCTTTGGGATGTTTGACAATACTTATATGTTAGGATACGGTAGCTGTGGCTAAAAGCGGGATGAACGATCATCAAAGACACACTGGTATGAGCTCAGCTATATGGAGAAACTATTTTATTCTCAAGAACTCATTTAAACCTGGTCTTGTATAATTATAGAAGTAGGAGACGGAAGACAGAATATCGTAGATATAGACTGGCCAGAGCATAGGGCTGAATCAGCTTATGGCTATGCCTCTGGTTTCCCAGGGAAAAGAAGGAGAACTCAATGAAAGTGGGAAAATGTGAACATTTTATACAATTTCAGAGGGGCAACGTTAGGTGAAAATAGATGATGTCATAAAGTAAAACATAACTTACATGACATCATTTCTGAGTGAAGATAGACTAGCTGACCATGGACTGACGTAATGGTCAGTCTGGGGGAGTACCCTTTTGAGGTCATTTTCCCTGTACAAGGGTGAAATCACAGGCTTGGTATGTTGTGGGGGGTTGGCTGGTACTGTCTGACAATATGGTGGCGCTGTTTTAACCGGTTTAAAGGCGTCACGGAAGCGCGTGTTTGTTATAATACACGTTCTCCCATGTGTTGCTTCAGATCATGATAGTTGTTCTTCCCTTCGCGTTTTTCCTGCAAACTTTTTTGGTAATTTTCTGGCTATAAAATTGCTCCGACTTTTTAATTTGACATTGAACCGAAAAAGAAACCCTTGTCTTATTAAAGAAAACAGTACTTTACAAATTTCGTTTTTTTTTGTTGGGGGTGGTTAATTGCGTGTTGAAGATAAAACGAAATTTTTAGGGTTGAAGAGACAAAAAAAAGTCCTATATACAGAAATTTTACAAGGCAATGGCGTGCAAATCAATTTGTTGTACAGCAGTGACTGGTGACATGAAGGAAAAAGCTTCAAACTGGTTAATTTCAGCCCAATAACTCGGAGGTAATCTTATAAGGAGTGACAATTAACAAGTAATTATTAAAATTTGCTTCTTGGAGTTTTGTTTTCGTTCTATACGCAAACAAAATCCCATTGAAATGTTGGGCCACACCCCCGCCCCCCCCCCCCTCCGGCCCACCCCCGAAATGTGTAAAGTAATTTATTTCTGTTATACAAAAGAAAAATATAGAAACTTTTGAAAAAGTGATGACAAAAAAGTACAAAACTTTACAGAATCTGTCATTGACACTTAATCCAACTTAGCATATTTTTTTTTACCGAACTTACATTTTTGAATTACTTAATTTACATATTTTAATGACAATGTGGTACCGTGAGAAATTGTATACTGAGGAGGTTGACTAACCAACAGTCATTACCAAAATTGCACAATATTGTAAAAAAATGTAACACATCTAGAAATACCTGGTGAAATTGAGATAAAATGATGGTAGACAGAACAGAGCAAATGTGTTTTTGTATGGTGGGTGATTTTTGCTTGGTCGTAATTCAAACAGCGTCAATCCACATGCATTTCCAATATATTCAAATGAAAACTTGGCCTTGTGAAGGCTTAAAATGTGTCTCCTGTTGTATCATGACCCTCAACTTTCTTTCTTTTGATATTTTTTTGCCTTTGAAGTGTTTGTGTAGTATCCATAGATATATCCAAGGTGTGATTACAAAACTTGTAACTACACGCCTCTAGGTGGCGCTTCGCGATAATACAAGGGACCAGCAGCAGGTCACGTGGATTTTGCGATCATGTTGTCTGTTGTGCATGTGCAGTACAGTGCAGTGTCGTTTCGTTAGCGCTAGCTAAGCAAGTGGTACGGCGCTGGCGTGTCTGATCTGGAACTGCTGTAAAGTTCAAAAGAGAAGTAGGCCCGATAAGTATAATACCGTATTTACCATGATTGTCTTTCGTTTTATTGCAGCTTAACCCATAACAACATCCAGAAATTAGAATTCCATACCTGGACTTAATTGTCTGAAAAATTCGAAGTGTTTTTTTTCTCAATCATGTGTCAATATAATTTTATAAAGGTAGTGGATATTTTGCCGGAGACGGCAAACCTTCAGTAAACGTTAGTTTGCCGGATATGCACTGAACATGCGCAGTTACTGTTTTTTTGTACTTGCACATTTTCCGGTGACAAATTTTAGTCTGGCTCCATGCCAATATTATCGTTGTAACCGCGTATTCACAAGATGGAATTCAGACCATTTTATTATAAGTTTGGACTTTATTTCCCTTTAAAAAAAATCCTCCAGAGCCACAAATCTGAAAAAGAAAATGTAATACTCTGCAATACAATGTTTGAGAAATGTTAAAAAAATAAAAGAAGCATATTCTTATTTATTTGGGGATGGAAAAAAAACCTTTAAAATGTGGCGGGGATCGGGATCGAACCCGCGTCATCCCGCTTACCAAAGCCTTTGCATAACCACTACACCAAACGTGCTACACAACTTTTGATGGGAATTTAATACATCTTATAATTCAGCCCTATCTTAAAGAGTACAGCGCCCCTCTGTTGATATGGATTGCCGCCGGCAAACCTTTAGTAAACGTTAGTTTGCCGTCATTACCTCCGGCAAAATATCCACTACCTTTTATAAATGCTTCAATATTTTCCCTACAGTGCTCATCGGTAATCAGGTAGTTGTGCTACAAATTTCACTTTTTAATTTTAGGACATCTTACATGTCTTATGATCGCTTTCTGATAAATGGTCATTTCAGGGGAAAATAAGTGATAGCCTAGCTTGAGTAACTCTAGCCCGACTGCGTCTGGCCGTACAGTACTATCGCAAGCTCTGTAGTACGGCCAGACGCTGAATGCTTCCAAAAAGACTGAATTTTTTTGGCCGCTGATGTAGCGATTTTGCTACATCTTTCGATCAAGATTATCTTGTAATGTATGCATTATGCGAGCGCGCTTGGGCAAGATAATGCATATGCATCATAGTTTATGACGTTTGTCGGACACTCAGCGCGGCTGGCCATACAAACACGAGGTCATGAACTAAATAATGCATATTCATTATCTTGACCAAGCGCGCTCGCATAATGCATACATTACAGCGCGGCCGCCATTTTGAAATTGCATGGGGGAGCATTTTCGGGACGATATTTGTGGAAGATGATGACTGAAAGTCGTCTTTTGGCCAGATGGATGAAAATATTGAGACCAAAGAACGTTTTTTCGAAAAGGTATGAGTTGCTCTACGACTAAGAACCTTAACTTTGGAAATTTGTGTCCTGGATGAAAAGATAATCTTGATCGAAAGATGTAGCAAAATCACTACATCAGCGGCCAAAAAAATTCAGTCTCTGTGGAAGCATTGGGCGTCTGGCCGTACTACAGAGCTTGGGATAGTACTGTACGGCCAGACGCAGTCGGGCTAGAGTAACTCCAGCTTGACAAGCTCATTAGGAATTCACAATGTTACATGATTAGCCCCACTTGTGTAGCCTCTGTACTGCTGCGCTGTATGTTTGGCCACACGTCTGGTTTCCCAATCTACTGAGGAGTTTAGTCCGAAACTTGCACATGAGGACTCCAGAAAGATGTCTAAATTTCTCTAAAAATCTGAAGAAAGATTACCTTATCTCCCCGGAAGGCAAAAGATAAGACATCACAGAATACAACCGTATGCAGTGGTATGTAAAAAAAACATGCCAAAAAAAAAAGAAGGTGCGCCAGTGTTTAGACTAAACTCCTCATATGGTTGGAAAACCAGGCGTGTGGCTGAACGTACAGCTAGTGATAGCCATGTATGGAATTCTTTCCCCAAATCCCCTAGAATATAAAGTCAATCCACATTCGTTCAACTTCAAAATTTGCTTAGCTGCGGAACAGAGAGAGATCGAGAGATGGTATTGAAAAGTTAGATATAGCGGGTAGACTTGTGCAGTCTATGAAGACAATTCTTGTAAAGATTCCCATATCTGGCCATCACTAATTTTTCCCCTCAGTGACCTATCAGCCATCAGAAAATGATCCTAAAAATGTCCTAAAAAGTCAAATTTAGCAGGAAAATATTGAAGTACTTGTTTACTGTGTAGAAATTTTCAGACCAGTCTCATAGGGTTTGTGCACAGGGTGATAAAGTGATGGCCAGATATGGGAATCTTTCCCAATTCATTCTGTTTGTCTGCCAAGTACTAGGCCTAGTACTTAGTAGTAGAAGTTTCAAAAATTGCAAATGCAAGGGGCCAGCTAGTATAGGGCCGAGTTAGCATTGATGTATCCTACAGGATATTTTACTGACCAAAACCTATGGAGATGGAGATGGGGGGGGGGGGGGATTAAGCCTTAACCGTTAACTGCTGCTAAAAGATGTCCTCTCAACCATGAAGCTATATATAGCCCCATGACCCAATATGCTGAATCACATTCTCAATATGATACTGTTGAAGTTTAGTGTTCTGGGTCGAACAAATATTCTGGCATTTAAAACCTTTTTGTTTTTAATAGTACATGTGCTACTACTACCTATGGCCTAGCTTGAGTAAAATGAACCTATCAATTGTATGACACCCCCATGATTACAGCTGGAGTTTTCCCAGGTGAATTGTTCTGACACACCAACTTCAAGCTTTTTCTTTCCATCAACAGTTTCAGAGCGTATACCTGTGTGCAGCTGCAGACAGTCTATCTATGTGACAAGGCGTCGAGATTCACGAAGACTGATTTAGTTTTGCTGCCAGGAAGCACAATTGTTTCACCAGCCAGGATGGTAGATGTTTTCGGCATGAGCGTTGACCCTTTGCTTGTTGCGTCATTTATTGTGGGTGAGTTAAACTCTTTTGGTTCTGCCTATTACTGATGTGAATTTTAGATAACACTGGGCATGGATAACACTTGGCTTACTGAAGTGGGAATTGAGCTGATGACGTCTGGCTTTAATACGAGTGAAGAACTATCCCCTGGACCATTGAGCTTGCTGGTTCCAATTTCATATTGAAGACTGAACTGAAAAGCAAAAGCCAATATTTAAGTCGACACAAATTCCATGTGTTAGGATTGCTACAAAGTACCACTGGGCGAGTAACTCCATCTCTCAAGCACTCATGAGTAGTTTATGCTACTCGTTACAATTGCTACAAAGTACCACTGGGCGAGTAACTCCATCTCTCAAGCACTCATGAGTAGTTTATGCTACTCGTTACAATTGCTACAAAGTACCACTGGGTGAGTAACTCAATCTCTTGAGCACTCACGAGTAGTTTATGCTACTCGTTACAATTGCTACAAAGTACCACTGGGCGAGTAACTCCATCTCTTGAGCACTCACGAGTAGTTTATGCTACTCATTGTTCCACTCGTGGGTTTTTATCTACTTGAGTACTCATCTTGGCAGGAGTAGAAGCAGGTACTCGTGAGTAGCAAATTTGGGTTTATGGTTCATGGTTTAATACGTCCCCTGCAAACAGGGAATCACTCCCTCCACCTCTCTCTCCCTAGGATTTCATTCTTCAAAAAAAAAAAACCAATTCAAGTAAATGACCCAAAACTTCGCACAGTAAGTGCTGAAGATTGTGGTGTAACTTGCAAATTGCATGCTATTTGCTGGTAAGTTACTCATTTTTCTTCTTTTATAGGAATATACTATATATAGTACTCGACTACTTGCGAGTAATTTCTTTGCGAGTACTTGAGTAGAAAAATCCACTTCTCGCCCAGGCCTACTTTAAAGTACTGTGGGAAGTCAGTTGCGGATGAGGAGGGGGGGGGGGGGGGAGGTTTGGGAAGAAAAAAAAGCGAGCTCTGTCCAAAAGAATTTTTTGTTTCATAGAAATTTTTTTAAAATAGTGCGACCCCCCCCCCCTCCGCTCTGACACCTAATAAATTGTACTGGTAGTAATGTCTGCCTGTGCATAAAATACGGACAGAGCCAGCTTGGTTAGGGGGAATTTTTACACTATTCTGTAATATACATATAGTGCGCCCCCATTGAAAGTATGGTATGAGCCCCCCCCCCCCCCATTGATTTTGGAGGACAAGTGTCAGGAGCAAAGTAATGGTCTACGTTCATGACGTTTCAGAAAATGCACAAATTCCTGGATCCGCTGCTGGAAGTGCAAACGGGCAATGTCTGCCTTTTCTCTTCCCACAACACTTGTTATTGTGCAGATTCACTCAAGCAGCTGTTGCAATGCTGATTAGCAACAGGTGTTCTGAGACAAAGCTAACTTTGATGCTATTTCCCCCCCCCTCCCCTTTACATAAAACAGTGGCGTCACGTGGGCCCAATTTGCAGAGAAGCATGTTTATTTGTTTTTTTTAGAAATGGCACTCGGTGGGATTTGACGATATGGGGGTCAAACTTGCTTCCCCAAATTATGAGCAGCGGGAGTGGGTACACCGGACTCAAAAGGGTGGGGGGGGGGGTGTAGGCATTCCCCTCCTCAGGTAAACCACTGCCACCAATATGTCATCTGTACAGAATTGTAGCCTAGTTCTAATTATGTAACTTTACAGTTCTAGTGTATCAAGGTATTCATCATTGATGATGACATTCATGGCTCCTTGTCTTAACTCACAGTTGGTGTCGTGATGATGTACCTCCTAAGCAAGTACTCTGAGGGAGGATGGTGTTATAGCAAGGCTCGTCTGGACGGCAAGACGGTCCTCATCACAGGAGCAAACACCGGCATAGGCAAGGAGACGGCTAGAGATCTTGCCAGGAGAGGTAAGTGCAATTTCCTATCTTGCCCTCTAGGATGCGTCAAGTAAATGTTTGCTTTGTCTCCTGCTTTGATGTCATCTTTTATGGGCTCCGTGCACTTGAAGTACCTCCTCAATGGTAAGAAAGAAGAGTTGGGCAGAACTGGGAGGGATAATCAAACACATTGCCTACGACACATGAGGCTCACGCAAAGACGCTATGGTTTTGCGCACATTCAGAATACAAATTAGTCATGCGTACTTCACGTTGTGCACTCGAACCAATACGTGCAGGCGTGTCCACTAGGCTATTAAAAGTGGTAAAAAGCACCCTCTCTTGTTCGTGCACAGAGCCCTTAGGATTCAATATAGGGCCCTATATGTAGCCAAGGTCCACCAATCTAGGGTTTACCATCCGACACCAAAGCTGGATAGAAACTGAGCTTTGGAAACTCGCATAGTCTCAGTTTATCCCCCCCCCCCCCCCCCCAAACAAAATTGGCCTGATCAATTTCTGTTTATTTGTAAAAGCCAGATTTAAAATTGTTTCAAATTTTGCTCTCTGTGCTCTCAACTCGGTATAGCTTCTCCTATCCTTATTGATGGCACCTCGATCACTCAAGTACCTTTAACTAAGTTTCTTGGTGTCATCATTGATGATATTCGACAGATCATATGTCATGAATCACTAACGCTATCCCTCGTAATTTAGGAGTTCTCTCTAAACTCCGTGCTTCTGCTCCCCCGTCCAGTTTATTCACACTCTATATAACATCCTTATTCCTCCTTGCGTCAGTTACTGGGACATAGTCTGGGCTCGGTGTAGCAGCAATAAACTCCATTCTCTTACGGTCATCCAGAAACGAGAATTTGCAGTCTCTCTCATCCCCGTGATCACACCGCACCTCTATGCATTTGTTTTTATCTTACCTGTAATTATTCTTTGTCCATTTTCTCTGCAATGCATGGAAACAAATGTCTGTTGAATTGAATTGAAATTGAGGTGTTTGTGTCCTTATACGTATAGGTGCTCGTGTGATTCTAGCGTGTCGTGATCTAGCCAAGGCGGAAGCAGCCATGACAGACATCCGTGAAGACACTGGTAACAGCAATTTGGCGGTAGTCAAACTAGACTTGGCTTCCCTGGCCTCGGTCAGGGAATGTGCAGAGAAGATCAAAAGAGAGGAATCCAGGCTAGATATTCTCATCAATAATGCCGGTGAGTGTTTGTGTTCTGTTACTCTTACCTATTGAAGGTGGAATGTTAGCATGTTCCATGATGGCATTTCTTTTTCTTTATAAACAGCATAATGAAAGTCCCTTATGTTTCATGTTCAGTTGAACTCCACAATATCCACTTTTGATTTCAATTTTAACAACATATTACATGTAAACACACCCTGATTTAAACAATTCTCACACACATTGAGCTGTATTAAAATGTTAATATGGCAGAGGCTCTCCATCAGCAATGGTTGGCAATTTATCTCGTAACAAATTCAAGTTATCCTGGGAAGCAAAAGCATTTTTTTTAATTAAAGTTTGCTGGCAAGTGAGAAACAAGGACTGTTTCATGAGTACGAGGTCCAGTAATTGTCAGGATCATGAGTATGAACATGGGTACAGGTAAATTTTGTAATTGCGGGAATGAGTATGAGTAAAGTACATTCTCATGAGTACGAGTACAAGTATGAAGAAACATACTTGAGTATGAGTATGAGTATGTGCACAAGTAATACACCGAACCTAAAGTACCCCACATTTGGGTACCTGGGTGTCCGTCTGAGCCTTATATAGGTGACATAAGTTGCTGCTTTGATTCAGGTATCATGATGTGTCCCGAGTGGCAGACAGAAGACGGGTTTGAGATGCAGTTTGGTGTCAATCATCTGGGTCACTTCCTTCTGACTAACCTCCTGTTGGATCTTATCAAGTCCTCCACCCCAGCCCGCATCGTCAACGTCTCCTCTCTGGCTCATGAGTTTGGCAAGATGAACTGGGAGGACATCCACATGAGAACCAACTACCATCCAATCCATGCCTATGGCCAGAGCAAGCTTGCCAATGTGCTTTTCACAAGGGAACTCAGTAAACGCCTCAAAGGTAAACTAATCCAGTTTATTTTAGCCAAGTGGATGTAGCTTAATTCACTTCTTCGTTCAAAGCAGGTGGCCTTGATCCTATCCAGTCAGTATGGAGAGATCAGTGATGACTAAATATGATTCTACGAGACCTCAAGCGTTAATGCATCAAATTATAGGCATATAGAATCATTTGCAGTTATCCCAAAAGTAACCTGTAGACACAAGTTTATCAAAAAGCTTACTTTGAGTGAAGATCATACTAGTACTAAACACTAGATTAGGATGTTACGTTTCGCTTCATTTTTTTATGGAAATTATTCCAAAGACTTAAAAGGTAGAGTAGATCGTTGCAGCTATCCAAAAGTAACTGACACAATTATTGTTGAAAAGCTTGTCTTGGTTTTTAAGATAAGTATTGGCACTAACTTTCCTGTGAAATTATTCCTTCTGGCATGCTGTCATTGTGAAGAAAACAATAAATGAAGGCTATTTCCAAAGATGTGTCAAGTGATGCATTTTGGAAATTTCTGTAAGTAGTTGGATTGTTATTTGACGAATCCGTTTGAATGGGTGCTCAAGTGTTGTTATTTGTCAATTCAATGCGTGACATGGTGTAGCTGCAATCGGCTGAATGAGAACATGTCCCAGATGCTGATTTTGGGTGCAATTCAAAACATGACTCTGCAACTTTTGAATTGAAATTGAGATCCTAGAATATTGTTTCCTTGGCATTCACTGAGCTAAAACTTCATCAGGTTAGTTATAAGCACCCGTCTTTAGATTTTGAGCACTTTTGTTGGTTCATATGAAAAAAATGCACAAGTGACAAATGATTTAATACCCTACCTTTAAAACAAGCTATGAAATAATATGAACATATGAAATAATCAGGAGCGAGTATAGGCTAAAGAACGACTATTGCAGTTTTTTAAAACAACTTCAGATGGCTTTAAATGAAAAATGTCCATAATGTTGGCCTGTCTTGAACCAACTTTCATTTGGGTCAACTACAGTTGCTCCAAATACATTTTGATTCTGTGCAACTCTAGCGCCAGTCTGAAACAAGAGAAATGATCAGTTGTCACTTCTTTTGTTCTGTTTTTTTTTCACTGAAGAGTAATTTTTGCTGAAGCTGTGTTCTTTTTTGGTGCAATCCTGGGTTCACCACTGCACTGTACTTCCTTTATTGGTTGATTACAAACCAGATACCAGCGTGAATGTCTTTGCCCTACATCCTGGTAATGTGAAAACGGAGCTGACGCGGTACACCAGCCAATCCCTGGGTCTGCTCTTTCGCATCATCTTCATGATTGCAGCCTCTCCTCTAGGAAGGATCGTCATGAAGACTGCCGTCCAAGGAGCCCAAACATCCATCCACTGTGCTGTGGAGGAGGAGCTAGCAGATAAGTCAGGGTTGTACTTCAGGTAGGCCAATCTTGTGTGCGCACTCTAAAAAGTCTCTGGCCAGATTGACCCAGAATCTTGGTTCTGGCCTAATCTTTTACCAGGTCAAAAATGACACTTTTTTTGACCAAGAAACCTTGGTAAAAAGTGTCTTTTTGACCCGGAAAAGTGTCATTTTTGATCCAGAAAGGGTCAGGTCAAATAGAACCCAGATTCAGAGATAATATGACCAGGGATTTTTACTTATAATTACAGGAAGTAGGTTGAATCTCTTTAGAGTAGTATTGTGCATCGGTTCGGGTTGACCCAAATATCTGCCTTGGGCAACTGTGCCTGCTTTTTGTGCCTGACCTTACCCGCGTCGTGTGAAAATAGTCATCTCTCAGTAACTGAATCATACCGTACGGTACTCACAATGTGACCTACTGGTGGGCCTTCATGTTATAGACTGTGCGTGATACACCCCAAACCATTGTGGTCGTACCGGGCACAGTGACTCTATCTGCAATAAATATTGCACTGTGCGAATTTCCGAACTGTTCCGGGTTTTTTCAGTTTATTTCGGTTTATTTTAATTTTTCCAAATTGGCTTAACCTACCCAACCCGACCCGAAAATCGCAAACGCAAAACCGAAACCCACCCAACCCGACAGAAATGATGGACAAACCCACCCTACCCTATCCGAAGTCGGTTTCAGGCTGGGTCAGTTTCGGTTCCAGGTCGGGTTTGCACAATGCTAATCTAGAGCAACTACGTGAGGATATTATGACAATAGACATAGCCTTAGCTCTGGAGGACCGTTTCGGACACTGCCTTAGTTTGCCATTGTACTACGTGACAGGAATCTCTTTTTTGTGATTTGTGCGGTCCTGAAAAGATCTGATTGAAACTCAATGTGTTGAAAATTCCTGTCATGTTTTTGGAAATTCCTGTGAAGTGTGAGTGTTCAAGAAGGGGATGAGATAGTGTCTGCTGTTAGACCTGGAACAAAAGTAAGAACACTTTGAAAACTTTGCTCAAATTCATGGGGTCAGTTAAAGTAGACATAAATCCTCTGCCAAGTTGAACATACCCTACACGAATGGTAACTGCTGATCTTTTATGCAGTGATTTCTGGACAGTTAAATATGGTCAGTGGGGAAACAAATGAAACATTTACTCATATTGAAAGAGACATCATGAATGGTTTTCTTTAAATTGTTTTTTTGATGCAATATTTTTTTGTATATCTCAGTGATTGTGCTGTCAAGAATCCTGGTAAGCGAGCCTTAGATGAGGAGTCTGCTCGTCGAATGTGGGAACTCAGTGCCGAGATGGTTGGCTTAGAGAAGAAGGTCGAGTAAGCGGGGAACTTGAAGACGTTCAAAATGGACTCTGTGCACGGATGCTAAATGTTGCTATAAGACCACTCATTAAGGGACACTAACATGCTTGCACTAATAGCTACATCATGAAGTACACATGATTAATTATACTCTGAATGTTCACAAACCTGTATCGTCATTGCATGAGCACTAGGCCCACATATGGTGACAATGCATTCCACTCTCTTTTGACCCTGTTTGTCACAGTTGAAAGGCTTGCCGGGGGGGGGGGGGGGGTGTTCAAAATGTTTCAGTCTGTTTCGGATTGAGTCTATCCAGAAGTGTTAAGTTCTTCATTTACTATAAAAATAAATGCATGGGATGAGCCCTCATAGAATCACCAAGTTTGTGAATCATTTAACTTTGTTTGATTTGATTTATTTCCAAACACCACAATTATAAAAATTGAACAATTAATTAAACAGAATATACAACCAACGTGATGAATGGTGGAGGTTGGCACTGGCAGAAAGCCAAAGCTTGTAAAACCTTTAAGAGGTATATCCCCCTCTTTTATGTGATCGTTGTCCACCATAGAAAAGTTACGGGAATCTCGGGGGAATTAACCAGGAATAGCATCTGCAGGCATGACAGGGAATCAATTCCTCAAACAGAGAATTCATGATTCAGACTCAGTTGTATTATGCTGTGCAAGTGCCAAAGCCTATCCGCTCCGTTCTTAAGTGCCCCCTCACCGGCAAACAAAGTACAGTTGGGGGTGACCGACCGACGCCATCTTGCCTGACCGCAATTTTGCCGCGATGCGCGGCCGTACCACTAGTACTGCGTGTACATAGTACAAATCCCCTGGTGTACGTGCGTCACACACAAGGAACGGTGCGCGTCAACCAGCTAAATGTCCCGCCCATGGGACGTCGTTGCTAGGTAAAAGGGCGCCCTCTTTTGTTGGCCCACAGAGCTCATAGCGGCAGACACAGTGATGTTGGAAATACACTGTCCATGTTTTCCATTTTTTTTTCTGATAATGAAATGTAAGTTGTATGTTGCATATTGATTGCAAGAAAAAACTTTATTCTTTATGGATTTTGGGACAACTGCATTTATTTTGAAAACAAAAGTTTTGGTGTCTCTAATATGCATCAGGTCAGCAATGTTGAAAATTATCCCAACCCTTTATCACTTGCTTGTCATTGTGGGTCGAGTTGAAGCTTAGGGCTTATACGAGCCATCAAATCTCAGTCAAAGCGTAGCTGATTCTTAACTTAAATAGGGCATGTGGTTGCAGAATAGAAATAACAAAAAAGAAATAAGGAGTTAAGATAATTAATATCTTGCAGTGAATTTGCAGCTATGGAATTTCTAAACATTATTGAGATTGCTATTAATAGAAGTGATAGATGGAGCTTGGACTACAGTTTACAGTTTTGCCCTGTGGCAATCATACTTATGAAAGGTATAAACTAAAATAGTTTTCACTTTGACGAACAAGATTGATGAGCTGTTGAAGAGGAATTGATATGACTAATTGATGTCAAATCTGATGATTGTCCAGTGTTTGGAAAATCAAATCAGGATCTTCATACTCAATGGGTTTTTTTCATAGTTTTTTTTTAAAAATCTTATTATCAAGTTATGACTTTTGTATGTTTCCGCAAATAGTTGAGTATTACATTTTGGAGGTCTTTGAGCTTAAAGGCACTAATTAAGGGTACCTGAAAACAGTTAGCCCTTCTCTGCCTCAGATCGAAATTGATTTCTTGAGTCAGTAAACAGTACTTTTATATTTGAATGATATCGGTTATATGAAATTCAAGCATTTGTGTAAGTTTCGAGAATTGTGTAAGCCGATGAGCTGAGGTTGTAATGAGTATCTTTTGATGACTAAGTGGCTGGTATTTTGAGGTTTTAAATCAGTATTGTACATGCCTGGGGATGGTAACGTAATACTTACAGGATGATATTTTTCAAGCTCCTAAAAGTCTCCATTAATATAATAATTACGTGTATGCTTTGAACTGACGCCTACATGTACTTGATAATTTCATATTTGTTCTTTTAACACCCCCACTTCAAGAGGAATTTATTATTTGTTGTTATTTTTACTGTTACAAAAACCACAAATACACTTATACCACACAGTTTTCAAATTTTACAGAATAAATTAAGGATTTTCCATTTTGATAAAAAGTGATATACCTTTAATTATACAGATTACTAGTGCATATTTTTTATGCATTTTGCGCAATATAAATGCTAGTATTATTATTATTACACTTGCTTTCCACATGTCATTCATTTAAATAAACCTTGAAACAAGCTAAAGGAGACGCTCGCTTAAATCTTCAAGTACAAACAAGTTTAACGGTATTCAGGAGATACAGTGTGACTGTGTTTCCATTGATTTATGTCAGTTATTTTGGTTCCGTTTATTTAAGAGCCAGCTGCCTTACATTTGAAGGGAAAAAACAGTATTCCTTGGAGTATTTTTGCGTGAATTTTCCCAACAGTTTAATAAAATGAACATTTCAAAGCTATGCAATATCCTCCGCCGTCACTTGAATTGCCTTTTCTCTTATACATGTACATTTCTTTAAATTCACCATTTAACTCTTGTCGATTGAATAACAACTGTGCTCATTTTCGAAAAGTGGATGTGAGAAAGTGGTTTCATGATAACTGTTAAAATATTATAATTCATGAAATATTGTTCAACCATAATACTCCCAACAGCACCACACCTCTATTGAAACTAGCATTAACAACCAAAACATGTTTAAATTGTTGTCCATGTTCACAACCACATGTTTCATTGTGCAGATTTAAGCTTTTTTAGCAATTTGTATTCATTGTAATTATGGCTACCTGAGAACTTCTTAACAGTTTTAGTGCGACGTTATACCCTAACTCCCTTGGCTTTTTTGCTAGGATGCAACCTCAATCCTGCAACATCATCCCACTGCATTCATGTAAAATTGCACACAGCCTCAATCCTGCAAAATGCTCCGTTTTTTCTTGAACGTGGTACTTGGAGGGGTGACCACTGCCTCAATCCTGCAAAATCCGGTCCAGCAATCACTGTCAATATGGTGAGGTAGAGCCAGTGACATCTTGGAGCAGCAGGGGCGGATCCAGGAATTTTTTTTTTTTTGGGGGGGGGGGGGGTTCATCGGCATAAATATGAAATGTAGACAGGGTTTTTTCTCCGGACACTTGGCCTCCGAAAATCAATAGGGAGGGGGAGGGGGGGGGGAACTCGTACCATACTTCACATCATGGGGCGCTGTTCAAATCCGACGATTGTTAACACTGTATCACAGATTAGTGTACACGTACCCCTAACCAGCTGGCTATGTCCGTATTTTGTGCAAAGGCTGACCGTTATTACAAGTAAAACAATTTTTTTGAGGGGAGGGTTCACAAATTTTTTCTTCATGAAATTCTATGGCAATTTTTTTTTTTGACAGAGCTGGGTTTTTTCTTTATCCACAACCCTGGCCCCTCCCCCCCGCGCCTGAGCAGTTTGGAGGATTTCAAGTATTTATGTACCGGTAGGCCTAAATGTATGCATGGCTGAGCATATACAACACAAGGTCCGGCCCAAGACATTGACACAGTGTGTTCTCCAAAATCAGCCACACATATATTTTTGCCATATAGCCTCAATCCTGCAAAAATTCTTCATTTTGCAAAAAGGACTTTGGAGGATTTGGGAAGGTTTAGCATAAGTCTGTAAGCCTAAGGCTATTTGGATCAAGTTTAAACCTATTACTAGGGTGAAGGTGCTCTTCTTCAACTAAGTCATTTCCCAAGACGAGAGGCGGCACTCTCTCTGCGACGTCAAGGCTAAGGGCGCATGTCCGTTACTCTCTAAATTCTAAAGAGTGAATAAGGGACTAGACGTTTTTGAGTGAAAATCACTCTCATTTTTGATTGAAAAAGTCTAAAAAAAGAACCACCTCAGTCGAAGCTCGAGTGAAAACTCGATCTTTACGATTGAAGGAATTTCACTCTTAAACGTCTGGTCCCTAGTTTCCGACTGTGGGAGTGAATCTTCACTCGAATTGAGTGAATTTTCACCTTTTTTTTTAATTTAGAGAGTAGGCCTATTGAAGGGTGCAGGCCCGTTTTGGAGGATATATATCGCCGATTGTGACTCGTTAACTTTCTGCTAATATTTCCCCCCCCCCCAAAAAAATATATTTCATATTTAAAAAAATATGTAGCACCAAACATAGTAATGAATGGAAAGCCAATTTCATAAGCTACTTTTGGATAAAAAAATACTGACATTGCTTAATCCGTTCAAAGAATATCACCATTTAAACGCAATGACCCTAAAACCTGTTTCGTCCAAAAAAGCAGTTTATTGTGTGTTCTGATTGTTTGGAACAACAAAGAAACTGACACAGAATACTTGTTTCAACAACTGTCAACAACTGTAGTACACAATATCTTTATTAACAACCCCGGTTAGGCAAACAATATTGATAAAATCCACGTTTTTTTAAATGACAGGCCTTCAAACGGCCGACTTTGTTGAATAGTTTTTACTTTTAAACTGAGGTTTTATCGCTGGTGATGTTTGAAGACGGTTGTGACGACGATTCTTGAAATCGCATTTTTGGACGAAAGAGGTTTTAGGGTCATTGTGTTTAAATGGTGATATTATTTGAACGGATTGAGCAATTTCAGTAAATTTTTCATCTAAAAGTAGCTTATGAAATTGGCTTTCCAGTCATTACGTTTAGTGCTACATAGTTTTTTAGATATGAAATATAATTTTGGGGGTTTGGGTTCCGCTTTTTTACGACTCGCCCTGTATTTGACATTCGCATTGCATCAAACACATGGGTTTATAGGGGCGAGCTTAAAAGTATTGTTGGTCTTCATTATTTCGTCCAGATTATAAAGTGATCATCGATTCACATATAAATGTATTGAATATTAGTATATATGAGTAATAAAACCGATGATAAATGATTATGCATTATACTGCCCTCGTGTGTCTATAATCACAGGTCAATTTTTATGACTGGCTTCCGATTCCGTTAGGATAGAGATTCGGGGGTTGCCTGTACATGTACTTGTTGCTCGTGAGTTTGATCAGATCCTTGCAAGGGCGTCAATTGCTACTCAAACGTGGGGGGCATACCTTGATCAGAACAAACTTGGACTTTCCGTTGCAACATTCAATTACAAACTTTTGAAATCAAAACGGTACAAGGGTCAGAGGGCTTCATTCAACGGTTTAGATTAAAGAATGCCTACATGTTTTAAATTAAATTAAATATTTGATTTTATAAGCATCATGATTTTATTCCAAATTCTCAACATCATTAAATCTATAATTTTTGAGCTGGCCTGTTTCTCCTTTTGCATGTCTGGATCAGCACCACCTGCTTTTCAAGTACGACGATGCAAATGTAACATTTCGTATTCATGAATTCAACTCGGGATTTCTTTCGCCGGATGTTTTCATAGGTTAATGGTTTCGTTATACAACTTGTCTTGTTTTGCGGTAGAATTAAAAAGTAGATAAGGCCCCAAGTGGCCAAGTCAAATGGTTGCACCACGAACCGACGTATCGCATTTGTTTGTGTT